AGGTGAATAAGACTATAATACGTCGAATCAGGAAAACAGTTTTTGACATTGACTTTAGGGATTCTGCTGAATACTAACATCGCTTCTTTATAACAAAATCTCTTTTTCATAAAAATTTTGGTTACCACCACAATTTTACAAAAATTGTCAAATTATCGATAAAAAAGGTCAAAAGTTGAAAATTATTAATTTTGCAAAAAAATAAATTCAAAATTATAAATAATAAATGATAATATAATATGTGGAAAAAAAGATTTCATCAAAACGGAATTGTTTCAACAATTTCATTACTGTATCCAATTGCGTTATCATACAATCTATTTCATTTTCTTATCATATAAACAAAAATTTCGATTCGAAATTTAAATTTAAAGAGATAAAATGGCTTCTTTTATAACAAGCAAATTAAAAAATTCTATTCTAAATTTAAAGCTTTCAAAAAGAATTTCTCATAATTTGAATGACAAATAAATTGTTAGTATTTTAATTTAAAATTAAAATTTTAAAAGGAAACTTACTTGCATTACATATAAATTATTGTTAGCATAGTATAGAAGAGATTAAGAAAATATTAAAATAAAAGAAATGAAAATGATTCATCTTTTAATGGAATTTAAATAATAAATATTAATTTCTTACTTCTATGGTTAAACTTAATTTATTCCCACCTTTTTGAATTAGAATAATCAATATTAATTTCTTATTTCTAAGATTGAACTTAATTTATTCCCACCTTTTAAAATTAGAATGATAAACACCAATTTCTTATTTCTAAATTTAAATTTAATTTATTCCTACCTTTTCAATCCAAATTTCTTTTCTGCCATTCATTTTACTTTTGCTGTCGTTGAAAATTGATTTTCATTAAACATTTAATTTTCAGTTGAAAATCATTCGTAGTAATTTACTGACAGCCTCATTTGCTATTTGTGCTATTTTAAAAAAAAAAAGTTTTTTGTTTTTTCAATTTCATTGAAAAAACTTTCTTCTTTACACCTTTTGTTTTTGAGATATTCTTTTTTATGAATGGAACAAATCAGAAATTTCAAATGTTAGTGCCAGCTTTACAATTCTCAAATACATTTCGTTTTCTTGTTGATGAAAATTTGCCATACGTTTTTTGTTTTTGAGCATTTTGGCACTTTTTATTTTTGAGTGATAGAAGAAATTTTTGCTTCAAATTATTTCCATTGGAATATAATTTATATTTTATGTATTTGAAAACGAAAAAATTTTCAACTGTCAATTATATTGGAGAATAAGGATAATTATTCATAGTAATTAAACAAAACTTATATAATTATTAAACAAATTAATTAGACAAATTAACTTCTAATAATTTTTGAAAATTTCTTATTCTTTTTTTGATTAGAATATAATTTATATTTTATGTATTTGAAAAAGAAAAAATTTTGAACTGTCAACTATGTTAGAGAATAAAAACAACCATTGATAGTAATTAAACAAAATTTATATAATTAATAAACAAATTAATTAAACAAATTAGCTTCTAGTAATTTTTGAAACAAAGGAAGAAAATAAAGCATTTTTTTTGTTAAGAAAAGAAGAAAACAATTTTTTACTTTTCTTTTGAAGAAATTAAAAATAAAAGAATATTTTGAAAAATAATTCTTTAAAAATATTTATGAAAAATACTAATAATAAGGGAATGATATATGAATGAGTCATTTTGGCATTAATTAAATAAAATATATTGAAGTAATTATGCATATATAATATCAAAGGTAATATTACTAAATAGCCCAACGTATGCTTCCTCAAATAAAACTTACTATACACTATCGTATCCCGTCTAATGCTTTCAAAAAGCATTACTGTAACGCATACAAAATTACAAACAAATGTTTTTCTATACGATAAATGGTAAAGAAAGAAAAAGAACGAAGCATTCAGCTAATGGAAGAAGAAGGTATAAATTTAAAGAAACTAAAACTGCAAAAGCATATATACTGCAAAATAAAAGCAAACATGTTACAGTAATCATAAAGATTAAGCGGAATATAACAGTACTTATTCGTTAGAATTACTATAGCATATTTTTACCTTTTTCCTTTTCCATTCCAATATTACTATAAAAACAACTATATTATAATATAGCAAAAGAAATGATTAGTCAAGTTGAAAATCAAATTAAATTATCAAATTGTTGAAAATTGAAAATAAATTTCTTTTTTCAACAAACTAATTAAAGTAAAACAATTTAAATCAATCTGTATTCAATAAACAATTATTAAATTACTAATTGTAATTATCACTTATCCAAAATTAAATCACTAATTGTAATTATCACTTATCCAAAATTAAATTACTAATTGTAATTATCACTTATCCAAAATCAAATTACTAATTGTAATTATCACTTATTCAAAATTAAATTACTAATTGTAATTATCACTTATCCAAAATTAAATCACTAATTGTAATTATCACTTATCCAAAATCAAATTACTAATTGTAATTATCACTTATCCAAAAAAAAGAGAAATAGATTGGATAATTATCGAAATTAAATAAGAAGGATGAAAATGAAAAGGAAAATCCAATAGAGGTTGTAAACAAAATAGTCATCGTATATTTTGTTTTCCAATAAACATTTCGCTTTTTTTAAAATGAATTTTTAAAATAAAATTTTAGGATAATTAACTTAACTATTTTACTATGAGTGAAATTGACTTTTGAACTTTTCTTTTCTTTATTCAAAATCACAACTTTTTCATTTTGTTTACAACTTCTTTTGTCTCAATTTTCCTTCCCATTTTTTATCAATCTTATTTAATTTTGATAATTATTCAATCTATTTCTCTTTTTTAATAAAAATTTAATAAATTTTCTAAAGGTAAGAAATTTAATTTTACTTTTGTTTTACTTTAAAAAGCAACCAAATGTATTTTTAAAAGAACACATAAAGCTTTATTTGATATCAATGAGCAGTGCCTAATAAATGATAAATTATGTGAGTGATAAGAGTCATTAGAAAATTCAAATGATGCAAAAATTGATAAACGTGCTAAGCATACTTACCTTTCATTAAGTTTCCTCCCATAACTTATCATTTAATGATGAAAATACGTCTATATCATGAATGAGTTGAATATTTCCTAATGTATAAAGTTACTTTGAATGTTGTATATGGTGCAAAAAGCTGGAACTTGATTTTTGAATTTCGAATTTCGACTATATATAGTTAGGGTTCAGAGTTCAAGTTATTATTTCTTCATATCAAGAAGACATTTTAACAAAAGCATAATTATTAAGAGATCGAATAAGATTAAAGATATATTGAGAAACATGAAGTAACTAGGAAACGTGATATTATTTACAGCAATCAAATAAATTAAAACAAAAATTATTAATTACTACTGATTTATTATCATCGATCAAATTTGATCATAGAACAAATTTCATAAACAAATTGATCGATGAGAAAATCACTGAATGAGATAAATATCTTAAAAATTTAACTTTTTATTTCTGCTAATATCACAAATCATAATAAATATCATAAATCATAATATCGATACGTTTCATTTTCAAAATTTTCAAATTTAAAAATGGAAAACATATCAATCGATATTGTTAAACATATTACAATAAATCAAATTTAATTTAAATTATTTGAAAAAGTTAGTATTATTATCACTTATCAATTTTTAATTACTCATCAAACACTAATGTTGCATTTACCACATTGTACAATGATTGCTGGAACTCATTCATTCAGTACTTGTCGTTGGTGATGATGTTGATGATGATGATTTTGGTGACGATGGTGAGTTTCCAGTTGCTTTATTTTCTTGAATTTTAGAAATTTTCAAAATTCATTTCATATTTCATTTTATTTAAAAATAATTGATACTTACAATTTTTCCACTAATACTGACTTATTTAGAAGTGTGGTAATAAAAGAATGAGAAAATAAAGATAGCAAAAAAGTTTTTATCTTATCTTTTAAAAAATATTTAACATTTTATTAATTGCATTCCACATATTTGTTTATAGCCGTACTTCTTTAGGGACACATATATCTACTTTGTTTATAGCAGTACTTCTTCAGGGAATTATCATTTATCTTATCTCAGATTCTGATATATATCAAATGATTATCACTAATAGTCACAGTTTATTATTTTGGTATGCCTTAAATGCTTATCTCGATATTTTCATATAGTCATTGTGATGATATTCACAATCTCAGGTAAGTGAAAGATAAAAGTAACAACCTTTATCGATAGATTTGGTTAAGCTAGCTGCTGCTGTTTCAGATTCCTCTCTTGCATTAACAGTTAATGATTTCGTCTGTGCCGTATACTTTCCGATATCAATATCTTTGGTGATGGATGGTGCTGTCATCACTGAACCTTTTTCAGCAGATAAACTTCGGGCAGTCCTTATCTCATTAATTTTTGTTAACGGTCCTCCTGATTTCTCCACTTCTGATCTAGAGGATTTTAAATATGTTGTTGGTGGCATTAATTCATCCTTCATAATATAAACCGGTAAAATAGCTTTTTCCGGTTTGTTTTCCACAAAATGAAACACAATCGGTTGTCCTCCTTCGATATGTGTCATATATGATGGTAATTCTGGCATCTGAAAATTACTTCATCATTCTCTTGAAACTATATTTTCAATTTCTATCGCAATAAAAAGCTCGATAGCATCTGAAACTCCAACCAATCTACCAGAATACTTATTGCCTTATATATCAATTAACTTAGTCCTGACATCTGTCAATTCTATAAGTTATTAGTGAGGAATAAGTAAGCAGAAGAAGCTAAATGTATGTTTTAAAAAAATGATTAATTATTTTGATTAATTTTTCTATCTCATTAGTAAGTTCAAAAATTACGCTTAAAACAAGAAAGGAAGTAATGAAATTTTTAAATGCAGTCTTCAGATTTCATTGAATATCAATAAATTCATCCTTATTCACGTATTATTCATAATTTCCACTTCTTTTATAAATTGAATTTTAGGACAACTTTCAAATTTAGCCTTTCTTTTAAAATAAAAATTAATATTTTGAATATTCCCTTTGCAACTTCATAAAGCTTTGATAAAATGAAAGGATTCAAATTTGTTTGATAAATATAAAATCAAAAGAAAAGAAATTACAGCTTTGAAATAATCATCGTTATCAATAATATATGTAGAAGTTGGTTCTTCGGCAGTTTTAGAATCTGTTGAAGTAGCACTCATTTGAATTGAAAAGAATTCCCAAACATTTTCTGATTCTTGAGTTTTCTACAAATTTTACCATTTTATTCTTTTATATGATTATAACATCATTTTTATTTAAGCATAAATTTAACTGAAATTATTTTTTGAAATGAAAAGGCTAAATTAAATTTAAACAATTTTAATTGTAATCACTATGACACCTTTTTCATCTATAAAATTACTGTAACCTTTTATAATTTACTGTAACTTTACGATATTACTGTAGAAATTTAGCCTTCCTATTTCAAAAAAGAAACAAAAACATTTTATAAAATTAATTAAATTGTGATTTAAAAAAGCGTTATAAAAATTTTGCTAAAAAATTTGTCGAACGAATAAATATGCCATACTTCCACAAGTGATAATTTATCCAATTGTTTTTTCTTTAATGAAATTTGTAAAATTTGTTCATCTTCCTCTTCCATTATTGCTTTTGGCCTCGTTATAAACAGAATTATAATTACGAGTAGTGTAATCGTTAAATTTATTAATGCACCAATTATGATTATCTATAATAGAATTTTAATTAAAACAAACAAAAACTTTTTATTGTTAATAGTTTTAATGATTTCTTAAAATGTAGGAGAGTAATTTAAAAATACTTTTCAAAATTGGATAGGCATAATCACTGTTATTATTGGGGATATTTTAGGCAAGTGAGTAATAATGCTGAATTTTCCGATATTTAATTTTGACATCTGATGGCGATGACAAATGTAAAAGATTATAAAAGAATTTGACATTTGACATTTGATGGTGATGACAAATGTAAAAAGTTATGAAAGAATGTCATTAATTAATTAATTAAATTAATTTTTAGGTAGTTTAATAATTTGAAATATGATTGCACTCTTTCCATTTGTTAACAAATTTCTAAATTATTATAAATTCATAGGAGAAATAATTGTTAGCTTAAATTTATCTATTATTTTCATTTTTTCATTCTTACAAAAAAGGCCAAAGAAAAATGAAGAGAGGAATAAAATAGGGTTAAGTTAAAAGTTAAGAGTAATAAATCAATCATGTGTAATAATAAATATCATACCTAAGGTAATTTATGGCTTAAAATGATTAATCCCGAATAATATACATACTTTTCAAATAGATAATTTCAAATAACACATACAAAATTAGGAGTGGACAATTTACTGTAATCCGGATGATATGATAAAGAGCTGATTGATAAACTGGATTGTATAACATTCAATATTACAACAAATAGCAACCAGCTAACCATAATTTAAATTAATCTAATAAATACAATTCATCTTCTTTCCAATCTTTCCCTTTGTATTCATTTCGAAAAAAGTATCGAAATAATTTGCATAATATCGTTTTTTTTTGGTGGATAGAAATTTTTTAAATTTAACTTAATAAATTAAAAACAAAAGGGAGATTTAAATTTTATGTAAAAGTTTTTTTTGAAAACTTTTTCTCATTTTAATTGAAAGGTATTTCAATTTTATTTTAAACCCATTTAAAACAAAAACTTATATAATTAAAATTAAATTATAAAACATGATGCCTTAGATTTAAATTAAATTATACAATACGAAATTAAATTATGAAATACGATGATAAATAATTAAATGAGTGGAATGAAAAAGATATATATTAAGTAGTTATATAAGCTTTTGTTTTAAATGAATTTAAAATAGAATTAAAATACCTTTCATTAAAAATGAAAAAAGTCTTTCAAAAAAAAATTTTATGTAAAGTTCAAATGTCATTTTTGCTTTTTAATTTATTGAGTTAAATTTAAAAAACTTCTATCCACTAAAAAGAACGATATTATGCAAATTATTTCGATACTTTTTTTAATGAGTAAAAAAGGGACCGATTGGAAAGACGATGAATTTTTGCATAATTTAACCTGACCTCTCTCATCCGTTTTTTAAAAAAAATAATGCAACAACGATGATTGCTGAAAGATTTGAAATATTCATCAAATTATAAACAATTCTCCTCTTCTTTTACTGACCTCTCTCATCCGTTTTTCATTCCGGTTATCATCGGGATACTTAAGAGAATTGCATTTCCTACATCTCTCTCTCTCTCTAAGTTAACTGAAATCATTTTACAAGACATGTTAACATAATGTATATTCACTGTACTCACATTAATAACTATTCTCACCGATTAAGTCGCGATCGCAATTAATTAATATATGAAGTTTGACGGAAAGCTTTACGGAGCTTTTCTCATGCAACCGGATGTAACCTTCAGATGGTATTATGGATGTTTACTGATATTTATTTGCCATAATTCATATAAAATAAATTAGAAATTAAAGAAACAATGATATACCAACAAAAAACGAGAGAAGAATTATATTAATTGTTTATCAATTAAATTAATAAATAATTAAGGACCAATAATAATACATTAATAATGAATAACTTAATTAATTATGTTTTAATGTAAAGGGAAAAGGTAGTTATTCTCTATTATTAAATTTAAATGAAATAAAATTTGGGAAAAACATATAAATGAGTAATTAAATTAACTAATAACCAAATGAATAAGTTAACTAATCAAGTAATTGAATGAAATAATAAGTTATTAAGTAATTGAGTTAATAAATACAAAATAAAATGACAAAGCAAACCATTCACAGAATACACATTCCCTTTCAATTCACATAATTAACAGTTGGTGACAAATGTGAGCAAAATTAATTGAGAAAATTTGGAATGGGTAAAGAGAGATAAAGGGAGAAAGAGAGAGAGAGAGAGAGAAAGAAAGAGACTACTATTACTTTGAAAAATGCATGTCGTGCAAGTGGCGAGTACACGTTTGTCAACTGAGGCGTACAAATGCTTGCTATGTGTCTGCTCGTACGTATCGTGTAAGCACGTCATGTATCTTAAAGCCGCAAACTTCATCAAAATGCCGCTCTTTCAAGTTGACACTTGTTTGCAGCTTTGACTTCCAAAGAAGTTAACAAGTGGATACTTTTATGATATGACCGAATGTGGGATACGGGTATATGTGACATATTGTGCTTTCGACATGTCTATGTATATATGTATACTTACGTGTGTTCGAATGTGTGCATTTATTATGTAATATATACAGTCCTACTATTTATATTTACGTATATGTGAATGATGTACGTTCACGTGTGCAAATGAATTTCCGTGTTAATAATCTATGTCTACGCGTACATGCATGTCGTGTCTTTAAGGGTGCATCTATGTATGCGACACATGTGTGTTTTCAATATGTATGTATGTTTATATGTATGTGTGTATGTGGTATACGAGGAGCTAGCAATGTGGCACAGTGAGGCTCACCAGCTGTCACCGAATCGTTGACAGATGAATGACTTAATTGTTTCCTCTCAATTTTTTAAGGATGAATGGGGACATTTGTCATCGTGGGATAATTAAGAAAGATCGAGAACCTTCTTGAAATGATACAGAAGGAATGGTGTGGTATTTGGTGTACAAACCACGTGTCATCCATCCATCCATACACACATCCATTAATCATTCTCACGGTTCACACCAACTTATGTTTTCTTCGAGATTTTTGATCACGAATGGATTTCAGATAATCTGTTCCATTACTGGGGTCATCAAATAATGATATCTTCGTATAAACAATTATCGATAACTATAATTTTTAATTCTTAATTTCATAACGTTCTAATCTGAATAAATATTTTCGTACTTGCTGTTTTCAATATTTGATATTTGGCAATATTTTAATGAATATTTGATAGTTGATAGCGTACGAGTGTATTTTGATGAGAAATCCGGTACTGATAAATAATTAATTGTTGCAGGTGGAGTTGAGCTTTATTGGTGAATTTGTAAGCGACGGTTTCGTTATTTTGAAGCAAACCATCAAATCAATAAATAGTGCGTTGCATAGTAAACGATGTCATTAAAATCAGTCGTATTGGGCGATGATCGAGAAGCATCCATCAAGCATCAGGTGGAAAAAGAACTTAACAAAAACATTATTAAGTTGTCTTCTAAAATAATTAATTGATCAATTGCTGACCAAATAACTCTTCGGAGAATATTGGGAATAATTGCTGGAGTTTAAACTCATATTATTGTCTGAAATCTTTGAATATGAATTGCAAGAAACTCAAGATTAATAGTTAGCATGGGAAGGTGGTACGGACTGTGTTCAAGAAATATTTCTTTTTCAAACTTCCATTTGTAGTTTGTTGAAAATGAATTCAAAGATTATGAAAACTGCTGAAGAAAAGTGTTATGGGTGATTTGAAAAAAAAGACAAGAAATTTTTGCTCATTTTTTAGCAGCAAGAAATAATGGAAAAACACGAAATACTTTTGAACTTCAAGTCAATGATTTTTAATCTCCTGATCGTAACAGTGAGAATTGAATTATAGCTCAGTTTAACTTGCCATTCACGAAAATTTCGTTTGATTAATTGACATTCTTTTCTTTAATTATTACATATTGTTCGTTGCCATCGTTATTTATCTGACTTTCAGGTTGTATCGGTACATAAAGCGTTAAATAAAAATGAAGTACCACTTAAACATAAACATGCACGGCAAGTAATCGTTGGAACGCATAAGGAGAAATCTTGTGCATTATTTTGGAGTTGTATTTCGCGCATTCAGCTGGAAAAAAACCCAGTCATTAGCTGGAAATTTTGTCATTTGCTTCACAAGGTTTGTTTTTACTTGAGAAAAGATTTCCAATTAAAAGAATTTCAATACATAAATTTTCATAACCAGTATGTCATCAGATATTTTAAGACTTTTTAGAGATTTACATTATTTCCAATTAATCTGATGAGATATTTTAATTCTGTTTGATGATTATTAGGTATTGTTTACGATACTTTATCTTACTTTTCGGCGCACAACTGTAGATATTTCAAGGCCTAGTAGTCTTTTTTATGTTTTTTCAATAGTGAATTACAGTAGATGATTCATCACTAAAAACGAGTTTGTGACTGTTTTAAATTAGTTGGCCTTTTGCAGGTTTGCAAATGTTACTTGCCTTCCCTAATAATATTGTATCGGCTTGTGCTTTTTGCAGCTAATCCAGGATGGTCATCGAAAAGTGTTAGAAGAATCGGTTCGGTATAAAGCCCGTATCGAAGCGCTAGGGAATTTTTGGTATCATCTTGAGAATTCCGATTACGGTCGGCCTAATTCTTCTTATTGTAAAATGCTCGTCAGCCGCCTCGAATTTCATAGCCGAGTCAGCAATTATGTTTAGTCGTTTTTTTTTTTTTGGTCATCCACAGTCCACGTTTTGGAATTTCTATCCGTTGTGGAAATCCTGAATTTACCTTTGTTTCAGAATCATTCTATACCGGGGAATCTAAGATTGAACGCTAATCAGGTTAAGGCATTAACAAATGCTGATGTGAACCAGTCGTTTGAGCTTTCAATTGAAATGCTGGATCAAATGGATGATTTGCTGGCTTTGCAGGCGGCCGGTAATTTTTTAATGAATTATAATTTTTTATTATCTAACCAGATGTTAAAATGTTTTGGTGAAGGCTTATATTATTTTAGTTCTCAGAAAAGTGGACAATGTTAATTGGAGTTCTTTAGTTCCTCAAGGACAGTGCATGTTATCACCATTAATACTTATAATTCTTGATACAAGCAAATTCTATGATCATCTGGTGAAATTAATTTTCAAGTTGCATTCAAGTAAGCGATATTTTCTATTCGTGTAACACATAGGCTGGCAAAAAACAAGCTTTTTGAATATGGTACCTTGAAAATAGAATTTCTGATAGTTTTGATCAAAGCAATCTTCCATTTTTAACGGGTTTTATCCAACTGGATCTATCATTAGTCCTTATCTTGATCTTAATACCGTACGCTCGTCTTCACCTTTTTTCGTTTTAGAATATTTGCAATTTTATTTCAACCATTACTGGCACATTTTCAGCTACAAATTTTTTCAGAATTGCCTCCAGACGCACTGCAAGGTCATAGGAGTCGATTCAATTCTATTTTTCAGCAAACAAAGGAATTTTATGAAACTTCAACAAATTTGCAGTATTTTAAATTTCTAGTTTCAATTCCAAAACTGCCGACATATCCACCTAATTTTCTTCAGGTATCACATTTATCTTGCCTTTGATTTTCTCCTTAATTTCAGGTTTCTGATTTTTTAATTAACTTAATGTCGTAAAAAATTTGGGAAAGTTTTAGGCATCTGAACTCGAAAGTTATCAAGCACCAAATGCTTATCTTCACGGTGATAACGTTAGCGAAGCCGATACTCCTCCTGATGAACGATCTGTAACTGAAGAAAGTTTAGTCGATGTTGTAGAAACTGGATTGCAGAACAGTTTTGATCATATGGGTTCAAAGTAATTCTTGTGCTACTTTTCTGTGATTTACCTTGTTTCTTCCTACGTCGTTGCAGTGTGACAAATTTGTTCGCAGTTTTAAGTTTCACTTGCCTAGTTTGTTTCTTGTACTGTCTTCAGTGCTGGTACCACTTCTTATCTATTCCTAAATAATCGTAATTTCAGAGATGCGATAATTGAAGCTTTAAGGCGAGACGTGGAAGATGCGCGTTATCACAATGAAAGGCTTATGAACGAGGTATGTATTTCTATTCACTTCTACTTTGGAGTCTTTTGTTTAGCTTTGCAAATTACAGTTACAATTTATTTCAGGCACGTGCTCGTATTGAACAGTATGAAAAACGCTTAGTGCAAGCGCAACAAGAAAATGATCATTACAAGCAGACACTGGATGAAGTGAAGGTGCACATGAATATTTATCTAATATTATTATCTGCGGATGCCCTTAACTTATTTTCTATGTTTAACGAAATTTATTTAACAAAAAAAATATGATTTTACACTTCGAAATTTAGGGCGAAGTCGATAGGTTACGACAGTTAACCATAGCAAGGGGACAGCAGGCAGTCGATGAGGCCCGGTTACTCGAAACTGAACAAAAAGCTCAAAGCAGTGAACTTAATTATCAGAGAATGAAGAGCGCTTATACTAATTTACGACAAGAGCACATTGAGGTAGCTTTTATGGCGCAATTGGTACTTTTATTGCTCTTTTCTTTGTTTTTTAGAGTGTTTAATCAGGAAATATCGATTCCACGTCTCTGCGCTTCTGGTTGGGTCGTGTAATATGGTAATTCAACCACAATTATTCTTGCTGACATAGAGTTTTTAGGCCCTCAAGAAGCTTTCTGAGGCTCAGAAAGAGTTAACATCTTGTCAGACGGAGAAGCAAGGCAGTGAAGAAACCATTTCAAATCTGGAAAAGAAAGTAGCAGATTTGGAACAAGAAACAACCGATAACAAAGAAAAAGTACAAGATGCTAGTATAAACATCGACAACCTCCAAAGAAGGATAACTGAACGAGATAATGAAGTTCGGGAACTGAAGCAAGTATGTTGTAAATCAAAAAGTATTGATGACTGGATAAATCACATGAACATGCAAAACTTTCAACTGTTCGTATCCATATGATTTTGACAGATAGAACTTTCTCGTTTTCCGGCTTCTTTTTTTGATTCTCCAATCCTACTGTTCAATGCACTGGATACTAGAAATCAAGTATTTTAAATATTAAGTTGCCACATTTTCCTTCGAATTAGGTGAAGAACAAAAAAACCATGAATAATAGAGTTAAATAATATTAGTTCAGAGGTTGATGTTTTAAAAGAAAATCTATCCAAAAGACAGGAAGGAAGTTTAAGATTAGAACAAAAAATTCGAGCAGTAGGTGGTTACGTTAGTAAATTGAGATTTGAGGCAGAAAGATCAGTTTCGGAGAAACAGTTCTTTGCTTAATAATTTTTTTTGTCTAATTGATGTTAAATGAAGTTTCCTCGAGCAAGTAGGGTTGAAAGCGACAAAGTCGAAAATGATCTGTCAGGATTGCTAAAGTGATCTGCCAGAACTGTGTCGGAAGATTTAGAAATTGCTGACGAGATTTGTACGTAACCATTAGCGGTACCAGTAGATCATTTTATCTCAGTCTGAAGTGAACATTTTGGTTCAGAGATAAAGGAAAATTTAGTCTAAATAGTCGGAATTTTTGCAGACAATGGAGCAGATGAAAGCAGAAAATATCAAGAATGTGGAAGAAATGGAAGAGAAAAACACAGCCAAATTAGACACTGTTCTGAAAAATTCATTAAGTAATAGTTTTTTTATATTTCATTTTCGGATATTCATAACTTTATCAAGCTTCTATGACAGTTATACAGTTGCATTTTTATCTCGTTCATTTCACCATTACAGTTTCTTTGGGTGAAGTGTATAGTCAAATCCTGAAACAGTCGGGTGAGGATCTCCAGCATGTTTTATCAATCACTTACCCTAATCGTAAGTACATTTTTATTCATTTTTTAGTAGTATCATAAATACATAAATACAGTAAATAATTACATTCGTAAAGAGTCATGGCAATATTTTCATGGATCATATTTTGCGGAGATACGAGCTATGGTCTTACTATAGCTCATGTAATTTCCTATTTATCATGACTCTTTACGAATGTTTGAAAGTATTTGGTAAAAAGAAAGGTTGGAGTATTTTTGGCATTGATTTTATTGTCTAACACTTAACTGTGAGTTCGCTCTTACGATAACTGTGACATAAATTTCAGAATTAGTTCTACCAGCTCTTCGTTTTGTCGTTGAAACTACTGAAAAAGCGATTAATGAAGCCGATGGTGAACAATCTGACAAGTTATTTCGTACTTTGACTTTTTTGGGGCATTATCTTGCTGATGTTTTATTAAATAGTGCTGCTGCGGCTAATGTTGTTTCTATCGAGCATTTTCAAAGTATGTTCACAATCAGTTCTATTATTCGTGCATTTGAAATGTGATATTTTTATCTCCTCGATTTTCAATTAAAAAAGAAAAATGATTTGAAGGAAATAGAAATCGAATGCGGAAACTTAATAGATTTATAGATCTGACATTTTTTACTTCTACATCAATTAAATTAAAGGAATTTTTGTTTGGTAGTTCCATTATGCGCATTGCAGTAGTGCAGGAACAATGCTGTATTGTAATAGCTGACGCTGTTACTGCTTATTCAGTGGTTGGAAACCGAAGTTTGAAGTCTGTTAAGGAACCTTTGGTAAAGCTTAAGGTAGGTTATCATATTTGTCCGTGTTAATACTGGATACATTTTGACTATCGGCACATGTTCAAATTGTTAGAAGTGATTGGACTTTTTCGCATTTCATTATTCATTTTAATTTTGTTATACTATTTATAGAGTTCTTTGGAAAGACTAGAAGAAATGTGTCTCAATTTGCCGGCTGGTTCGAGTGATGTGACGGCTGAAATAATCGGTGCTGAACTTGAGCAAGAGATGAAACGTATGGACGAAGCAATCCAAAAAGCTGTACAATTAATTGAAGAAATGCAAAAGAAAAGTCGAGCTACTGATTCCGGGATACGGTTAGCAACTTGTTAAAATATGTTCTAGTGAAATGGAAAATTTCTCTCATAATTTAGGCTTCACAAAGCCTTTGGATTCACTTCTCTCGAAAAATAATCAATGTCATCATATTCGACGTGTTTCCTGTAAGGAAGTCATAAATCGGATCATTCTATTCATATATTTTGAAAAATTATTATCAAATCTTTTAGAATTATTAAACACTCTATTCCAGTTTAAAGGTCAGCGAAGAAATTTTGGATTCTTGCAACCAGCTAATGGCAGCAATAGTAACGTTGGTAACAAAAAGTCGAGCATTGCAAGAAGAGATCGTTGCCGCTGGTCATGGCACAGCTAATCCAAATGAATTTTATAAACGAAATCATCAGTGGACTGAAGGTTTACTTTCAGCAGCTAGAGCGGTTGGAGTTGCAGCAACGGTGCTTGTGTAAGTCATCATCTGCTCAACAATTTAAGTAGCTTACTATTTATTGTATTAGGTACATAACAACATTTCGTTCAGGTACATAACAGAAACCGTGTTTTAACTGTAACTGATAAGATTTTATCAGATTTTATCATTTTATCGTTTTATCAGATTTTTAATAATAGTTTTTGTATGAAAAACTTCTTTTCCAACCGATGTTGTTTAAATTATGCTCCAGAGTCAATATTTGTGTTTCTAATATATCATTTAATGTTGATACACCTCTCACTATCCCATTTACAGTCAAAGGGCGGATGATGTAGTTTCTTGTCAAGGGAAATTGGAATATTTGATTGTTGCATCACAAGAGATTGCAGCAAGCACTGCACAATTGTTTGTATCATCTCGTGTGAAAGCAGACCGTGATTCACAGCGATTGAAAGAGCTCTCTGCAGCATCCTGTTCGGTAAATAACTGTACTGCAAATATTGTTGCTACGGTGAAAAATGCTCAAATAACCTTGAATGAGCAAAGTAAGTTCCTCTTCTGCTAAAGACTGCTTTATCAAGACATTTAACTTCCTCCGAAGTAACAACAAGTAAACACATGCCGTGTCTTTAATAACTTTCAAAATCCGTTTCAAATACCTTATGCTTCATTTTGTTATCGACATTTTTATGCAACAGAACAGCAAAAAAAATTATGAAAATCATATTTATTGGAATAAAAAGCAAGTATTTAATGTGATAACATGGCAAAGAAGTACCATTTTCAAAGTTTTTAAAAGAATGTTGTGATTTCTTGTCACAAAAATTTGAAGTAGATTTTTTAGGAGATCTCGACTTTAGTCATTATACTCTACACGATACAAAAAAAGAAGAAATGGAAAGCCAGGTACGTATTTTGGAGCTGGAAGACAAATTAGTACGCGAACGGACACATCTTGCGCAGCTAAGAAAGCAACATTATCAACTCGCCCAAATTGCTGAAAATGATAGTATTTCTGCTGATAGATAAAGCGAGCACAATGATTGTGCTATGAACTAAGCTAAAGAATCTGAAAATTTATTGTTGTCGGAAGTCTAGAATTTTGTTTCGGTTTTTAATTCAAATAGACATTCATTCTTTTCAGTGTTAGTTTTATATGTACTTATATATAAAATTATGATATTTTTGGGGTTTTGGTTAGCAAACATAACATCAACATCATTTCCTATAGTTTTCTCTATAGGTCTCAAACTACATGATGAGCTTTATCTATTAGTTCTTTTAGAATTGAAGAGATCAATTCTGCTACATTTCAGAAAAATTCTGGATTGCTAAACATGTCAGTAAAAATGCTTTATTGTATATTACTTTGTGATTTTCATTTAATTTTATGAACTCTGAATTTGAATTTCATTAGTTTAATTAAGATTTCTGTTTTTGGATTTGAAAATTTTTTTCCATTGCGGATTATAGTCGGTATAATTTATAATATTTAAGCAACTAAATTGTTGAATTTTATAGTTTTCTCTTTGGTGAATTGAGAAAAGCAACGAATTATTATGTTTCTTTGTGATATCATTCTTGTGATCACTAATATTTGATCTATCGATACTTATCTCACACATAGATTTTCTTTAATCTTTAATGTACATTGCATATGCTTTGATTGATGATAATAACTACTGACGCGTTTATGAACGGGAAAAATAATTTGTTATTAGGTATAACTGTCACATAGGTTTATTAATAATTGCTTTGATCTAAAGTGATAATCAGTTTGATTCGATTTGATTCTCATATGTTAGCAATTGATAGTATATTTATAATTTGTCATTTTTTTTCACAGGTTTGAAATCTTCAAGCTTCTCACTATTTCACATTGTGAAAACTATATTTGATGCATTTTAATTCATTTATTTTTTTGTTATTTGTGCAAGAATTTTTTAAGAGCAGCATTAAATCTTAAGTTGCTTTTATCTATAGTTTAAAATAATAAATAATTCAACTAATATAGTTGCATTATCTTTTTGTTTTTCATGCATATTAGTTGTTTCTAAAAAATCAAGCACTACTTGCAATATTAACGTATCATTATCCTTTGGTATTTTCCTTTTTCCTGAATAAGCTATCCGAAGGTTGTTTGAACCGATAAATTAGTGAAAATAATTTTTGTTCGTTTTTTCCAGTAAGTTTTCCATCATGTGATTATTATGCAGCTGCAAAGAGGAAGTTTGTTCGAATTCATTATGTGAGATTGTGGAAGGTATTGGTTAATAGTTAGGAATTTATTTTGCGATCAATTGTACAAAAATCAAGGCTTTTCTAATTCCGATTAATATTATGAAATTTATGAAGGCGATACTATTTTCTTTTTCTACTCAGATCTTCATTGGAATTGGCAAATAATGGATGATGTAAATGGACATGAGCATGATGAACATTCACCGTTGTTAAGCAACGAAAGATCAATAATCACTCCAAATTATGAAGGTGTTGAAAGTCAAGGTACGGAGACTTTTATATCGGATGAACCGGAAGGATATGTTAGTCATGAAGAAGAACGTCATACTGTACCGCAAATAGAGCAAACAATTTCGCACGCTATCGGCGAATCAGGCGAAGTTTCCAGACATACCGGTCCAACTGTTACATGCCGTGTATGCTCAGCTACAATTGTTATCGAAGGCAAGGTCAAGAAATTTTCTTCGAGATTTTCAATTATTGAGTAAAAATTTTTTTTTATTGTCTAATAGATTATACATTAACAGTTGCTGGAAATTTGGATATTGGACAATTGTTATTCAATGAGGTATTATCTGGTGAGGATTCTTTATTTCTTATTGGATTATATATTAACATTGCGTGTGAGACAGCTTAACAAATGGACAGTTTAATAATTCTCAGTTAAATTTTAATTAATATTTTGTAGTATGTTATATATTTATTCTTTATGAAGCATTTTTTTTCAGACTAGACAACATGTGGTGAAGTGTATTCACTGCAATGAAGCAACACCAATTCGTGCTGCGCCATCTGGTAAAAAGTATGTACGTTGCCCGTGCAACTGTCTTTTGCTTTGTAAAGCTTCTTCAAATCGTATCGCTTGTCCTCGTACCAATTGTAAACGTGTTATCACGTTAGGTGGTAGTGCGCCAGTTGGTACTGCGGTTAGGTATGTTCATAATTTTAGTATGTTTTCAAATTAATGCTGGACAGGAATTATGTATGGTTTCATCTATTTTTAAAAAGGAAAAATGAAATCAACTTCTTGCTACGGTGATTTGTCATGGAAGAGTTTTGCAGTAAGTTTATAATAGTAACTCGATATATTTCTATGAATAGCCGTGTGCAATGAAATGACACATTTTATAGAGCTCCAACTGGAACATGCCGAGTTCTGTGTGCTCATTGTCAAGAAATTTTCATGTTCAACACACTCAATGTTACCGTTGCGAAATGCCCACATTGTCAGAAAATGTTAGTTTACCTCCATAATTCAAAAACTATGTCATTTCAGTGCATTTGAATTTTTGTTCGTGTATTAAGAAATCTATAGGAATAAGTAGAATAAAGAACTGAATTGATAATTCTTAGCACATATCATCTTTTATACACGATTTATTATTTTGTTAGTTGAAGAATGAATAAATAAATGTTATAGTTCATCGGTGGGTCGTGAATATGCTCGTAACAGAGCAATCTTTTTCGTCGTCTGCTCCTTGTTGTTTTTAATAGCTGCGCTTGGTTTAATGGTAAATTCCTTCATTCATTATTCCTCTGAATTTTTATTAAGTGTTCTAGTATTTCGAGATAACAATAGCTTATATTAAAATTCAATAATAAACTTCATCTATATTTTTTTTGATCGTTTCATCTCTATTATTTTAACTCATAGATGTTAATTCATTTCTCACTTTTCAATGACATTGCGCTTAAAACATGTATGTTGACGTATTATTATTAACATTCATACTTCAGGCGTTACCGATTTAATTGAGAATGATCAGAATATAAAACTTTGATTCACTGGATTACTTCTATTTTTTTTTTTTTACTAATGGTATTTTTTCCAGATAGGGACGTGGCATTCGGCGAAATCTGCAACTTTCATCTATCTTATCTGGCTGTGTGTCATTGCTATCGCGTTGTTTTTCTTCTTCCGTTTCGCGTATTTTATAAAACTGAAAACAAGCACAGTTATTTCTCCATTGTAACGAAATACGGTTTGCTCGTATGTCTTTGTAAAAAAGATGTGATTCTGATCCGGCGTTGAACTTTTTTGTATGCCTTAACTGTTTTACTTGCAACTTCTGCTTCAGCATTTATTGCTTTTCTAGGAACTTTTATATTGCTCTGCAGTCTTTTATTTTTAATTTTCGATTGTATAAACGATGCATATATATTTTTTCAATCCTATATGGATTTATTGTGAAAACTTTTATTCTATTTATAATAGATTCTGTATAAATGCAATGAAGTGCTCTATTTTCCAATCTTATTGTTAAGCTCATTCCAGGGAAGAGGTTTATCATTATTAGTTTTTCTATTTTAGTATTTTATTAGAAGGCTTTTTTAATTATCATCCTAGATGAAAGTCTATAATACAACATAATAAAATGCTTGGTTTTGGTTCTACTCCAGCAAACAATTTACATGTTTTTTCACTCCTCAGGTTTTTTATAAGCTTCTCTCACTTATTTCATACTCCTATTAGGTTCACTCTTAAAGACTTGATTAATGTTTAAAGAATGAGTTTCATTGTAAGTGATTTTGTAAATGAAAAAATCATATAACTTTTCCTCATCCGTTTTCAATTGCCATATTTAAAAATGGAACCTATTATTATACAAATTTGTAAGAATTTAAGACTTTAGTTGCTTTTTGCTCTAAATATATTTTCAAGATTAAAAGATTCCATGAATTGATTGATATAATTTTTAAGCTTCTCATACTCCAAAACAATAATAATTTTCAGGTGAAAATTCCGTAATATTATCGCTTCTCTTATACTATTGCTTGTGAAATAATTTAATAAAGAATTACTTTCAATTAGATTTCCATGAATTCTTCCCTGGAGAATTGTCTCACGAATTTTCATTTTGGCTATATTTAGTTGCTTTTGCATCGGTTTTCAAATTGTCACATTTATTTTTCTAAATTGTTGAAATATTTTTTGATTTATCATAGGAAATTAATGTTTACCATCATTGTTTTATGCTTCATTCTCTGCAAAATTTTTGTTAGCAATGAAAATCTCAGATTTCTTTTCATGCTAATTGATTTAATTACGATTAATTTTCCGGTAGTTGTTTTTCAATTTTTAATTTATTTCGATTCACAATAGATCATATTGATATCAAACTTATTTTTTTGCTTAAGCACTCTCTTTTTCTTTCTTTTATCATTCTCATTTATTTGTTTATTTTCATCTTTCGCATGAAATAAATTGTAACAAAAATTGTAATGATTATTTTTGTATCATTCAAGTAATTAAGTATTAAATAATTAAATAATTAAATGTTCATATTAAAAGTTTGATCAATTTTTGTGAACAATTGGCGTAAAATCGTGAAATTTTATATTTCAAACTAATAATTACTTGATTAAATCAAAAGAAAGAAAAGGAATTGCATAAAATAATTGTTTCGAGGGTTGAAAATGTATATTTGAGAAAATAATCAAAAAGTTGATATCACACAATAATAGTTGAATATGATATGATAAGCATGGTCACATGATTTTCATATGATATTTGCTTATCATATTCAACATTATTTTAGAATATCGTTGTAGTATTTTACAATAAGCTACTTTGAATTAGATACGACTTTCAGAAGTTAGTAATTGATTGTGGTAGCTTAAATTTGGTAAACTGAGAAAAGTGAAAAGGAAGTATTTCTTATTTGATAGTATTTCTTTTTTCAGTTTCACCCGTATTTTATGGTATCCAGTTTATGCTGATGAATAATCGTTTGTTGGTTTTATCATTGTATAAACGAATTTTACGGAAAGCCGATAGTTTTGTATACACGGATAAGGAATATTTCTGTGAACGAGTTTATCGTGAATTTTTTTTCAATAAGAAAGCTACCGGTAAAAAGGCGGAACAACTTGTGCAGGTTTTTGAATTTTTTGCATTTTCAGTAAATGGGAGGTATTTGTCGTCATTTACTATACAGCATTAGCTGAGAAATGACTTAAGAAAAATCACTGCTATAATTTAAAAGTTCTTTATTTAAATTCAAATTATACGTGTCTATGTGGTAGGAGCAAATCCTTTTATCTATATTAAAGCACCAGAAGAATTAAAAAAATAGAGTATTTCAACTGGTTTTGGGTGGAGAATAAAGGACTAGTTAAAAGAGTTGACTGATTTTTAACAAATCTTTCATCCCAACTTTAGAAACTCAAGTGATGAATCTGTAAGAAATTTTGTTTGAAGCTGTTGATGAAAGCTAGTTTTTATATACACCGTTCAAGTGTTTTTGTTCTATTATCGAATTTTTTGTTGACAGAGTATTTTATTGACAGTATCTGGTAATAAAGATGTGCTTTAGTTAAGTGCTTAGGTAATAATTAGTGAAATATTTTGAAATAATATTTTTCTATGCTAACAAAAAGGATGTTCTTACTAATATTATATTCTTTGGTTACACCACAGTTCTGTTTTTCTAAACGAATTTGTCAGAAACGTTTTACATGAAATTTGTTGATTTTAGAAAGCCGAACAACTGTTGAAGTTGGATCGATTTTGTTGACGTATAAATTATGGTTTGCATATTGGGAATTGAAAGCAGCGCTAATAAAGTTGGTGTTGGAATTATTCGTGATGGCAAGGTATTCATCTTTACCCATTATTATTACCCTCCAATTTTGCGTAATTTTGACGATTATGTTAATTTTCTCGCGGCATACATTTATACATTTATATGTAGGTGTTGTCAAATCCTCGGGCTACTTTCCATGCCCCACTTGGCCAAGGATTTCGACCACCCGAAACAGCAGCACATCATAGGCAAAATGTCGTTCGCATTGTTATTGATGCTTTACAACAGGCTGATATCAAAGTAAGTATTATAATACAAATTAAACGAAGTATTATAGTATTTCATATAATTTACACAAAACCACAGATCTTCGAAGTTTTTGTATTTTCTATCATCTCTCTCTCTCTTATTCAATTATTAAAAAGTTTGTAATTACCACAACACGTCGAAGCAGAAATATCGAAAGCATGTGGTGTTACATAAATAGTATTCTCTGGTCTGACTAACTTGCTTATCTAAAGTTTTAATCTTTCATAGTTAATGAAAGATCCAACAAAGGGTTTTGCGATCAAGTATATTGCATTTAGAAGTATTGTATGCTCTTTTATATGTATGTGACCAATAGTTGATGTTAGTTAATATGCGACATTGAGACTTTTCCTTAGAATCCACAAAATGAAATTGATGGAATTGCTTATACAAAAGGACCAGGAATGGGTGCTCCACTGCAAGTTGGTGCAATCGTAGCACGTACATTGTCGCAGTTATGGTCGATCCCGATTTATCCAGTGAATCATTGTATTGGGCATATTGAAATGGGACGTCTTATTACGAAAGCGGAAAATCCAGTAGTACTCTATGTCAGTGGAGGCAATACTCAGGTATATTAAGTTATGATTATCTTGCTCTTCTTATTTTGATTTTGATGAACATGTTGTTAGTAGGTTGATTTTCTTTCAGGTCATCAGCTATTCTAATCAACGCTATAGGATATTTGGTGAAACGTTAGATATTGCTGTTGGTAATTGTCTGGATAGGTATATTTGATTCTATTTGTTTTTGATACATTTGAAAAGTTCCAACTCATGTTAATTTTTATATACATTTCTTGCTTACGATAAATTTTGAGTGATTCATGAAAATATTTATGCTTCTTTAGATTTGCACGATTGGTAGACCTTTCAAATGATCCGTTCCCAGCTTACAATTTGGAACAGCTTGCCTTAGAAGGCAAAAAGCTTATCTCATTACCATATACTGTAAAAGGAATGGATTTATCACTTTCTGGCATACTTTCTTATGTCAAACACAAAGGTTTGCAAATGATTCGAGCTGGTGAATGTACTGCTGCTGATCTGTGTTTCTCTTTGCAGGTTAGTAGAAACTTACATAGTTCTATGGGACAATTATTGAAATTTCACTTATTTTCGCATAGAACTTTTGCTTGAATAGCATCAAAATTATATAATTTCGAAATTCGTGGATTAATTTCTGAAGGAAAATTCTTAGGAAATTTTGCATTAAATTGTCTTCTTCATCAAAAATATTTTCGTGTTTTACGGATTGAAATTCCTTTTCAGGAAACAGTATTTGCTATGTTAGTAGAAATCACCGAAAGAGCGATGGCACATTGTAGTAGTAACGAAGTATTAATCGTAGGTGGTGTTGGTTCTAATAAGCGTCTTCAAGCGATGATGTCAGCTATGGCCGAACAACGGTAAACAGTTTGATAGCAGTACTGTGAAATACTCCTTTCAAATGAAATTGTATTGGAATAAAATATATGGACAGTTTGGGAATGGTTTTGAATAAAATATGCAGACAAAAAATTTTGAACTTAATCTTTTTCTAGAGGTGCGAAATTATTTGCGACAGATGAAAGATTCTGTATTGATAACGGCGCAATGATTGCCCAAGTTGGTTGGCATATGGCAAATGCTAAAATGGTAATTGCTCTTGACGAGTGTAGAACCACGCAACGTTTTCGCACTGATCAAGTCCATGTTGTCTGGCGTGAGTGATGGGATTATGGATGAATCATCATCATGATATATCAGGAATCATCTTTGTTTCAGAACTAATGCAAATTTGGCTTTAAAATGCAACTTAATTATTTACTATCGGTGTATATATGCGTTAAATGGTGCAATTTTTTGTCATTATTTAGTAGAAGCAGGTCCGGTATTCTGTTTCTCTCCATCTGATTATGTCAAATGGTTGATTTTGCTTCCTCTACTTCTGAAAATAATTCTCTTCAAAGTATTTCTGAAAATTCACTCCATAATTGTGAGTATTATCTATTCGTTTAGTGAAAGAATAATCACTGTCTAGTGATGTATGGAATGATATATTATATATTGATTCATAAATCGTGAAGTGTAATAAAATTTCGCAAAACATATTTACTATTTTTGTGGTGACAATAAAATGCATAATGCTGCAGAAATTTTTCATGGCTAAACTAAAAATTGGTGCTAGACATTTTTGAAATAATCCCACAAATCAGCTTAATAGTATCTTACCTGTTTGCTAAGCAGATTTCATTTATTCCTGACATTTATTAGATAATCCAAATGTTGTTAGTTATGGATCTATCAATCGTCTTGACATATTTCTCTTCGAGTTGTTTATAATTTGCTCGTAAAATGAAAGAGTTATTTATTCTTTATTAATTTATTAAATTGCATCAGTTTCTATTAATCTCATTATCAATTCCTGCATTTGCATATGCAAAACTACATTTATTTATTTGTCATGCTTTTAGTTCAGTCATGTATAGAAGCAGCTGAGCGGTATTATTTCTGGATATTTGTTATTCTAATCCTTCCAGCCATTATTAACTTTGCTTCATTAGCGTTATCACTTGTCACCATTTTTCACGTTCGTCGATTGAAAAGTGTTACAGAAGCTGTCACCAGCAGGTGAATATTTTATCTTCTTAACATTAGAATGTTAGCTTATTTAATCCTCAATTTATTCAAAGTTTAAAAAAGTTTTGTAGTTTCCATTAATTTTTCCAAACTTCTTTTCAATTGTTTAATTGTCCTCTTTTTTTTACTTCTCATAGTTAATGAAAAGCTTAATATTTGAAATCAAGAAAAAGATGAAATAAAAGATTCCGAATTGTAGTAAACAATTAAAATGTAATCGTACTGAATACGATGAAAGATTTTCATAACATTTGAAGATATTCTTGCTTATAGCACCCATTGGTTGGCAAGAACGGCAAATCGAGTTGGATTCGGTATCACTGCGCGTAATGCATTAATGGAATATGCAAAAAAGAAAAATTTGGGAAAATTGATTCCAAGTAGCGCATAAAAATCGATTTGAGCATTCCTAAGTTTCATAGTTCAATGAATAACTATAATAAATTTGACAGTGATGACAAATTTCACTATATACGAATTTATTTTTAAATTTTTAATTTCTATTTATTTATTTGTTTATACTATAAAATATGCTTTTTGGATTCAGTAATAGAAAAAGTAGAATATATAAGAATATTTGTTTATTTTTATTTAAAAATTGTTTATCAATTTTTTTCAATCTCCTATAATTACAACTGTTTTTTTAATATTTAAATTTTTATTAATGTTTTATTCAATTATTTATTATTCTTTCTTATGATCAACGACAACAATGTATTTGATAATAAAAAATAATTTTGCTTCTTAATCCATCTTTTGCTTTCGCTTTCCAATATATATGCTCCATTAATTATATGTAACTCAAATTTTTGATAGTATTTCCATTAATTAACCAATTATAAACATATATCTTAATTGTATAATTTTTCTGAATCTACATTAACTCTAACGATGAATTCGATTTAATATTAATTAGTCTATGTTATAAATGATATGTTAGCATATTGTTTGTTCATGTTAACATTTGCAGTAAGATGCTTGATATTTCATTAACTGGTATCAAATTATTCGATTCTTAATTTAGTCAAATATATTCTTCAGGATTGATAAATAACCCTATAATACAATCCCTATTCTAATCAGGTTGTTTAACCTGATACCATTATTGCAAATGATCACTTATTTTATGCGTCGAATAAATTTGTACTTTAATTTTTGATCTACTTAAACTCTTACTTTTTGCTTTCTATTCCATTTCATATTTCTTCTCATTTCTTGCCAGTTTCATTTTCGGTGAAATTTTCGAATGACGCATGTATACATTGACATATTAATGATATCGAAAAAGAAAACTTGTTTCATTTCTTGTTCAATTTTTAGATAAAAGAAGTAGAAACCAAATTACACCATCTACAATATTCACAAATAAATATTGATTAATATTTAGTCTTATGAAAAAATTTTTCTTTCCGTTGCTTAGAAATAATGTAAAAGTTAATGAAAGTCATATATTATCCGAATTCCTTCATTATTTATGCAATACTTATTCCTTCATCATTATCATTATTTATTTATTATTCATTATTTATTTATTTATTCATTATTTATGCAATAATTATTTATGAAATACTTACTTTAACATTATTGTTGAAGATTGATTTTTAGTAAATTAATGAAACTTCTGCTTAGTTAAGTGATAATTAAATTGTCTGTTAATAATATCAAATTTTCAGTTAAGATAAAAAATCCTTATTAATAATTGTAAAGTGATAATTAAATTGTCTGTTAATAATATCAAAATTTCAGTTAAGATAAAAAATCTTTATTAATAATTGTTAAGTGATAATTAATTGTCTGTTAATAATATCGAAATTTCATTTAAGATAAAAAAAAAAGGATATAATTAGATTAACAATTATTAATAAGGATTGTTTGGAGGGTGAATGAAAGGTCAACGGTTAGGATTTTAATAACCCTTCTTCAGAATATTACAGTTTATGATGATGATGATGATGATGATGATGATGATGATGATGATGATCTGATTCTTCAAATTTTAAAAATAAATGAAATTTTCCTTTTTTTTTATCGTTTTTCCTTATCCATTCATTTTAATGATTATTTTTGATTCGTATATGTATATATTAGGCTAAAATTGAAAGTTGCTTTAAGTCCTAAATTATTTATATGGAAATATGTATTTTAATGAATTTTTAATATTTTCTAGTTGTTATTGAAATTGGCATTTCTATTACTAAACGATAATAGTTTATTTTATTTTAGATGATATTTAATCAGAAGAAAGTTGAAGGTTTTAATGAATTGAATGAATTGTTGAAAGATGTTAAATGTCGTGCTGTAATTTTGTTCACCGGTTCCAAGGATAATGGGAAAAGTTGGTGTCCAGATTGTGTTCGAGGTTTTTTCTTTTTCATTATTTTCACTTACCTTTTTTATAGTTTCAGATAATTTTTATTGAATTAATAGTTTTTTCCGACTTTTTTTTTTCTCTTTAAAATTTCAAAATTTCAAATCTACTGCTTATTTTAGCGGAACCAGTAATTGAGAAAGTCATTGAGGAAATTATATCTTCTAATGATATGGATACGGATTTTACATTTATCGAATGTCATGTTGGATTACGAACATAGTAAGCTTATCTACAATTTTTTGTTCGAATAACAACAATCCATATATCTTTTTTCAAAAAGACTTTTTTTTAAGATAATTTCGAAATCTTTCACATTTTTCTTATCATTGTAGCTTGTACGCTTACTTGAATAAAATTATGGCAATTTCAGCTGGAAAGATCAAACAAATCCATTTCGAACTGATCAAAGATTTAAACTGAAAGAAATTCCCACATTACTGGATTACAGCAATAAGGTTTAATCTTCTTTCTTTTTCTTTTTTTTAGAGAATGTCGTAAATTTGATCTCATAATTATTATGCATACGAGATTGATCCTCAAATCTCACATAGTAAAACAATACCTGGTGTAAAAATATTTTTATTATGCCTAATGCGACATCTAGTATGGAATTTTAATAGCATCAAATGTTTTACCATGTATATTTTCTTCTTAGGCATTGAAATTGTCTGGTGAACAGTGTGCTAATGAACTGCTGGTGAAGGAACTATTCCTTGAAGATTAATTAACTGTTAAAAGCACCTAATGCTAAAATTTACAAGACTCATGTGAATTTTAATCTTTATGTCATTCCGATAATTTATAATTATAGTTTGTAGTTTTTATCACTGTTTGTATGTTTGTCATCTCTTTTACTGGTCACTTTATGATCTATTTAGTATTAAAAATTGAATTTCTATGTGTGCGATTATTTGCAAACTTCATTTTTCTAATTTTTATTATTTTCAATTTTTTTGTTATTCATTAAAAATTGCTTCACATCATCCATTAGTTTCAAATCGCCAAGTTCGTCACCACACATTGGACAATCTTCTTTTTCGTCCTGAAGCCTAAAATTAATCAAATATCAATATAATCCCATTTACATTTGGAAAGAAATGAATAATTTCTTGTAGGCTTTTTTTCTTTTTTGATCGATGCAATTTAACTACAAATATAAATGTTGTACCTGGCAGCATTACGAAGCAAATTGATTGAAATAATTTAAATGAGTGAAAACTGGAACTCCGAAACAAGAAAACAAATTAAGCTTGCAATATGTATCATGATATAGTGGTATAATTGGGTGTGATTTTTCATAATGTCATAGTCAATTCATTTGATTCCTATTTAATCCATTACAAAATCTCTTTAATCATTATTTACTAAAGCATGTAAACCCTTAATAAAATTTTGTAATACAAAAAAATTTTCAATCTATTTAATTGAGAAATAAATCTTGAAGACGAAGAATTAAACGATGTTTATTCTATTACAGTCAAAAGCACTCAATGGAACTAAATTAAAATTCTTATTCGACAATCTATATTTTTTACAGCTTTGAGAAATTTACGAATAAATTTTGGAAGTTAGCCGGACACATTTCATTAAATCGAAATGCAACACGAATTTTATCATCATTTTTTTTATTTTTAATATAAAATGAATCCATACGAGAAGTAAAATTTGATGAATAACCTTTTTAATTCGGAATAAAAACCAGGAAAGCCACATGATGGGCACACTGTAAAGTCGTTCGTAACCAAATGTAAGCCCTGAAAAACATAAACAATGTCAGATTTTTGCATAAAAAGCGAAATTCGAACAAAATTTATAATTTTTGAGTTTATTGGAGATAACTGAGATAGGATTCTCACCGTAACAATGCAATAGGGGATCAAATTTTTGCATGATGCGCAAACAAGCACTGATTCTTCTGTTGGATTATCACAATATGGACAACATGTCTTAGGTTCTTCTGGATCTGGTAATCTATCTGATTTCCTGCATTCAAACAAATTCTAAGCACTCTAACATTTGGGTTAATATGATGTTTCTACGAAATATTGGAATATTCACTAATGAATAAAGAAATATTATATTCTGGAAATGAAGAGTTGTTGCATTAAAAATATTATGCATTTTGTCATGTTATAAATACATATAATCTTAAGCATTCAATATGTTTATAAGCTATCCATAGAGTGATCGTTGTACTTATCGTATCACCGATTTTATTTTATGGTTTATTTATTAATTTTTCGTGCTTCAGAACCCAAGTTTACATTTTTATTTTCAAATTCAGTAAAGTTACCTTACAATAGCTTCAATTTTCTTACGGTATTTCTCATCAATACTTTTCCGATTGCAATCCTTCAAAAGTACTACAGCAAACTTGAATGCCGATTCTTTGAGGCCTGCTTTAGTACATTCAATAACAGTAGTTGTAAGGATAGGTACAACATCTGTAAGATAATACTTTGCATGCAATAGTTATTTGGGATCCCTATGCTTATTCTTCCTTTTCTTTTTCCTTTTTTAGAATGAATAATTTTAACGGAGAAAATATCTAAGAAGTTGAAATTAAGAAGCAAGCAAGAAGATTAAAGAGGTTTCTAATTTCTTGATTGCCATTATGTAAATTCAGCATAACTTCTGAACTCAATAACGTTACTGTCTGATTCAGTGGCAGTTTTACAATAATAATATCAAATATAGCGGCTCTTCTAATAATGTATCAACATCAGCATTCTTATTTTTTCTTGAATTTAGAAATAATAATGATTACTAACGTGCTAGAAAATGGCTGATATTATTGGATACTCTTATTAACATACGTGCAGCTTTCATGTGTTCACCACGTTTTACCAAACTCTATTTAAAAAAATCATTTTAGAGTAATATTTTACGTTAAAGAAAAGAGTTTAAAATCCACAAAAAATGATTTGAAATAATTAAAATGTCAAAAAGGAAATAAAGACATTTCCCTCTTGTCTTCTGCAAGTTTAACTATTTTTAATTGTATATCAAGAACTCTTTTGGATAGTGGTTCTCCAACTCCGAAACAAATATATTAAACTATTCAGTAAGCCATAAAATGACTCAAATATTTAAAAATATACTAGCCTTTTCATGACACAATAATTATATCGTAAAATGAAATATTACAAAGTATTAAAAAACCGTCAGTCAAAGTTTACCTTGATTATGAGGTAACTATGCAATAACATAAGGTTATTTTGCACCTCAAATGGCACTTTGATCCCTTCATTTTGTAATTCTTGATACATGCTAAACAATAACTTATGTGCAATTCGATATGAACCATTTGCCTGCTCTTCGGCAGCTATCACAACCGCCGTTTTTGCCGCTTCGCGATACATTTTCATTGAAATATAGTATTTAAAGAGGAATTTTGGATTCTAAAAACTTTAAAATTATAGTATATAACTTTTTTTTAATATCTCAAAAACCACTGATACGATATTAAATCTCTCATTTTCTCGCAAAACAATGGATGAATGTGATAAAGCTTCGATATAACTTTTCACAATTCAAAAATAAAGCTCAAATTTACAAGTGCCATAGTTGAAATATCAGGATCAGTGTAAGCTACTTTCGAAAATAATATACTTAATAATAAGCCAATTTTCTTCATCAGTAAAAGAATAGAAAAACAAAAAGTTACAAAATAAAAGAAGTAAGAAGATAAGAAAATTCAAAACATACCTTAGGAATGCCATCAGCTCCACCAAGTAAATAGTTAATCATACGGGAGCTTAGATTAGGATCTCGTGCTTCTACTACACATGCTATTGCCGTATTCATCGCCTGTGTATCTTCACCGTTTGTAAGCAAATAATTCACTGCCTGAAATCATATTCATATAAATTGAGATACAAATTAATCACTTGCTACAAATCATTATTTCTTCCAATTATTGGTCAAAACTCATTTAACAAAAATGCTCAATTCATGCTACCGAATTCGATTATAAATAATTATTTTGAATATTGGATGTAAAAATAATGTATAATTTAGACTATGCCTTCAGGGTAAATAAATGAAGTATTTGATGGCTATAATTAATGATTTTTGGTGTATCCATCTTTTTGCTGCAGCTATCAGAATTACTTCATAATTTTGTTATGGCATGTTTCTTGATGAAAATAACCCAGAGATTGTAGTAGTCAATGCACTGAGGTCATAAAAATGATTGAAAGAGAAAAAAGTGTAGTAAGCACATCCAAAATTGTCAAATCAAAGAAACAAAATTTTCGTTTCTATTAGCTTCTGTTAGTGGTACACAGAAAAAGAGATTGTGATTCCTTTTTTTAAAGTAATTGCGGAGAAAAAAAATGCTGCAAAAACCTTTGTATATTGCCCAGCTTTGTAGTAAAAAAATCCAGCCTTCTGCGAATTTATATTTTTTGCATAATAATCAGCCAGTTGCAAAAATATATCCAACGTTCCGTCATCTTCAACAGCATCAGCAAAAACATCCATCTTTTGTTCCGCTTCTGCGAGATGAAATGCTTCCTGTAACGGAGGTAACCAAAGGAATTCTTGAAGATCTCAGTGATAAACTTGCTTGAGTATAGTTTTACTAGATAATATTTCACTATCACTGATGCGCTTTTAGAGAAGTAATTTTTATAGCGAATAAGTTAAATTCTAATGATTAATTTTGATAACAATTTCAAGATCTTACATTTTCAAAAATTTCCTTCTAAACAAAAAATTCTAACAATTCACCTGGTGGCAGTGGGAAAGCGCCAAAAACTGAATTGCCGAATCTTGATCTCCAAGTTTAGTGAAAAATCTAAAAAGGAAATAAATCGCAAACTACTAGAACAACATAAAATGGTACTGTATTGGTAGGAATATTCAGTGAAAATGGTTAGCATTGGATTTGTATTCATTTCAAATAAATTAAATGGGAGAAAAAGAAAGAAGAATATAGAAAGAACTCACTTTGCTACAAGTTTTGCTCCTTCAATGCTTTTGCTTTCCCGCACAACGCACACTGCTTCTTCAGGCTTATTTAAATGTTCTAATAGTAGCCTTACTAAATTATCATAATCTCGTGCGTATTTGTAAGCCTAAAATTTATTTTAATTCTCATAGCACCAAATATCAATATAAACATTATATCCACGTAGATCTATTTACTATTTAGAAAAAGTTTAATGAAAAATATTTGCAACAAAGAGAAATAATATTGAAACGCTACTATTGCAGCCTGCTTGTACTTCCTCTCTCCTTCCATCACTTTGCCATAAGCTATGTGAATTTTTGGCGAATGAACCTTGGGTAAAAGATTTTCCACCTTAGTCCTGTAAAAAATATGACGAATTTTGCAAAATTTTTTAATTTTAATCCAAAAGGAGTCAAAGTGAACAGAAATTTAACAGTAACATTTAGACATATAACGAAATAGGAAAAAGCTTGATATTAAAATTAGTAAAATTACCAATTCTTTGCTTTCAACGAAACTGCAGCAGCTCGATCATAAAAATGCCCAAGTTCATATAAATATGTTGCATCAGTGTACTGCTACAATTACTTCAAATTATTTTCCAGGAATATATGGAATTAATTTCTTTTCCTCTTTCTGGTCCCTTTATTCCACAGAACAACCTCACAAACAAACCTTTAGTTGTTCTAAAATTATCGCGCAATCACGTTTGATAGCTCGTCCTTTAATACTTGCAGCAATTTCAATTCCTCTGATAAAAAGAAATCTTTACTTTGAAGGAAACTAATATAAGCATATATAGAAATGCTTGAATCTTAACTATTATTATCTTAATTTAAAGCGAAGAGGCAAGCAATATAAAGATACATGCAAAAATAAATATAGATAATAACTGAAAAACAAAAAAGTGGTTTAATTCTCACTTACTTTCGAATATCTCCGGTACGAATACACATCCGAGCAATTCCGGAGTTGCAAATTTCGTTATGTTCCAGAATCTTCAATTTATATTTAAAACTAAAATTTCAGCACGCACCAAAATGGAGTAAGAGATCGAAGTAGAAATCAGGTTACTTTTTTTGGAGAACTGGACATCAGACAACGGTAGAGTATCAAGAAATATAAAATGCACAAAATAAACCTGTTCATTATTTTCGTCCGGATTTTCAATCAAACCATTTTCGTATTGCATCAGTGCTTGACTGTAATTTCCCCTAGAAACATTAAGAAAAAAGTTTTTATGTTTAAAAACATTTGTGATCTGAAATTCGATTTCATGTCCTACATAATTCTACTTTGCTTTCACATTGAAATGCTGAGCAGTTAATAAATGCGATATCCAAGAGCATAAGGCTTGCATAAATTCTAATTGTTGTGCATATTCTTTTGAAATCATTGGTACTTCTTCCTTAGCCAAACGCGTTGCCAAACTCAGCGCTTTATCCCACTGCAACAAGTCCTGACGCATCTGAAAAAAGAAACATCCTACGAATAAAATGCAAATGTCCTTGTTATATAGCTTCAACAGTGAACTTAGATTAAGACAACCTTATCCAAAGTTCACTTCAAATTACATAAAAGTTTTACACAATATAAGCGCATTTCCTAAGATTAAATAAATTAGAAAATGTTCAAAAAACTATATCTTACATCCAAAGCTTCTCTTGGCTTACTCGATTGTAAAAAAAATTCTTCTGCTATATCAAAGTTTCCCAATATTAGCGCTAAATATCCATTCAATAATGTCTTTTCCTCAATATATTGTATTTCTTCCAAACTCCAAACAATACCCACTGCATCGATCTGCTTGAAAATTCGAATTGCTAAAGAAATTTTTGCACTTTATTTTTCTGAAATTAATTCTATTCAGAGGTAATGAAGACTTAAATATTTTTAAACTAAAAGAAAGAACATAATTTCCGACAAAATTACCCAAATCCAATTCGCCATTTTTTGTGACTGCAATTGCAAATTTATTCCAGTGTTCATGAATTTTTGTATATTTACATATACGCCATGCATATAACCATCTAAAATTAGCAGTAGTTTAATTTTCGATTTTTTTTACAACTTTTTTGTACACAATAATTATCAGTCGCTAAATAGTAGCTGATATCAATGAAATTGTTGTGACATTAACGAATGAACGAACCTTTTAAGGCTAAGAGCTTGATCCAGTAAGTTTTCCATCTGAAATTTAACATATTTCTCATCAAAACCAATGTATATTTACAAAAATAAGCAATAAATATTTCATCAATGATTATTACTTACAGCATTTAAGGATTTCCCATCAAGTACTATATCAGTACGATGACTCTCTAAGAGTACGCTACCAATACGTCCATTTTGTGTTTGACAATGCACAATTCCATTAGAAAGCATCAATGGAATATATCCGTATGGTATTTTTGTGGACCCAATTTTTACCAATCTAACATCTGAAACTCATTAAATCAAATCTCGTCTGTAATACTGAACTTAAATCACTAAAATCACACAACTGTCAGGGAGTTTTTTATTTTCAAATATTTTATTTGTGTATGAGAAAGATAGACCTCAAATTATAAACTAATTGAATACCTGACTTTCAAAATAGTTCTGAGAAAATTTTACGTGAAAAGTGAATAATAGATATGTAAATGAACAACTAATCGGACAAGCAAAAGCGGCTCAGATAAAAAAAGATGAATGAAAATAATAATTGTTTCTATCACTATTATTTAGTTTCTATCACTATTAAGCATAATGCTTCGGTTGAAAGTCATAGCTGATTCCGGAATTTTAGAGTCAAATGAATTATTTCGTTTTAATGTTTTCAACTTTCAAATCAAATAACTATGTAATTTGGGTGAAAAACCTGAGTAAATTACACACTACTTTATCCTTTGCAACGATTGATTTAACAGCAAATCAATATTTGATGATTAATATTAAATGATGCTAAGTTACAATTAAACACACTTACTTTCTATTTGATTCTTTGATAGAAGGAAAACGTGAACAGTGTCAGAGTCACATATAACAAATGTATCACAATCCATGGAGAAATTCTCCCATAAACAATTCTTTAGCTGTAATAATAAAAACAATATGTATTCTTTTTTTTCCTTTTGTATCCTATTGTATCCTATTTTATCATATCTAGTTGATCCTATTGTTTTAAATGATATTTTTTTTGTGGGATTTTCTCTCCACATTTTATAATTTAATTAATTGGAAATTTTCAAGGTTAGAGATGTTAAAGACATATCTAAGTAAGAATTCAATGTTATTTGAAATTTTGTCATATTTTTTCTATTTAGATTTTTTTTTTTGCTTTTTTCGCTTGAGTTTTCTAAATCGTTTGATTTATCTGGAAATAGAAATGAAAATTTATGCTAGATATTTGAGGATTTCATTAAATTCTATTAAAATTTGAAAATTTACATGTGCAGTGGAATCGATTGATGGAATCTTGATGGTTTCATCATCAACGGGATTATAGACATAAGCATTTAAGCGTTCATCGAAAAAACAAAGTGTAACTCCTCCTGGTTCCGGATATAATGACGTTATTCTTGCCGAATGTTTGTATTCGTTCACATATGTTTCATCTATCAATGAATAGTAATAGAGATACCCATCCTGTAATTAAACAATAAGAAGAAATTATTCATTTTAACCATAAAATTCCAAAATCAATTGTAATTCTGAAAAATTAAAAATTGAGTGACAGACCAAAATTTCAAATGAAATATTTTTAAACAAGAAGATGCTTTCTTGTTTGAAAAACATTGTTACATTTTCAACATGTGTAAAGCGAAACGAAATTCGTACATTCGTGCAATAGATAAGGAAATTATCGGTAAGTGTAATATCCTGAAGCCCATAACTAGCATGTTCTGGATCCGGAATGACAAAGCCATTGCTCTCGGTGCTGTATTTTCCATCTTCATCATGTAGCTGTCAATTGTTTAAGAAGATATTTAATGGATCATGAGGAATAGCTCCTTTAGAGAAATTAAAATCATGAATATAGATCGTCGTGCTGATTATGGTGTGAACTTAGGTTAATTTAAAATTTTTAGTTTTCAAAACTAAAGATTTTATTCTACTGAAACTATTAAATTTTTGATTTTAATAATTGTTGATTTTTTTGCTATATTTTTTCTCTTTTTGTTTTTTTGTTTGAGTTTTTTGGATTGAAATCTTTCGAAGAGTTGTATTATGATGTGTTGGGTTTATGATATGTGTTTTTTAATCATACCTTTCGTAATTGAGCCCGATTATCCAGTTTAGCAACAGCATATTTCTCATTTAAATGTATGGCATTAACTGTTGACAAATATTCAATTTCATAGACATGCCGGACTCCTGCATTGTTGTAACAATTATGAAAAAAACGACTTAGGGATGAATGAATATGTTTGAATTCATATTATTTTAAATTGAACCGTAAAAATCAGATGCAAACAAAAAGCATGTATTTATTAATGGCAAGTTTTTGTAGCTAATGTAACAAAATAAACCATCTGTTTTGAAATTCATTCATCAGCGAAATTACAAATGATGAAATTGAAATTGCGTAAAAAATAAAAATCGTACTAATTAATTAAATTACCGTAGAATGCAGTTTATAAGTATAAAATGTGAGCAATGAAGTCATCAAAGCCTTATAATATGTAAGAATTTGCGTTACATTTTGTTTTTATACCTTTTGTTTCAACAATTTCATATAGCCATGCACGATTATTCATTGAAATGGCGATATGTTTTGGACCCAGTGCTAATCCTGTTGGTTCAAGTTCGATTTTCACTGTTGCTGATGGATTCTGAAGAGTTTTTGAAATTTTTTTTGGAATTTTAGTATTTAAATTTGAACAAGGTATCAAATCAATTTCTGAAGAAACCAGATCACCTTTTCTCCTTCGTTGAAGAGAGTTATCTCATTTAATGATGACAAAATAGCAATAGTGTTTCGGTAAGCGGCTCCTAGTATGGGCATTTTTGTTAGAAACAAGTGCAATGTACCAGATTGAGTACTGACAGCAACCAATTGTCCATCGTCATTTGTTGCAATATTACATAAGTCTGTGAAATAAGAAAAAGCAAAATTTTGAAACTTCCTTGATGAATCTAATCCTTCTAAAATTCAATCAAAATCAGTAAATATGATAAGTATGACTTCGAAAATAATTGATATATTAAAGAAAATAAACAAGTAATTCGGTTATGCAGTTAAGCTATATCAAAAATCTTCCGATGAAGATCTTTTCAATTGTTTGACATCTTCATCAGCGCAATCCAACTGCTAACGGTACGTAAAAATCAGTTTTCTGTTACTGTCAATTTCATCACTCCAAAATAGTCTTACAACTATTAAAATTTCGTTAATCTATGCACGATTATCAGTGGGGAACATCATCTTGCCTTTCATCAGTCAGCATGCTATAAATGCTTTTTCGAGAATTCCCAGAATAAATATTTCTCAATCTCTAATGTTGCCTAATTCCTATACCTAATACGATGTCTAATTTAGATTTGCCGAGAGTGTTAAAAGAACAACTGAATTTATAACGATTAACAAACCATTGTTCTTAGTGCCCACTTCGATAATTTCAACAATTTCATCAAGCTGATTCAGTTCACGTACTCGTATCCTAGAGCAAAGCTGAATAGAATTTTTTTGTTTCTAAATTCTAAAATTTTGATGAGAAACATCTTGAAAAATAGTTCATTAGAGTATATTTTTGTTTCGATGTGAACCGCCGTTAACCACCACAATATTTGTAAATTTTTTTTTTTTAAATTTATAAAACAAAACTTTTATAAAGAAAAAGCAAAACAAAACAAAACCCATAATAATAAAAACGCTTGTTAAATTTGTTAAAAAATTCGAAAAAAAGAAATACTTACTGACTGTCACCAGTTAGCAGAATTTTAGACGATGCTTCACTAATACATATAGACGACAAATATGTCTTGAAATCTTGTACTGTATATATTTCCTTAAAATACGCCACTTTAAAAACAAGCATTAAAAATGTTGTTGAAGGAACTTATAGGAATGTTGACTTCATAAACAATGACATAAGTAATGAATGAAATAACAGATCCAAATAATTTGTAAATAATTGATTCCAAATAAGTGATTTTTGAGAAAGAAAAAAGATTGAGATTGCAATATCATAGAAATAAAGTTAAACAAACCTGACCAATCTCCGAGGCGATCGTTGAAATGCAAACAAGAAAGCCTTTATTGAAACCCAATAATAAAAAATTATTCCGATACCTGAAAATTTTTTTTTGTATGAGAGCAAGAAATATTTCGACAATGATGTGTTGTCACCATTTTCAGCAATGGCACTGTCGATATTTCTGATAGTTATATATACATATATAATGCTTCTTTAAACAAAAACTTTTCGATCAAATTACGATGTGTATAAATTTTTTCGACAAATTAAGTTGTGAGAAAACTTTCTTAGACAAGTTTTTGTTTCGCAAAAACTTATCAAGTAAGCTATTTGCAACAGTAACAACCAACCAGCAATATGTTACGATTTCACCGTAACGAGCTTGACATTGAAGATTGATAGGCTGTGTGTCACCATTTAATTCTGCTAATACTATAGTATTTAGACCCACAACAGCACTTACCTGAAAAACGTATAACAATATCTACTTCAAAATCACTTAATAATAAAGAAATTCAACAATTCGAAACTAAATGAAATCCCATAAAAACGTTTTTTTCAGAAGATTCATTTCAAAAAAACGAACAAAAGGGAAAATGTTTTCAGTAAATTGTTATTCCTGAGAAATAATTATATGAGGTAATACTGAATGAATATTTTCTTTTCATTACTTTGTGGAAGTAATAAAAGTTAGGGCAATAACCACAAAAAAAAATAAATTTGAAAGTTTGAAGAAAACTATGACTAACCATAACGTCAGATTTGGCATTTTTATCATTCGGTTGCTTCCGATCACAGAATTTAATCAACGATGGTTCCATGTCACAAATGAACGAATATATCAAACCACCATCAATGCTGCTAACAGTGATCATTGAATCAGATGAACCAAGGGCAAGCCAATCATTATTTGAAAATGCTCCACATGTTATGGTATTTTGGTGCTTCCCGATTGCTGAAGTCTTGCTGTAAGAGAAATACTCCTTTGAAGTCATCAAAAAACTATTCATCATGCTTTCTTTTTCATGATTTTCAACCTATCATCTTCATTCCGGAAAAGATGATACCATGAATATGATATGGATTGCACGTACAATGAGAAAACTGCTTAATATTAGATATGTAGAGAAAAACCTAACCGTGAAGTACGCTGGTTATAAAATAACAAATTTCCGGTATCATAACCAATAGCCAAAACTGGCGAAATTTGAGACCATAGTACGAACGTTGGTTTGTCCCTTAAAACATTTAAAATATGTTTAAATAAGAATTTTGCTAAGGTTAGCAAAATTTAAATATTACATCAATTAAGATTTCTACAAGGATTTATCAGGAAAAAAAATTGTATTTAAATTTTATCATATAATAATAATACTTACTTTCCGCTCATACCACTATCCAATTTGCTGATTGTCTTTGATGCAAATTCCCATAATATTACTGCTGTACCTTTATTATTCATTATAGCTAATATATCACCATCTCGATCCCATGACAATGCTTCCACTTGCCTGTACAAAAAAAATGAAAATTATTAAGCAATCATAAAAAAGAAAAAGTAAACTGAATAATTTACATCTTCCTAACACATAAACACTTTTGTGCTAATAGATTTACCGCTGTAAATATTAAATGAATATTTATAAAAAGGATAATAAAACATTTAAAAGCTTATAGATGTTTATGTTATAAAAGTAATGGCAAGTAAATCAATATGATGGAATCAATCAATATGATAAACAGAAATAGCACTGAGAAAAATGAAATTAATAAATAAAAAAAACAATTGACTGTAATCTTTAAAAAAAAAGCAATATTACCCGGGTGTGATTAATTCATCGATTAAGTTACCACTTCGATCATATAGTTTCACTGAATTATTCGAACTGAAAAAGATAACTTATATTTTCTGAAAAAGATAATGATAATGTATTTCGAATCATTGCGACAATAATCCAATTGTTCCCTAGATAAATAATATACTGCAAATGTGAAATCAATTTAAAAACAAAAATCGAATATGTATAACATTTGTAAAGTATAAATCTTTTCATAATTACATCATTTATTTAGTTATTATCATTAATCAATTAATATCACATTTGCAATAAGTATATTTAATGATAAAATATTGCATTGAAATAAATTTCAATAAGATATTTCTTGCGAGAAAGGAGGTATTTAAACTGACAAGTAAATAAGACAAACCCAGAAATTGCAAGATAATTCCCTTTTGGACGCCATTCAAAAACTGGCTCGCCCACTCCAAGTTCTTTTTCTGTTAAATTCCATATTAACTGTAAGTATATAATGATGAATAATAGCTGTATTTAAGATTGATTCCTGAATTAATGGAATATTTCTAAGGCTTATTATTTACTTCATTTTCCGATTAATATGATTTCTTTATACAGTTAACCAAATCTTTGTATGCTACTATCTCTTCTTTTACTGAATATTTTACAAATGAATTTGATTAAAGGAATACAAAAAACTTACTTTCATCTTTATATGTTAACTATGTTCAATAAAAAAATAAAATTATCCAATACGAAGTAATAGCATTCATCGTTGCTTGGCAACCTACCAATCGGGAACGAAATCTTATTGTTCTGAACGTCCTGTCGAAGAACAAACAGGCAGATGTAAAATAATTTCAGACATTTTAATGAATTGTTGGTGAAACCGATGCATAACATTAGAACATCTGATACACTCTGAATAATAACAGGATTTAAGAATGCATTCAAAGATATCCTACTTCTTTTGAAATCTTCAGATTCTTCTATTGAATAAGTAGCAGTTCCGAGAATTCCAATCACTTTGAATCTATTAGTAGTACAAGTGTCCACCAGATGTACTGTTACATGCAATGTTTAGCCAAAGCTAACAATGATTGCAAACTCTCAGTCAATAGTCGTTGACATATCACCAGGACATTCCAATCGAGGATTTACTTTTCTGTATCAAAACATCAGTGTGTAAGAATAATATCAAAATGTTTATTTATTTCATAAATTTCTTCTCAATGAAAAACAAAGCAAACAATACAACGAAATTATTCACTTTATGAAACAAGTGCTGAAGCTGTCGATGATTCATACTTCCACGTGGCTGGCAATTGGCGCTTCGTTTTGTAATATCGAGCCAAACGATGGATACGTGATTCGACGAGAATCAGTCTATATTTTGAATCCTTATCCTGTAAATATTGACGTCGTACCTACTAACTATTCAAAAAAAATTCAAAATCTGAAACACCCGATTCCCTTCCTTACAAACGAGTCCTTAGTTAAATTATACTTTACTAGCTCTTTTAAAACGTTACCAGTTCTTCGAAAACGTTTCTGTAAATGTTAATACCAGTGTGTGAATAAATTGTAAAGAATTAATTTACTACAAGTATACAAAAAGTGATTTAACGAACCTTACGATTTCGCTCTAAGTGCTTGCGAATGTTAACTGCTTTTTTAATTAAATGGTACAAATCTTCTGGGATCTCAGGTGCCATACCCTGAAAAAAAATAGATAAGCAGGAGAAATGCGTGACTGATTAAGACTGATTAAGGAATGATATGATCTAAAGATACCGGTAGAGAGATCTTACACAGTAAACTGTTAATATATCTGAATTAATTAAAAATCAAAAAACCAAATTTCTTACTTTAGCTTTCAATATACGTACAATCTTGTTACCGGTAACACGTCGAACCTGGGCAACACCATGTGAATCACGTAGTATTACACCAATCTGTGAGGGACGCAAACCCTGTAAGATAAAATATCAACGCTGTAATTACTTATGAAAAATATGAAATAACAACTTCCATACTTATACAGAAGTGATCTCTACAGAATTCATGAAGTATTAGAAATTTGGATTCGGAAGATATCAGGTACGTCTTACTAAACCGTCTTCAATAATATTTTATTTCAGAGGGAATGGGATTGGATAATAATATTCGAATTGCATGTATCCATTCCAGGACTTTTTTAATATTCTTCACAATTTATGAATATATGTAAACTGTCAGCTTACTGATCAATTGAATTACTATATTTTTTGCAAAACCTCTATCAAGTTCAGAAAAAAAAATCTATGAAAGGCGTCCTCTTTTCAGCCTTCGCACATACTGGATAAGAAAATGAGTGAGATAGTATGAGAGTATATGAGTATGCTAACAAATAATGTAACCTTTTTGGCAAGACGAGTGATTTGCTCCTGAACTTCCTCACTTGTAAGCTTGAGCCAAGTTGGTACCGATCGACGATAGGGCAACGCTGACTGAGATATACCTTTGCCAGGATTGTGCATTCGACCCATGATTGACACTAATTTGTAACACTACTCTTCACGTAGTAATAACTTTTATAATTTTGAACCTAAAAAATTGCATTACTAGAACCATTTACTCAGTACAATTACACGCTTTAACCTCATTCCGTCATTTATTTCATCCAATAGCAACCGAAAACGGTAACATTAAGAATCCATAGCAATCAAAAAAAGAATCGATCATACCGTAAGTCAATCGTAGGTCAATGTGCTCTCAATCAACCACGAGCTAAATTTAGAAAGTCAACAAGGAAGTAAATTCGAGAAGACTTGAAATGGTCCACGCCGCTCCTGATCATTACTTGACGATAGTCAAACTTCCCCAAACCCAAGCAACCAAGAATGAAAGGAACAACCCACAACAAACCTAAGAGAGAAAAGGTGATTCAACATTTGCAAACTGCCACTGCGGTTGCGCAATGAAAACAGCCGTCTCAACTGCAATGCGACTTCTTTCGTCTCCCTCTTTCGTCCGTCTTACTGCATTTTGGCTTGATCTGTACTTTAACATCACTTGAATTTTGTGCTTACTGTATTTGACTCTTCTTTCACTTTCCGTTAGTTTTATTCTTACATTTAGCTCAGTTCATTTTGATTTTTCACTTTTACTGCACTTTATAACATAATTTTATCCTATGATTCATAAGTGATGATTGATCACAGGAGGACTGAATTGAAATTGTTTTATTCGTTGCAGCATTTTGTCAAATGTTAGTTGGAGGTATCGAGATCGAACCGGAACCTAATGTAAGTCTGTTGCTGATTTTATGTGGCAATGAGGAAGCAACAACGGATAATGATATTTTCCACTTATTGTGTGGAATCTGTGCAACTAATATTGTCAATGATGTCACAAAGGTTACACATTTATCTTTATTTTGTTTGAGTTCATTTATATATTTCCTACGATGAATCTTACATATGTGGATGGGCGTATATGTGGTTGGGGGATGAGGAGAGAATCATATAAAATAAGAAACCATGCATGCTAGAAGAACCATATATACTGCGATATTCTCAGCTTTATTGGCTTCGACATCAACCACCCACGTCACTTCCGAAAGAATCAACATTAGAACCATGGCAACTTTCACGTATAGTGCTACGTTATTTCAACGAGAAGCTTATTGCCGGTGTCACGGCATTCTGCGCTTCCGCTCATACATTCGCCCTTGGACAAGTTGCTGTCATTGTAAGTTTTTCCTAGATTATCGGTATTTTAATTTTATGTTGATTTATGCAATTTAATGCTAATCATTGCAGTGTTAATTGAGTGCATATTTAGATCAAATTAAGCAATTAATTTGTAAATTAGGTCAACAAAATTTTAATTTTTCATATGTCACAAAATTTTAAGTCAATAAAGTTGGAATTAAAATTAAATTTTCAATTTATATGTTCCAGATTTCTTTATGTCATTATATGTTTTTCCTGAAATCTGTTTTACAGGTGGAATTTCATGAGAGTGACGTACCACATGAAGAATCACTTTCAACAATACTAGCGTTACTTTCCGATGTGGGCAATTATTTCTCGATGATCTCAGAAGGTGCATTATTCAAGCGAAATATATTTCCGGTAACTGCTTTGATTCGAACTTCTCGAATATATGATTACGGATTAGTGGCAAGTCTATACACGAACTGTATGTTATGTTTTGAAAATGGCGTTTGTAAAAATATGTTAGCCAAATAAAACGTCATTTAAAGGTTTGCTTGAAGCAATTTTGGTATCAGTAATGTTCTACCAAATCATATCCTATCTAAACCGATTATTACGTTATACGCAGGAAAGAAGTCATGATTAACCAAAGTGTCAAAGTTCCAATAGAGCTAGCTGGTCTAAATTTACTTGATCGAATTCATTGTTTAAACACAATTTATTATCTTTCCTCCATAACATAATTAAATTCTATTATGTGTTTATTGGGAAGAATGACTGTAGTAGTCTACAAAATATGTCTCGACATGTGAAAAACTTTGGATGTATTTAGGGAATATAAAATCTGCTAGGTTTGTTTGTTTTTCCATACAAAAAAAATGCCTCAAATATATTGATGATGCTAATGCCCTTTAAAAAATGTGTAAACACTTCAATGCTTAAAAACTGTTTACATAAGCAAATAATATATTTTACAAAATTCCTTTACCATTATGTTTTGTTTCTGTAAACGGAATAATTTGTTATTTTGAAGAAGAATATAACAAGCATTTGATGAGAGATTAGTAAAACTAAAATATGTAAACTAGATTGCGAAGACTTCCATACGACGTTTGTAAGTTAGATTGGGAGAACTTCCATACGACGTTTGTACATTAGATTGCGAAAACTTTCATACGACGACTATGAAGAAATGATAGATTAGAAAGTATCAAGAATATTAGTATGAATAAAGGAATATAAATATACCTACATTGATCAATGCTAAACATCTCGAACCAATATGGCTACTTCAATTGCAGTGATGATGCTAGTAATTTACATTAACATAAATATTACATAAGCAATAAAGCATTAACAAGGAGAAATTATCAAGACAGTGTGATACACATTATGTTGATGAGGTACTACTTCATGAAAAAGAAAAGAAAGAAATTCAGTAATCTAATAAGAAAATGATGCAAAATACACGTTTTTTAATTTTTATGATACTATTTTCGATTTGAATAACCAAAATGAATTTCAAGAATTTTAATCGAAAATTTGAACCTGTACGATGTGAGAATATAGAGATGGAGTAATAAAATTGGCGAAAGAAGACATACTATTACATTAAGCGAACGGATAATTCGAATGATGAAATGGCATGAATTATTAAAATACTATTTGCATACTATAGGATAAATAATTCTTTACATTCTTACAACATTCTTCAATTTTATCTAAATTATTTAATAAATTTTATGCAATTATTTAACTTTAAACAAATAATGATGTACCAACTAATAGCACAGTCATAATTTTTATTAACACATTATACTTTTGTCTTTGGTATTACTGATCATTTGTCAAAAAGATTAATTCTATTACTACTAATTCTTTTTTTTACAAAAATCAATTCTATAATTTCGGATTATTTGTCATAGAGGTTAATTTTATAATGCCATTTACTTATCTACCATTCAAGCGCTAAGAAGAACATTTCACATGTCTTTTATGCTAATTAACAATAGAGCATATCCCCGGAAAATCGCTAAAATCTTATAATCTGAAATTTCAATCAATTATTGTCATTAATAGATAAAGTTGAATTGGGCGGAAGTTTCTATATGATTTTGTTATATTATTTTGAAAATGACTTAATTCACGCATACTAAATATTCAAATGAGCAAACGTACCAGAATACAAAACAATAAATCATCAGCTCATCCTAATTTTCTTGACCATATGTATGAATAATGCATTACAGTTTTTTGTCTTTCTTAAAATGACTGTTGTAAAATTACGCACGTATAGAAAGAGAGGAGCGTGCCCTAAATTTGATTGAAGGATTGCGCGTGAAAAACATAATTGAAATTCAATGACCTATTTTATTTTTTAACACTAAAATAACTCATGATATATTTCGTTTGTTATTTGTTCATTAAATTTTATATTTGAAATAAAGTTTCTATTTCGATATGAAATAGTTCAGTTAGGAAGATTTTGAGAAAGGTATAAACGATCGATTTTTAACTGATAAGCAATAAATAAGATAAAATAATAAATTTCTGCTATTTGCCACAATTACTATTATTGTTTATTGCTTTTAAATTTAGAAGCCTAGACTAAATATTCTCTTGTTAATAGCGAATACATTGTTATTAATAGCAACCAAAAAGTATTGTTATCTTCCGTCCTGTACTATTTCGGTCAGGAAATTTGATCCTGTTAACTACGTTGTATAAATAAAAGTCTACTGAATGTGTCTCATCTATTATTGAATGAGTCCATTCAACAGTAAATTGCACAATAGTGTAAATATATATATAATCATAGCAAAAGTACCGCACTGTAAACAATTATTGCTATAGTAGTACCAAAATGTAAATATAGCATTTGTAATGTGTAAATAATTATACTAATCATACCTTTAATTTATATAACAGTAATGGTATCGCATTGTAACGTTGTATGGTACCTACGTAAATGATCGTAGTAATGATATGTGATACCCATGATGTAAATAATTTTAGTAATAATGATATGACACTGTACCAACAGTGTAAATGATGGTATCCAAGATGTAAACAACCACAGTGATATACGGTATTATGGTATCAAAGATATGTAATAGTGGTACCAAGGGTGTAAATATTCACAGCAATAATGCTCTATGGAACCCAGGATATAATCATAATAGTGGTACGGTGCAAATAATCATTCCAATGGTACCAGGAATTACAATGTCACAGAGTCATTACGAGAAGAGCATTAAGAATATGTTAGAATAAGAGATGGAGAAAGAAAAAGAAAAAAGAAATGTGCAAGCAACATATATCATCGATTCCAGCAACTATTCATCCGGAAAGGTAACACAAAGGAAAAATATCGCACTGACAACGATGATAACGAGCAATTCATTTGATGCAGAAAACCGGCTAATGACTCATAATTATCGTTAGTATACGATAATGAGTCATCACATATTACTATTATATAAAACATTATCACTATTCACACGAGTTATTAATAATAGATATTAAATTTCCATTAACTATATGCAAAAATTAACAAGTATTGCAGATACAATGAGAAAGTTATTTCGACTATGACATCATGTATATGTACATACACACACATAGACACACACGCACACACACACACACACATACATACATACATACACATATAGTAATCGATGAATCAAACCACCGATAGGATGACGGGGGGGATTGTCGAACGGATACGGATAGATAGATGGATGAAAGGATAGTTGATTGGTTGGGAGGGAAGGGAAGATATATGAAGTGAAGATCAATACTGATTCAATAGAACCCTTTCTTTTCTCTATCGATCTATCGATTGAGAAATGATGAGAGGAGGATGGAAGGGCGGGGGGTGAAATAGAAATAGCACCAGCGGCAGCAGAAGCAGCAGCACTATTTCGCTTAGTTGCTATGTTCACCCATACCCGTCCATGCCACACGTCTATTTCCATAGCTTTTTGCATTTCATCTTATCATCATCATCATCATTTATTATTAGTATTTTTTTACTATTATTTATTGATTAATTATTAGTATTGTTAATTAATAATTGATTACTAGTAGTTAAAATCGTTTACCTATCTTTTTATAAGTAACACTTTAAAAATGAATGAAAATTTATTGTCTATATTATTATAACTTATATTCTTCTTGATATCTTAGTAGTAATATTTATCAATTCTACTTTTACATTCGTCATTTTTGCATCTTTTATAAATATCGCAAAAAATGAATAAATAGAGGAAGGGGAAGGAGGTTATTGTTACCTGTTAATAACTTATGTACTTTCTGATATCTTAATTGCATTATTTTTTTTAGCTCAAATTGTGGTTCTCTTGGTTTTACTTTTTATTCATCATTTACCTCAAGGACATATGATCATTATTATTATTATTATTATTAGTTATTACCTATTCAGCCATTTCCTCTTTCTCCTTCTCCCCCTCCTCCTCCTCCTCCTCCTCCACCTCCCTCATCATTAATACTAAATACTCTTTCATTTTTTTAAATTATACGACTAATTTATCATTTACCTTTTTTATAATAATTCTTTCTCTCTTCTCCTCTCTCTTTCTCGTTTTCTTTTTCTACTTTTTTTAAATTTAAATAAAGATATTTACATAATATGATGAATATTAGGTTAGTATGAATTATTGTTTGAATTGAATGAAATGAACAAATGAGCAGTGATAATAATAATAATAAATATGTTGGTCAGTTTATTCCATCTATTTGTATATAATTATTAGGTAGGCCTGATAATGCTATTTTTGTTGTCATCATATTTGGTTAAACAAAACATTTGATTAAAGCAATTAAGCAATTATATGCAAATTGCTTTGCAACTCTTTCGTTTAGTATTTTGAATACAAATTTATAAGAAGAAAAAGATGTTTAGAGAAATTAATGCAAATGCAATTTGTTTTTTGAAAGAATTTCGTCCATTTTGTAAATTCAAATTTTGAACATATAGAAAAGTGAACAAAAACAATAGACCGGTAAATATTCATATGATAGATAATATGGATAGTAAAGTGTATATATATATACGAACACATAACATACACAAAATTGATGCCATCAATATCAACCTAATTATATAAATATAACGAAACTGTTTTATAAATGGATTAGGCGGTAATGTACATCTTTGGTTAAAGGAAAGGATCTTATAAAAGTTTGATAAAACTTTTATCAAATCTTTCGTTTTTCTTAAGGAAGAGTAAAGAGATTATTATTATTTATTAGGTAGCAATAAGGAAGATATTAATGATGAATGATAATAATAAGGTATATGATATGGTATGATCTATTCTGATATGGTTTATTTTCTATGAATTATCATAAGATGTATACATTTATATATACATCTTTTCAGTTAAAAGATTTGATGAAATGATACTAAATCTATTAATGATAATTATGATATTACAGCAACGTTCATATAAAATGATAAATGATGATAACCTTCCAATTTATTCTCTTCAATTCTTTCATATTATTCAGTTTGCAAAATTGGATACGATCATTTGCATTGATTCTTTCTCACATTTCATATAATTAATTCTACAGATGTCAACAAAATTATTGATTTGATATAAATAAAGAAAATAATGAGTGATAATGAGGTGATAAGATCAATTTATAAGTAAGATTATTATTATTATTATTGCTTTTGAATGAAATTAATCAATAGGAATAAATTTTTTGTAAAATAATAATAAATGAATGGAAATGTCGTCTTTCTGTAATGTTTCATTGCAATGAATGGCTGGTAGGTATTAAAGGGAAGGAAGGGTGGAAGGAAGGATGACGAGAAGGCAATGTAATGAAATATTAAAAAAATATATTTTAGAAATGGAAGAAATTTTTGTCTAATGGTTGGTTGGTTGGTTGGTTGGTTGGTTCAGCTTTGAAATAAATATGAAAAAATTATTGTTGGGATAGTTCCTTTTTCTCTTCCTTATATTTGGTTCCTTTGATTTGGCTGATTGGTTGCATCGGTTGATTTGGTTCATTGCTTATGGTTTATTTGGTTCCTTCGGTCAATGTGTTTGTGTATGTGTATATGTATATGTGTATGTATGTGTGTGTGTGTGTGTGTATGTATGTAGTGAGGAAGAAAATGGGACCAATAGAGATTGGTTGGTGGTTTGAAAAAGGAAGAGAGGGAAGAGGGGTGCTAGTGGTGGCAACAACAGTGGTAAGGATAGCTTCAACGACATCAATCCATCATCAGGCATTCCTACTCTTCCCGCGCTGGTTCTTCGACTATTGAAACGTCGAAAATCTTCATTGAAAGAGCAACTTTTTATTCTCTCTTTCCTCCTTATTCCTCTTCCCATTTTTCAATTCTTTTTTTTTGCTTCGTGTCTGTCTGTATTTGTTGTGTGTGTGTATGTGTGTGTGTGTATGTGTGTGTGTGTGTGTGATGTTGAATATATATATTCAACATATATGTATATATATATATTATATATGTCTGTGTGTAATGTGTATGCAACTTAATGACAGTTACCTTTTTTTTTAATTTCATAGTAATTTGGAGGTCTTAGGAAGACTTCGATTTCCTCATTTCGTATTATTTTGTTTTCGAGCAATTTTAATGAAGGAGGTATTGGCAGCATGCAATGGGTCAGCCGTATTAGCAGGAGAGAAAAGGGAGCGAGAGAGAGAGAGAGAGAGAGAAGGAGCATACTTCATGTTGATATAATGAAGTGATTAAGTATGCTGTAAGAGTGTGTGTTATAGGCGATATGAATCGAATCGATAGATAAATTGATAAGATTATTGTTTAGAAAAATAATCACACGTGATGATTTAGTAAATTTCGTGTGTTTAAACAGGCTTCGAGAATGATCTATGAATTTTTAGTAATTATCATGATTAATTGATCTACAACAAATTGTCTTTATTATATATGTATATATTTTTTGATGATATTTTGTTTGAAAATATATCAATTAAGATGAGAATTTGTAGAAGATTTTTGATCAATGAATCGAATTTGCAGGTAGAAGAATAGTTGAATGATTAAGGATTTATTATAAGTGGAAGATGATTTCAGGATGATGGATTTCATTTATTGGTTACATTTGAAGGTTATATTTATAACCATGGCTCTATGTTGCACGTGTGGGTGTGGCTGTGTGTGTATCTTATCGTATCGTAATTCGTTTAATTGATAAGTCATGAAAGGGAGAAATGATTTTCGTTTATGTATGGGTATATATATATATATGTGGGTGTATGTGTATGTGTATGTGTATGTGTATGTATGTATGCATGTGTGTTTTTTTGTATGTGGCGAAAAATTTCAAGGTTCTTTGGCATTTCGGGCGTCCTTTTAAGGAACTTCTTATTACGACTTCGTTTTGAAGCAACGCCGGGTTCGTCATTCCTCCATTTCACACCATTTGTTGTGCTGATCAAAATCGATATCAATGCTAGGCTATTTTAAGAGGTGATGTGTACCTTTTGAGATATTTGTCAATAGGACAAGCTTTCTATGCCCTTCTCTTTTTCCTTTTGAGTTCTTTTCTTCTTTGGATTAGTTGGACAAATTTCTCCCATTTATACCCTATATTGGATGGTTGTCATTTTTGGGAAGATATGTGATTTGTAAGGAATGTTAGGTAGGTGAGCTTTAGTAGATAAGGCTTTTATTGTTATCAATTTTACAAGTGAATTCCATTTTCTTTCTGAAGGATACAATAGTATCAATCGTTATTGTTAAAATTATTGGATGATTGTTTAATAATTCTTTTTATTTTGCACTATAAATAATTTGGGAACGTATCGTTTAATGTCTAAAATTGTTATACTTTGGAAATTTGATATATCTCAGTAGTTTTCATCGAGCTTTTCCTTTTTGTAATACGTATCAGTTCATCTTTTCTTATGTTTCTTTCATAGTTTTATGGAATGTATACATCAAATGGAATTTATATATATTCCATTTTAGATTATACGAAAATATCGAAGATTCGTTTTTCTTCGTAAATAGTAGTGACCATTGTCGTGTTGATAGTTTTAAGTTGGAGATAACCAATAGTATTATTCTTTTTTGACAGATTTAGCATTTACGTCAAGAGGAAGCAATTGGTAAACGGACGGCAGTGGCAAATATTCCGGATGAGGCAGGCACTTCTCGAGCCGAAAATGTCATAGTAAATAAGGCTGGTTCTATTTTTCATTCTTTTTATTTTATATTGATGCATGAAAAGAGCAGTTAACCCTGAGATGAAAAAGCGCGAATACAAATGATTTCAAAAATTGATTTAATTGAAGTGTGGTACTGAGTGTACAACGCTTTAAATAACTTCATTATCCTTTAAACTTTGAAACATCAACATTTTAGTGCCAATTTTTTCCTTTATCTAGGTATGATTTCCCACATAAGCATCATTCCCAAAGTAACGATCAAAAGATGGAAATGTGACAGGAAGGTTATTCTTAAGCATTACTAAAGATTAATTTTTAGCAATTCGTTTTTCGAATGCGAAATAAATAAACGAGGTTCTTGATGACAAAATATATTGGTGCTGTTCTCGTGTCTGCTGAAATCATGTTATTGTAAATTAAGCTTTAGTTTGGCTCTTGGTAATTTGTGAAGCATTGAATGATTATTTTTTCAGGAGATGCTTGGCGGCTGTTGCGTCTGTGCCGATGAGAATGGTTGGGAATCGAATCCGCTAGTTTATTGCGATGGTCCCAACTGTGAGGTTGCTGTTCATCAAGGTGTGTGATTTTGTTGTTAACATGATTTTCCTTTTCTGGTATCTTTTGGTTACGGGCGTGTTATGTTTTGTTTCGTGTTGTGTTCTAAGTTTCAATTTGCAAGTCGATGATAGGACTTTTTTTTCGTTTTATTTTGTGAAGTTTTGATGCTGAGCATTGTTTAACCGCTTATTACTTGTTTCATTCACAATTTATTTTACTGTTATGAAAGTTTGATTGAATTGGATACGGGTATTTCGAAAGGATTATTATAGAATTTATCAATTATATCTTCCAATTATTTTTTTAACATTGATTTCGATCATTTTCCTCATTCCTAATGATTATGTTTGGCTGCTTACCGTTATCCTCCAACTATTACTGCTAATTCTGGATGTGAAAGCTGCTATGCATGTTTTTATTATGCAGATGCTCAGATAATCTGTAATCAATAGTGTAGGCGTCATTTGCTTTTTTGATATGTGATAGGATAAATTATATAGTTGTAAAAACTACTGAAGGCAACGTACATGTTTCAACAATGCGAAAAGATTCCTTGCTGTAACGACTTATCATTACTTGCAATACGGATGTCAGTGCTCAATAGAAATTCACATTTGAGTCATATATCTTCATTTGTTGTGGTCAGTTGATTTGCAAAATGCATTTTGCAAGTAGAGAATGTATGGTTTTATCTTTTTTGTTCTATTCCATGGTTTATTTCATTGATTTAAAAAGAGCACAGTGACTAATGTGTGTGTATATATGTTTGCGTACGTGTATGTATGTGTATGTGGCTGTGTGTGTGTGTGTGTGTGTGTGTGTATGCATCATAAAATGTATATTTTATTTTTTCTTGGAAAAATTGCACTTTGTTTAATGGGAGATTATGGATGCAGGAAAGAGGAGAGGAAGAGAGGAAAGAACATTTTGCAATTGTAGCAAATGTTTCTCTTCGGTTATTAACATCATTTTTTCCGTAGCTTTCCGTTTTCATGTTAATCCTGAATCGTTTCCTATTATTACACACACATGTATGACGTCATTGTTTATATATATATGTGTGTGTGTATTGACTGAAAGATGTAATCATCATTCGTATAACGAATGATGATTACATTTTATTGTTATTTGATAATGACATTACATGAAAGTAAGTATTCGAGAAAGATGACTCATATGCTTCACTGTCTGGTTAGAGAGATAGATGGTTATGATGATGATGATAATGATAATGATGATAATAGTGTGTACTTTGGGAAGAAAAGATTGTTGTAATTTTTAACAAACATTAAATCTTTGAAGCTCTTATTAAGAAGATAGGTGAAGAAGTATTTCTGATGACTATAATGAAATTTCTTTCATAGAAAGGGTTTTTCACTTTGCTAGTTCAATTTGAGTGAAGATTGCAAGGCATAGCTTACTGTTATGCAAATTTTAGACAACTAGATGAAATGATTGTTTTCATCCTTGTACATTTGTTATGATTGATCGGTTCTCACTATCGATTTACTTCAAATGTCGATTTGTTTATATTCTTTATGTGCGTAGTAAAACTTTCCGTTAACATTATCATCGATTTTGTTACCGTGATCGTCATTGCCGTCATTTATGATTGTCACCATTGTCGTCGTCGTTATTCTAGGTGTAACGATCACTGAATAACCAACAGTGATGTTTGCTTCTGTTCTCCTCTTGATTTAATGTACTGTTGATGGTCATTAAGGTTTCTTCTTTCTCCCTTTCTCCTCCTTCTTTCCCGTCTCCTGGTGCAAATGATATTATATACTCTCATATTTGAAGTGTGCACATTAAACACCATCGTGATATCTTTTGTGGAATTTAGCAGTGCTGTTGCTACAGCAATTATTATCAGTAGTGGTACTATTGGTATTGCCAAAGCTATTAATACGGATGTTAACATTTTGCAATGCATGCATGTTTCTGTGTGATGGAAGTTGATTTGGAAAGATGGTGGAGACTACGGTATTTCGATTTTAACATTGCATAGAGGGGAGATGCATAAAAAGTGAATCATTTCTATATAGGATAATGAGTGTCGGCGGTTAGTTTTACTATCTATTTTACCACCCACCATGAGAAATGTGAACATTATATGAATAGAAATCAATTAATTACAGTCATTGCTTCACGTTATTAATGATTTCATATATGTAAAATAACAATGATTTAAAATGGAATAAATGAACGGCATTGAATCGTTTAGAAAAATTGTGCTTTTTCTTAGCTAAAATATATTTCGTTGTTTAATGTGTGATGATGTTATATGTTATAGGTCTGTTAGTCTAATAAGCATTATTGCTTCACTGTATTTTTTTTTTACAGTTTTCTGATACTTGATAGTTATTAGAGTTGTGTTATAGTTCTATCAGTTCTTTGTACTATTTCTGGTTTACTCCTGTGCTAAAACCTATCACATAGTTCTTTCAATTTCATGAAATTGTTACTAATATTTAATTACACTTAACATCAAGAGCCCAATTTTAGCATGCTTTAAGGTAGCATATATTTATTATTGTTATGATTAATATTATTTATTACTTATTTATTTAATTAATTATTATATATTAATTATTGTGATCGAGGGAGTATATCATGGAAAAAGATAATTGTTGTAAATAGCTTGTTGTGGAATCACTATTAATATAATGATTTTCAGGCTGTTATGGTATTGTTGAAGTACCAGAAGGTGAATGGTATTGTGCAAAATGTGCCGATTTTATCGCACATTCGCAGTACAACGGGAACAGCGGTGATGTTGGGGAGGTACGCGAAACACCGCGTTGTAAACTGTGCCCCTTTGGTCATGGTGCACTCAAACGGACCGATAACGATGGTCAGTGTTGTGGTAGTCTAGATCGTATGACATTTATTTATATTTCACCTTGAGTAAATACTGCAAATGCATGGTATTGTCATCGTCTTCGTGTTCCGATGACTGTATAAAAAAGCTACAATGTAGTCGGAATTTTCTCTTCTATCGCCTTGCATTGTCTCCCCTCTACAGAAGCGTTTCATTAGATGTAGCTAAACGCTTATAAAATGTAACAGCTGAACTGAAGAATTAATTTTCACAATTCAAAGTGAGACAGTTATTTGATTAGTTTGTTTAGAGATACGAAATCTTTTCAGAATGTAATGATTGTTTTGCGGACCACGTGGACTCTTTTGTTGTTGTCTTCTATTAGCTCAATTTTTAACTTGTTGGGATCCATTCAAATTCGAAATTATCGGTGGTGAATGGTTGATTTATTGATTAGAAAATGTGTAACTCATTTTTTTTGATTGTTTCCTATCTCTGTCTTTCTTTGCTCTATTCATTTCTGTCTCAGAATGGGCACATGTCATCTGCGCTTTGTACATACCGGAAGTGCGTTTTGGAGATGTCCACAGTATGGACCCAGTGATCCTGAGTGATGTTCCACTGGAACGGTCAGTTTTTCCGCTTCAGTCTTTAACTAATTTTGAAATAATATCATGGCCAAGTTAGGATTTTCTGTGCAGATGCATTCTGTCCAGCATTTTAAAGTACTAGATTTGTCCTTTACTTTCGTTTATTTTATGATCGAACTTAAAATACGTTCTGTTTTAAAAACTGTGGTCTTAGTTGCAGTGGCGGCTGTTTGTTATAAACAATAATAAGCCATTAAGCACCTTAAAGTTTTAGTTGCTTTTTTGAGCCTTTTTTCGGGCAGTTGTCTGACATGTATGTGTTCGTTACCACTTCTACTTTTTAAATTATGTTGGTTTTTATCAAAATGAAAACTCATTTTTCTCAAAATTCTTTGCAGTTTCAAAGAAGGGAGAATTGGAGTATATATATATATATATGTGTTCATTAAGGATGTTACACATTGCAGGTTTCAACAGCAGTGTTACCTATGTATGGAACGTGGGGAGGAAAAACGAGCATATCTTGGTGCATGCATGCCATGTAATAAACCTGGTTGTAAAAAGGTAAGATTAGAGTATAATTTAAGTTGATAACCACAGAATGGAATAAAGTATATGAGAGTATAAACCCGTAGGAGATTTATTTATTAGACCAATTAGACTAAAATAGTTCATCAGGGTGGGAATATTGTCTTGTTCTTTAATATCGTTTTGCTAAAAGATGTTTATAGAACTGAGTCGATGTGGGAAGCGAATTTTGATGTAATATGCTTAAATAAATTTTTGCGACTTCAAAGTAGTTTTTTAAAGACAAGTTATCAAGGTGTCAAATTGATTAGATATCTTTCTGTATTCTATGTTTTTGGTATTATGATATGCAAAATGTTCATTATTTATCATTCACACGCAAATATTATTTCGTTTTAGTGCTTTCATGTTACTTGCGCACAAGCTGAAGGCTTACTATGTGAAGAAGGTGGCGGTTCGAAAAATGTTAAATATTGTGGGTACTGTTCAGCACATGCAAAGAAAGCGGTATGTTTCTTTTTTGTTTTTTTTCTAAGCATTATTCTTCAAACCAACTACTGGAAAGTCATAATTCCAAACGCATTCAATTTTTATTGCATTCATTTGTGTAAGCAGTTCAAGTATAATACAGAATTAAATTTTAATCGAGAAATAAATAGTGAATAGAAACTAGATGTAAAGAAGCAAAAGGAACAGAAGAGGAGAGGATGTAATCATTGATTTGACTCACATAAAAATAATTGACAGCAAAGTTATGTGTATGAAATGAAAGCATAGGGGCAAAGCAGATGGGCATTAGAGGAGCATTACGTTGGATGTCATCATATCGTCATCATTATTATCATCATCCCTAAATAGTTTGATGAAGTTTGAATAGCAAGCATTAGCGTGAAATATAATATAGATGGATGACGTAGATGGTTTGTTATACTGGACGTTGTTTACAGGGTAGGAATAGAGAGTAGTAAGGGAAGAGAATTATAGAGACTTGAGGAGAGCAATTGTCATTTATCATTGGTCGATTTTGGTTCCATTTGATTCAGTTCATCCATCCAACTGTTTCATAAGGGAAGTGAGAGTAGGGATAGGGATAGTTGGAGAGGAAGAGAGTATTGCATATTGGGTTAGGAGGGAGGATTGAATGTTGGAGAGGAAAGAAGGAGAAGTTATGCAGATGTTGTCCATCAGGCCTGGAATGATACAAGGGGAGAGAAAAACATATACATTATTTATATATTATACATAAATATGCACATTTGAAGTTTTCATTTCTGACTTTGTTGCACTATGAGATTACGCATTCAAGACACATTATTCAACATTTTGAAAGTTGTACTCAAAAGTTGTCTCTCCATTTCTCTCTACCCTTTCTTTATATTATCTGGTGTTGTATAGTTTGTAATTTTTTATATGTAGCTTTTTTCAGTAATTTATCAGTAAAACCGTTTAGATTTTGTAGGGATCAAGAAATGATAGATAATTAGATTGGTAGTGATAGTTGATTTCAAATAGAATAATGTGATTTATAGACAAAAATAACCTCCTTCAAATGGTATTCTATCTGCATCTGTGGATGCAGAGTGACTTTAGAAGATGAACCATAGTGATTGAAATAATAAGATGAAGTTTGTTCAGTGAATATTATCATTTAATCGACGTAAATTTAATAGAATACTCTGAAACAGGCAGATAATACAACTTTTGGTACATGTGGTGATTGGAAATGTTTGTGAGACACTACAGAAAGTAATATCCATGGAATTTTTTCGTTTTTTCGACAAGTTTTCATTCGCGAATTGCGAGTGTTTTTTTCATCATTTTCAATGAACTGGCATATTAATATTTTTGTCTTTATTGAACACAGATGGTCACCTTTTTGGGCAGGAACAATAAGAAAATTATGTTTATATTGACGCATTGGCACTTCACTTTTACTGTGTTTCATCTATAAATAAACAATTTTTCTTTCTAATTGCATTTGTTGCTGTGCCAAGAAATTCTTTCCCTTCCGCATATCGATGTCGATCTTTTTCTTTGTCTTCCATCTCTTTTTCTTCAACGAAAAAGCTATTCTATTATTTAATTTATGTTGGGCAGTTGTACTTTCTCCTTATTTCTGTAGCTAGTTTAAGGGAACATTTTGTGAAGATTGAAATAATGGAGGGAAGTATAGATGAACTTTGACAAATTCAGAAGTTATATTTTATTCATGATTTTTCGGTATGAGAACTGAGTGAATAATTCTGAATTGTATAAATAACTGTAATTACTAACGCTTGAATAAGTGTAGTCTTCTTTTCACTCTCCATCCCACATTTTATCTTTTTGAAAAAAAATGTTTTTTTGCTTTCTGTGTGTCCTGTCATATATTGAACAGTTTAGTTCGTAAATACTAAATTGTTCGATTGTAGTATTTTGTTTCTTAAGTTTCGTTCGCTTTTTGAATTTGATGTCTTCTTTTTACTAACGGTTAGATGCTTATGTCTTCTGCCATATTTTTCAGCTGTAATCCTAGTTATGAGTTGCTAAATTTATATTTTTTTCTTCATTCATGCTAGATATTTTCAAGTTTTGGAATACAACAAGGTTGAACTATCGGTTTGGTTTAATCTTTGAATTTTTTTTTCTCTCTATATCTCTCAAATAGATATATGGGTGTGTTTATTTTGTAGATCAGTACAGGATTATTTGTATAATTTATTGTCTGAAGTATGGGAGGTAGCAGTGGTGATAGCAGTTTATAAGGATTAAATATTGTTGTGAATGAAAGTTTGTTAAAGGAATATAGTTGTCAATCTTCTCACTATGTCCAATCTATCCCATTAAATTTTAAATGGTCCAGTGGAATTTGGAATCGATGTTAGTGAGTACATTTTTTCGACAATGGACGCTACTGTTCGCGTATGACAAAGGGAGGGGAGATGGTATGCTGAAATTTACTATGTGAAAGTAAATCGGATGAGTCGATATTCGTTGTTCTTCTGTTACTCCTATTCGTCTTGTCAATGGCAGCTGCGTCCATAAAGCATAACTAGCTATAGTGGATTGGCATTCGCATAGTCAGCTTAATATCTCTAGTGAAATAGTTAAGCTTTAGATATCTTCTCAATTACTCGTCTTTCCCTTATTTTTTCCATTTTCGTAAACTAAATTTTTATTTTCTTTATTTTTCTTGTATTTTTGTTGTAATTGATATTTTTGACCTTGTCCTCACTACTTATCATCTTTCATTCTGGCATCATAGAAAAAATAGTGACCAGTTGAGTATGTGATTCGATTTCTAAATTTTGTTTTTTCATTCAAATTGAGTTTTTAGGAAAAGTTCTTTTCAATCTTCTCTTCCAAATGATTATGTTATTTGCGACATGGTTGAGTGATATTTAGTTGTAAGTTATAGGTCTATCTTATCGAAGCGAGTAAGCGTGTGTTCGTGATTAATTTTGATCGCAATATTTATCGCCTTAAATATTTTAAATGATATGTCACTTTGAGCTTTTTACATTTTAAGAAGTTTGTTCAGTAGTATATAAAAAGGAATTGCTCGGAGTTTCGTGGATTCAGTGTTAGATTAAATAACTACCTGTTGCTGAAGGCATTTAAGTTAATTCTTATTTAGGAGCAACTAATGGCTGTGTAATAAACATATTTCTAAATTTTTCATAGAAAGGACTTATAAATGGAATGCCTACTTACGTAATGGTTTATCTTAGAGAGTAAAGTAAATAATTAGCAATAAAGTGTTGGTTGTAATAGATAGGTGCAAGTTTTATACAGATTTGAAGTTCTAAGCTTTAATTAATATATCTAACTTTATATTCGTTGTTTCAGATCAGCGATCCGTTAATAAAAATTATACCACCATATCGGCATCGGGCTGAATCGTCGTGTTCGTCAGGAAGTGGAGGTGGTGGTGGTGGTGTTGTCCAACGTGCAGTAACTCCAAAATTAGGTATTGGGAGTATCTGCAGTGGTGATAACAGCGGTCAAACGTCTTCTACCAGTTCACCCCATTTTAATACATCCGTAAGTAATTTTATTTCATGAAACCGAAAATTAGATTTTTTTGGCACAGTTGAAAACTTTTTTGTAATCCTTATTTAAGGAATTTGATCAGTTCAAAGTATTGTGATACTGAAATGTTTCTGATGAAGAGAAAAAAAGGATAGAACATCAAATTTTTGCTTTCTATGACCTCAGTTGTCAATGGTATTGAATATCATTTGATAGAGATTAAATTGCCTGATCTTCCTCATTTCGTGTAATACTTTGTTGCAGGACATTAAAATTTTAATATTTGTAGCAATAGTGAAGACAGCCAGAGTAAAAGGAACATCAACTAGAGAAGTAGAGATTTTCGTACAGAGTAAATTGTTGTGGCTTTAAGCTAAAAGGCATTTTCATCTTTATTTCGATTTGCAGGAACTGCTGCAGAATACATCGCCAGCAATCAGTAGTTCCGGCAGTGTCAAATTAGCAACAACCACATCATCCAGCGGGACTGCAACATCATTTTCGTCGAGTTTACGAACTGAGGGACCTACAATGCTTGTAGATCCCTTATATCGGTTGGCTTATTGTTCTTTTTGCAGAACGGAGTAGATGAAGTGGGAGAAACTTGGCCTTGGTTTATTTAGTTGTTCATTCTTTAACTGCACATCTTATCACGATAATATCTGCTAAATAAGGCTTTCAGGACTTCATTGCCACCACCAGCAATTGACAGAGCTATGTTAAATGCTGTAATGTCTCAATCACTAGCAATCCATTCATTGCATGATGATGCTTGCAGTCCACCGACATCAAGTGGAAGGTAATGATTTCCAGTATTAACGTTTTTTTCAATATATAGTTTTTTTTTTTCAAATACTGATTTGGTGGCATAATTTCTTTTAAGTATGGATAGATTTTTTTTTCTCGTAGTTAGCTTGTTATATGGGAACTTTTCACGTATTCAAATGAAATTGAAACTTACTGTTATAGATCTTCAACAACTCACAGTACACCTCCGCCGGTTGCTTCAGCAGTCTCATTGAAGAAAGATCAGTCGGTCTACGAATTACCAAGTTCTTCGAACGCATCTGTCCCTTTATCTACAAACGTTACACTTTTCGGTGCATCTGCCCAAAAAGTTAGCATATTTCCTAAAGGAAAGCTTTAAGCTTTATCTTTTCATCTATTTTTTAAAACTCTGACATTAGAAATGTTGAAGCCGTTTCAAAACTCTTTTTGAAGTATAATTCATTTAGAGCGAGTTGTTATCAACTGGCATGGAAGAAAAAGATTTGAACAATGGCAGTTTAATATCTCAACTGGAAATCAAGTTACAATCTCGTGCAAATTATGTCCCTACTGATAGTGGTTCAGTTGCAAGTGTCGGAAATAAAACTCGTATGTGTATTTTATTTAGAAAGGAAAATCTGGATAACTTCTCTAGTTGGATAACTTCATTAGTTTGATAAACAGAGTTATATGAAAGTATTGATTTTACTGTTATAATGTTGAGTGAGATTTATATTAAACTACGAATCCCAAATTCGTCGTTATTCATCCTTTTCTTTATTTGATTTTATTGAATTGTGAAAGAAGTGACCTGTTCACGTATTATATCGGTGTAAAAGTAATAATGGTTATAGAATATTGAAAACATGACTAAACATCTCAATGAAGGTACATCTCAATCGATTAATAGAAGTTTTAAAAACACGTGTTTCAATAGTTAATTCCAGATGGTTATTCTATTATTTCTTTTAGAAGCATAATAACATTTGTCTCATTTTTTAGTAAAAAGAAAGGCAGCTGATGGTATGGAAAAATCGAAACGCCCACGTAACAACAAAGCATGTAAATCCATGAAAGCGTTGCTTGAGTCGGTTGGACCTTTGATCTCGGTAATTTATGAATATTTCAGAACAATTTCAGTTTTCATATGACATTTTTTGAGTGCCGTCTGCGTTTCATCATTCATTCTAATGAACGATTTCATTAAATGATTGCATCGTGGTGATGGTGTATTACCTAGACGTTTAATATTATAATTATTAGCTCCTTCTTTTATTTGCATTGATTTTTTTAATTAATCTTAGTTCCATAATCTCTCAAATTTCGTCTGTTCAGCAAACGGTTTCCGATTTTCAACGAGAGCGATTAAATGAGCGCGATAGTAATATGGCGACTACTGCACCACCTCATTCAACGACTCCTTCAACTTCCGGAGAACATGAAATAATAACTTGTACAGTTTCGGCAAGCACTTCAGCGGGTAATTTTTCATTATTGTTTATTCTAGATTAAATGTGTGAGAAGGAGAATTGTATCATTTCTTCTTGTTTCGAAAATAAACTACTAAAACGTTTACCAGTATTATTTTTCTTTCAGCTCAATGCACCGTAGTGACGTGTTCTTCGACGTCAATGCAACAGCAGCAACAACAGTCAGCAACTACAGTAACAACAGCATCAACATTTGTTGGTGTACCACTTATTAGGACACAACCAAAAGCTGTAGTAAGCCCGGATGCCGGGTAAGGATACCCTTATTTTGACATTACTGAAATACTGAATTAAATTAGAAAAATTTGCAATGCATTGTTCGGATTTGTGTGAATACTTTTGCACATAAAATGGCAAAATGACAGTGTACATCAACCAATTTTGCGTTCACTTCAAAATATCTTCGATGATTTTTCAGATGGGCACATAAACTTTGTTGAGAAATTGTCACTTTTTGAAATAAATTGCATTAGTTTCTGTTTCACACATTTGTTCTTTTCTTTAGTACGGCGGTTGTAGCGGTAGATCGGACTCACGTAACGTCAACACTCCCATCAACATCTGGTGCAGCTGCAGCTACATCGCTTTGTTCCGCGTCGCAGCAATCGGTAGCTTTTCCACAATCGATGGAAGAACTGTTAGAACGGCAATGGGAGCAGGGATCACACTTCTTGATGAGTCATGCACCATTTGATAGTTTGTCTTCTCCCTTCTTTTTTTCGGTTTTCATTGGTCTTCCACATGTTTTTCTGTACGGGAAGTGACTGAAAAAGGAGGAATATGTTTTTTATTCTTCTTAACATATGAAGTGTACGAGATCACACTTATCCGTTAACATTAGTTTCTTTACTAGTCAAAATATGGAATGGAATTTTAGTAATATTTGATTGCTATCATTAAATAAAGGGTGATGCATACATACTTTACACATTAAATCATTCCCTGTTGATTTTAGTGTGATTTATTAAATTGCCGCAAAAAAGGCGGGTCGATTTTTTCTGGGCTAATGAGATAACGAAGAATTTTTCAGTTGCGCAACTTTTGTCATGTTTGCACGAGCTGAAAATGGAAAATGTTCGTTTGGAAGAAACACTGTCACAGCTTGCTAGGCGGCGAGACCATCTGCTTGCATTAAATACTAGGTTATCACTATCTCTCGCAAGCGGTTCTTCGTTGGGTCTTGGTACTAGGTATGTTTCCTTATAAATACCGTAATTCATCTCATCCGTGTTCAACCATAACGTAATTTGTAGGAATCCTATCTTTTACTAGTGTAATGTGGAATGTTATATTTTTGTTCATTAGTGTTGCTTATTAGAATTCTAAACTTATTGTAGTAGTATTGAAGTGGCTATTACAGGAGACATTACTAGAATGTATCTTTTAGTCCGCATCATTCGCCACGGATCAGTGCAGTGAGTGGCAGTGGCAATACTCCGTTAGCATCAACCAGCAGTATACAGTCGAACAGTGGCATCTCATCGACACAGTGTACAACGCAACCTACCTCCTCCGCTTCCATCTCAAGTCTCCCATCGATTGTACCTCTGCCACCTGCAACATTATGTGGACAACAACAACAACAACAACAACAACAACAACAGCAACAGCAATCCCTTCAAGCAGCTGCTGGTTCTGCGGTCATTTCTTTTTTGAACCCATTTTGTTCCACTCTTCCACCTATTATCGACGATTCGCTAAGTCAGTTACGATCGCTTGCAAGTAACGGATCAGTGATTACAAACCGAAGTGGCCATACACCACAAGCTGCTGTAGCTGCTGCTGCCGCTGCTGCTGCGGTTGCTGCTGCGGGACAATTGGCTGGTACCACTGGTAACACAGAAAACCGGCAAACATCTGTAGCTAGTACTACCTGCGGTACTACATCAATGCAGCAAGCTTCACTTTCTTCCAATCGGTTCGTGAGTGTATCTCTTTTTGTCATTTAGTTGGGAAATTCTACGGTAACAAGATGAAGGATTGTGATGTTTACTTCAAACAATTATTATTTGAATAGATTATTTTGTAGTTGAATTCAGTGAATAGTTTGCTTTTTTAAAGCGGTTAATCATTGCTGATCAGGTTTAGACAAATAATAAATTGGTAAAATATCTTTGAATTACGACATTTTATCAATTTCTTATTTGAAATAATAGTACTGATTTTTATACGGAGCATGAAGAAAAACAAAAGTGAGTTAAATTTTAGAATTCCATCAGCAGCATCAGCAAATACGGGCATAGGTACACCTTTATTGGCGAACTTCACTAATACACAACTTACAACAAGTATCCCATCGACAGCCGCTGTAACAAATGCACTGGATCTGTTTAGTGGATCACAAAATAATCCCCATTTGTCACTGACTTCTGAGCGGCAACAAATGGCTGCAGCAGCAATTGCAGCTGCCGCTGCTGCGAATGCATTAGGTGGAAATTTTGTTGCTCCTAGGACACCGACTCATTCAAGCACAGCCGTTTCCGGAACATCTGCTCTAGGACAACTCGCTTCAACGGTATATGCTTTCACGGATATTTTGTTAATGATAGCTAAGAAGAGAAAGAAGATATGTTGTATGCTTGACTTTGTCATTATGATTGTTATGTTAAAATGGTTATCAAATGTATGTATTGAAGGAGTTATTGGCGCAGTACGCATTGCTTGCTCAACAGCAGTTACTCCATCAGCAAGCAGCAGTGGCAGCTTTAAGCGCCAGGTATGGAAGCCAAGTGATATCGAGCAGTTCGACTTCACCGCATTCCACGTCGTCAAATTCACAACTTTCATCAAATCCTCATTCGGGGAAATAGTAGGTGCTCCGAAACTTGTTCTGGCAAGATTTGTCTTAATTAGGCTTCTTAAAATTGAATTCCGAAATTGCGGTCAGAAAGTGTGAAATTATAGGAATGTCATTTGTTAATCTTTGTAAGATTTGCATTATGAAGTATGAGAAACAATAAAAAGGGAAAGGTTGCCGAATTTTATCAGGTTTTTTCCTTCACATTTCGAATTGTATATAAATCCAAGTATTGAATGGCTAAAATTGGTTTCATTGTAATTTAAAAGTTGTTTCTGTGATTCATTTCAGTTTGGTTCATTCATGATTGCTGTTTGTTTGGATGTATTCTTTTTTTTTCCATTTTGTTGTTAAATATTTTGGGATGTAATTTTAATTGATTGCTTGGGTATTTCATTTGCAAGCACGGAAGTTAAAAAAAGTTCATCGATTTTCACTTTTATGACTTTTCAGCATTTTTCAATTCCAAAAGAAAATTTCATGAACGGGCGCGTGCGCATACAAACGCATTCGTTCTTTACCTCTTTTTTTGCATTCGTTTATGATTCCGTCGTCGCTGCTTTTTTCTTTCGATTTTTTTATAAGTAAAAATTGGTTACGATACTTTTTCTCAGCTGTTTAAGAAATATTTCCATTCATTCTGTGGCTTAGTGAAATCTTTTCCATTCTCTCTGAATTATATTTTAATATAGGTTAATTAGTTAAGTATGTTTGAAGGTATTAACACTGATCTGTTTTTAGGGATTCCTATTTTTGTTTTCATTTTGTTTTAGAAAACAGCTGTAGAATGGTGGGTACTTCAGGAATAATCGTTTAAAAAATGACGACAATCTGCAAGTTGATATTAATAATAGGTCGAACCTTTTTTTACGAAAGGAATGGACTCCTCATACTTATTTGGTTTTGATTTGACGATGATAATTTGGGAAGATTCTATTTGTTTCTTTTTCTCATTTATTCTTTATTATTTTGCCATATTTTGGGTTGAATATATGCTATCGCAATTAATAATTGCAGAGTTTGCGCTATAATTCTTTTTCTACGCCTTGTCATTTGATTGATGAAATTTGTTCGTCTTCCCTCTTTTTTCTCTTCCCTCAATATGAAATGTTGAAAAGTTTAAGTAAAAAATATGTTGATTGTAAGGAAAATTATGCTTTCCAGATGTTTTGGATTCTATTGTTTTGGCTTGTGAATTCCCATTGCTTCCGTCCACCTAATAATAATAATATTAATAATAATAATAGTAGTGATAATAGTAATAATAATATAATAATAATAATAATAATAATAATAATGAGCACCATTGCAGGATTAATTTTTTTGATTTTAGTTTTATTTTATTTTGCTTTTTTCAGAAGGAAATTTTGGTTTTGTTCAATTTTTCATTTTTACATCTTGAATTTTTGAACATTACCAAAAATTCCATTTTAAATTTGTGTTTTTTTTCTTTTCGGCTTTAGCTCAATTTTTTTTCCTTTTTTTTTGAAAATTTCAATAAATTTACACAAAACCTTTTTGCGGTGAATGTCCAGGTCTATCAAAATCAAAGGAGAGATGTTCTTGTACGAGGTTTTTTCTCTATTTTTCATTTTTACTGTTGATTACAATTTGTGACAAATTCAGTGAGTAAAAGCTGCGAACCGATTTGTTTATGCTTTTTTCTTTGTTTCAACGATTAATTAAATGTCAATAGTAGAGATAATTAAGCTTATTAAATCAAATATCTTATACAAGGAAAAAGAGGTGGAACTGAAAAATGACAAGGGGAAATTTAACAAGTAGTCATTGTGAGTTTTTATAGAATCAATTAAAATGAAAATATGAATGAATGAGCCTAGCAGGGATATGTGTGTATTCGTGATATGGTGTGTTTGTGGTATAGCATGATATGATGGTATGATGCAAAATAACAATTATGGAATAGTTTGGCGGGATGGATATTAATCAAACATCTCGGATATTATCAATATGAGCATTTATAATGATTTCAAATATTTAGTTCAAAAATGAAAGATTTGAGGAAATAAGTGGTGGAAGTTCTGCATGATATTCGACTATGATATTGTTGTTTTGTTTTTTTCTTTGTTTCTTCACATATTACATTAATTAATGATGGCAAACATTTTCTTAATTATGAAAATGAAGGGAAGAAATATTATGAATGGGTTTTTTTAAACAAAAAGAAGAAAATTAGCAGAAGGAAAATGCGAATTATATTTGAAATAAGAGAAAAAACGGGAAAAATTTATTTCCACCTTTAAATCGGATAAGTTTTTATTCTCTACTTTATAAATTAGTAGAAAGAATATTAATTGAAGGTGATGTAAAATGTATTTGATCGGTTTAACCGGTGGTATAGCAACTGGGAAAAGTACTGTTTCACAAATTTTTATCGAAAATCATATTCCGATTATTGATGCCGATTTAATTGCTCGTAAAGGTATGATTTTTTCTTTCCTTCTTTTTGCATAATTAGTAATAATTAGCAGAAATAATTAATTTGCTATTTCATTTAGTGATAGTAATTCCATAGTATTTTCTGTTTTGATAAGTAATATGATGAAAAAAAAATCATGATTTTATGATTATATCTTTATTTTTTATCAGAAATAAGATGATTGTAAATAAATCTACAGCATGGATATTTATATTACTTCACCAGAAATAATTTGTATAAAAAAAGACATTTTGTATTAAATTTTTTTAGTAAAATTAGGAGACTGTAAAACTTGATAGAATAGTAGTAAATATTCTTTAGTATATTTTATCTGAAGTTGATGTATATCTTTATTATCAACTTATCAATATAAACTAAATAAATTATTAAATTATTGATTTAATTGATGGAAAATTTTTATTATTTTTGGTGATATAAATGATAAATTTATCAGTAAAGCTTATCATCTAATTCCCTACAAAAAAAAATCAAAAATATGATTAAATATTTGTTGATATTTTATTACATCTTTATTAGCACTTTTGAATTCTTCATCTTATCAGTGTAACATTCCATTGAATTTTTTCACGTATTAATGTAAAAAGCTAAAATTGCAATTTATTATTAAGTTTGAGTGATAAAATTGCAATTATAATATGCAAAATGAAATTACAAAAATATAATACTCATTGAAGAAAGGTAAAATTTTTTCAAAAATCTATTTGAAAAATAATTTTTATAAATTTGAGATTAATTTTTAAAATTAAAAAAAATGATGCAATTTCTTTTTGAAATTATTAATTAATTTTTGCAGTTGTTGCACCAGGTAAAAATGCCTATAAGAAATTGCGCAAACATTTTGGCAATGAATTCTTTGATAGTATAAGTGGTGAATTGTTGCGGAAAAAACTCGGTGATTTAGTTTTCTCCGATGAAAATGTAAATCTTATCTTTCTTTTTTTTCTTTATCAACATCTATAATTCATATAATTAGTCAATTACTAATTAAAATGTAAAAGTTCCAGTTATCTTTTCAAATATTTTTTCCATATTTTCTTTTCTTCAAACAATAATCAATATGTACATACTTCAAATAACCTGCAATTTTTATTCTTTTATAGCGTTTACTTCAATAGTTTTCAGGTTCGTCATTTGGTCAATTCAATTACACACCCTGAAATACGTAAAAATATAGCACTTGAAATTTTGCAACATTTCTTTCGTGGTGAAAAATTCGTTATTTTAGATCTTCCGTTACTTTTTGAAGCTGGTTATGCAAAAATTTTACAATCAATTGTATTGGTTGATTGGTAAGTTTAAATATTTACACATTATACATTCAATATTATAGTAAGAATTTTATTTGTATGCAATAAGTGTGATATTTGATTTGTGGAAATTTCAAAGCAAGATATTTGTATTGTAAATTGTAATAAAATGCTAATAATCTGCTCCAAATACTATATATGAATTTATTCCTTGTAACAAGATAAATTGTCGATTTTGATTGTGATTTATTAGAGAAATAGAAAATTTAACATTCTGTTTCTTTTTTTTACCATGTCTTATTGTATTGTATCAGATGACTGATGTCGTCGATTTTTTTTAATAATACTAACTATTCAAATAGATAAATTGGTAATGAAAATGATAAAATTTACATTTTACATTTTTGTTTTCAGTCTTGAAGATATTCAACTAAAACGATTACAACAGCGCGATAATATTGATGAAGATGCCGCTCATAAACGGATCATTGCACAGTATCCGATGTGTGATAAACGTCGTTTTGCAACTCATATTGTGAATAATAGTGGCACTATTGAACAGACACGAGTTCAAGTGCTTAATTTAATTGAAGAATTTAATGCCTCCAATTTACACTTAATTATTCGAGCTATTCTACTATTTGCATTGCTTACTTTCGTCATCTTAAGTTATTTGCTGTACCATATTGTATTCTTATAACGTTTGATAATTAATTTTACCATCGGTATTTTAGAATTCAAAATAAATTTAAAAAAAAAAAGATAGTTATAAAGTGATTAATTTAAAATATCAATTTAATAATAATTCATATAAAATAATAAATACTATTAAATATGATTAATTTGGTACAATGAATTTATTAAATTAATTAGAAAATACAATCTCTTTTTAATTTTTCGTCTAAAATAGATTGACGATAATATATTTTATTTTCGTCTTAAATTTCGAAATAGTTTTTAAACTAAAATAATTATGAAGAAGCGAAATGATGAAAAGAGAAAAATTTTTTCAAAACGATCAATGTTGTTGATTATTAAAAATTTGAACGGAAGATATTTTTTCTTAGTAATTAAAATGAATTAATTGATTGCTCAAATAAATTATGCTGTGAAATATAATCCATTGTGATATATGCTGATTTATTATACTTTTAAAATTTGTTAATTTAACTATTTACATTAAATTTTCTCTCCTCTCTTAATCACAATCAATCTTTTACGTTTAGATAGTAGTGAAAACAGCATGCCAAAGTAGAAATATTTATATGAAAATAAACAGAGCAAATGTATCGTTTATTACAACGATGAAATCATCATCATCCATTTCATTTTAATCATCATATCATTCATTACAACGATTAAATCATTATCCATTCTATTTATTATTCATTGCAATGATGAAATCACTATCCAAATCATTATCCATCCTTTTGATCTATCATTTGGTAATAATTAAATCATTTATCTATTTCTTCTATCCATCATTCATTACAACGATTAAATCGTTAACCATTCCTTTTACCAATCATTTATTACAATGATTAAATCACTATCACTATCATTCGTTACAATGATAAAATCGTTATCCATGTTTTCAATTCGCATCATTTTAAATGAATTTATAAAGCCTACTCTATTTGAATATATGCTTATTTAGTGATATTAAACAACACAAAATGAAGAGAAGAAGAAAAGTATATTTTAATAATTTCTTTGAAAAACTTCAAATTACTAATAATTAACAAAGTCTCCATCCATTGTTTTATTTCCATTTCCCGCACTCCTGTTACCTTCTAACACCGCGTTTTCCCCTTCTTTCCCTCACCCGCTGTTTTCTTTCTTCGAATCAAACTCTTCCGGAGTTTGTTTCATTCCTATCATTTTTTCCGATCAATGCTTTTTTCATTGGTACATTCATTCATCGAATAATCTCCTCTCTTCTTCTATTTTCTCTTTTCTCTTCTCTTCTCCTTTCTTTTCTCTTTACTTTTTTCTTTTCCGTTCTGTTCTGAAGAGAATACAAAAGGCATATTTTAATAATTTCTTTTAAAAATTTTTTCTTCAAATTAGTAATAAGTGAAAGATTTGATTTATTTATGCTGCATATTTGTCTGCTTCCATTTCTTTATTCAGGATTGTTTGATTCCTGAAACGGAATAACGAAAAGAAATATAAAGGAAAACGGAAAACTTTTTTTTCTTTTTTCCTTAATATCATTATAGTATTGTCAAAAAGGAAGTATAAGAGGGTGGGAAAGAGAGAGAGAGAGAGAGAAAGAGGAAAAGAAAGAAAGAGAGGAAATGGTGTGTTAGAATTTTCATAAATCTTAAACAGAGAAAGAAATTGTTTTTTTCTTTTTCATTGTTCGAATTGTAAATTGTAATTTTGGATGCTTTCCTGATATTGTTTTGGAAGAAATAACATTGAAAAGGTCAAAATTTTTATGGTTAAGGGGTTAAAGTTCCTTATTTTATATTACTGTCAACAATTTCAAATCAATTCTTTTTCTTCCATTGAACTGTTAAATGTAGCAGCGTTATATCGCATTCTATCATATTTTAATTATAATAATTAAATTTGAGATAACTTTTTTCAAGCAATCTAATAAATTGGCCTTTTTTTTTTGTTAATTATTCGTTTTATTTTACCTTTGTCGAATTAATAATCAGTTTGTAAAGAAGAAAGAAAATCAAAGAAAGAAGCATTTATATTATTTTCGAAATTTCAACAAAATTTGTATTTCCCAATTATTAGTGTTCTATTGTTAATTATGCTTAGGCTTAGTTTAATATATATGTTTGTATGTTAGTGAGAATTAATCAGTGTCAGCTCTGTTTACACCTGAACAGGTGCTTATACTAGATATAAACAGATGTGATATAATGTGACATATAATCTTTTTAACATAACGAGTAATTGTTGTCTCATATAATATTTTTTATTTTCTTGTTAACTTTACGAATTAAATATTACTCATAAAGTTTATTAATTAATTTAAAATAAGAATTGAATGTGATAGATGCTTACAAACGTAATGAATTGTCTAACAACGAATGGAAGATTGAAATAATTCAAAATTGCAAATATTTTTGTGGAAAAATGAAAAGAAAAAAACAAAAGAAAATTTAATTGTTATCGTATTCATTTTCTTTTTTTGTAATAATAAGAATAGTTAATGAATTGGGGAATGAAGCGAATATGTCAATATTATAGTAATGTTAATTTCAAAATATAGGAAATGGAGGAATAGAAATACGATTTAAATTTCAAAATAATATGAATAATAATGTAAGTAAGAAAGCATAATCTTAATATTCATTTCCTAATTATTATTATTATTATTTTCTTTCATTTTTTTCTTTTCTCTTTTTTTGGAAGTAAAGGAAAATAAGGAAGTGAGAAAGAAATTGATGAGTTTTTGAATTATTTAAATAAAAATTTTGATGCAAAATGTTATATATTATTATTATTAATTATTGTTAATTATTATCATTATTATTATTAATTATTGTTATTAATTAATATTATTAATTATTATTACGGAAATATACATATCTATTTTACATGCTAATATCATCACCTGATTAATATACCATTTATTCCAGGCTTATTATTTTATAATTGTTGTAGGGAGTAAAATTATCAAAATTTCGAAAATTATTCAAATTTATTGAAATATTAGATAAATTGGAATGTATTTCGCGTAGTGAAACTACTAAGGAGAGTAAAATATTTTGTGATATCATTTAAACACTGTTAAATCATAAGATATTGTTATTATAAGCGGAGATAATCATTATATCAAAATTAGTTCCATTGAATATGATATTTAATATTTTCCCTAAATACAATCAGAGTTTAATTGTTATTAACAGATGATCAATTAAACGCTTATGGAAAAATCATCATTTTTGAACAATGATATAATACGGTAGATACAGTAAACTACAGAAGATTTAAGATTAAAAGTAAAGATAATGCGAATTCTCTGTAGAAAGTATACCGGAAATGATACTATCATAATATTATTAAAACAAATATTAATATTACAAAATAATAATAATAATAATAATAATAATAATAATAATCAAAATATCTTTCAATTATTCATATATAAAAATTTTTAGCATTTCTTTGTAAAGAAACAAAAGTGTTTAAAATTGTTTAAAATATCTGAAATTATCGGAATTATACAATTTAAATATTTATATAAAATATTAAATAAAATAAAACTAAATTCCTCTTTCTAACTAATATTATGGAAATTAAAGAAACAAATTTTTATAGGGAAAAAGGAAGGATGATATGACTGACAATTTATTGTTTACAGCTGGTCCGGTCTGATTGAAAAGAGATGATAACATTTGTTGTTCCAAAAATTTGAAATGTTCGCTTCTAATAATGTGAATTTTGCTTCCTATTGAAAATTCTACTATTGAAATATTTATTATCAGTACATTTATCGGTTGTTTTAATTTTAAAGAAGAAAAATTTTTTTAAATCAAAAAATTGAACCAAAAAATTTTATTATAAAAATTGCTGAAAGGAAAAATTGCCTTTCAGAATTCTAAAATGAATTTTTAGAATTCTTTTCTTTTTCCCTATTAAATCTACAATATTTTTACATATTCTATCTCCATATTAAGCTGCTATCTCTATATTTTATCATAACAAATATCATTTATCATTCTTATATCTTATCATAATAAATTTATTTTAATTAATAATCTGTTAATTATCAGATATTTTTTTGCAAACAATTCTTTTAATAATTTTTAATAATGCAAACAATTTTTTTAATGCAAACTTTTAATAATGCAAACAATTTTTTTTTTACTAATCTGTTATAATTATCTTTATAAAAAATTTATCTTAATTAGTAATCTGTTAATTATTTGATAATTTCATGCCAGTCAATTCTTTTAATAATTAATTGATTTATTATAATTATCTTTAATAGTTTGGCAAAAAACTTTATTTTGCATATTTAAAAAATAAATAAAAATTATAGCAAAATGTTAATGGAAAATTGTTTTCCTTGTATATTTCAAAAAAAGAATATAAACGTTTATATGAAAATTCGAACGTCACACAACAACAACAGTACATCTACCTGCACTCTATCATCATCATCCATTCGTTAGCTCTTACTCCTTTCCGTTCGTTTACCTTATCTATTCATCATCATCATCATAAGTATCATCAGTCTTAAATTTGAAATGATTAATTTGGTGGGATGATCGAATTCCTCCAACACTACTCTTTCATTTATTTCTTCTTTCCAAATTTATATTTCTTTTAAATTAAATTCCAAAAGTTTAGATTAATTTTCAAAATTTTAGCTAATTAAAAATAATAATTATCAATTTTGTTAATTATATCTTATATAATATATTTCAATAATAGTTATTATTCCATTTTCATTGCTTTCTTTACTATTTTCCTCTATTTGTTTATCATTGGAGAAATCATACCTCATAGATTTTATTTTATTTTCTTTTGTTTTTTTGAATGTTAATTTATGCAAATATTCACATTTTATTTATTTAAAAATTAGCGCTGGCAATTATTTCATTGGATTTGAGAAATTTCTGATTATTATTATTAATTTGTTATATTATTCAGTGATTATTTTTAGTAATTATTTTTAAATTTTTGTATGAATTCTAAATTTTTTGTTTTTTTTTGGAGTATTTTAAATTTTAAATTTAAAAACAATAGGAAATAATAGTTATAGAAATTATTTAATGAATTGAAATTAAAAAGTAATTAAAGGAATAGAAAATGAAATAACGAATGAATCATCTAAAAATTCTTTCACTAAAAAAAGGAATTTCGATAAAAAATTTTAGCAAAATATTATTTACTTTTAACATTATGTAAAAGAATTTCAAAATTTAAAATTATAATACAAAACAAAATAATTTCTTTTCAATTATATTTAATTAAATTCGAAATGAATTAATCACAAAAAATTTAATTTTCGTTTAATTTTAATTTGTTAACTTATATAATGCAAGAAGTGGATAAATACTAAAATGTACGGAAATTAAATAATTAATTTAATATATTATTTTTTTTAATTCAAATTTTTATTTTACAATTAATTATTAAAATTTTTTGTATTGTTAAATTATCAAATGGTTTCTTCTTTTGTTTTCCAAAAAATTTGTGAAAAAAAAAGTCATTTAATTAATTAGCATATTTAATTTAATTTGTTATTATTTTATTTCTGAAATGAAACAAAAAAAAATTGTTAAAATAAAATTTCATATTTAATTGCTAATTGTTATCCCAATTTTATTATCGTTTCAACAAATTTTATTCATTCGTAATCATTTCATTGATAGCTGTCAATTACCATACAATTATTCCCATTATGCATTTAATTGTTCTTTGTCTTTTGAAAAGCGTACAAGAAGTTGCTTTCTTGTTTAATTAGCCGCAAGTTGATTTTTATTAGTTGATTAGTTGATTAGTTTAATGAGTTGATTTTTAAGCTCTTTTGTTTATATCTTTCGTTTCCCAATTTTCAGATCCTTTTGTTTCAAATAGATTTTTAATATAATATATTTGATATAAAATAATATTAAATAATTTACTAACTTTTTAGTATTTTCATTAGAGAAAATGAAAAGAATTATTGAAAGAATTTATAGTTAAAAAATTTTTTTAAATTTATATTATTTTAATTTGTATAATATAAAATAAAAAAAAATTAAATGTTTGAAAAATTTGTTTGCTAAGTTAATTCATTCAGTTATTTCAATATTATTTTTAACAAATTTTTTTATTGAAAATGACAAACAAAGAAAGAATTTGACATAGAAATAAACTTTATTGAAAAAAGCTTTTTAAATTTATTTACTTATTTACTTATTTACTTATTTACTTATTTACTTATTTACTTAATGTGAGATATTATCGAAAGATTGAATTTTATGATTCATTTATAAAATTGAACATTCATTCATTCATTCATTTTAGAACATTTTTTTGAGAAAGTTTTGGAAAAGTATCAGAAAACAAATTTTCTGCAAAATTTCTTCATTTTTTATCATTTATACATATTATATATACATATACTTGTATTATTTTATATATTGTTTTAAATATTTGTAATTCATTTCCAATTATTTCTTACAGTAATAAAAAGAAGGAATTGATTAAAAATTTTAGTATTTAAATTTATGTAAAATAATATATGTGTACATGTAATATGTGTTAATGATATAAATGCATATTACATACATATACATATATTATTTTACGTACTCTTTTATATTTGTTATTCATTTCCAATTATTTCTTATAGCAATAAAAAAATTTAAGTATTTAAATTTATGCAAAATAATATATATGTATATGTAATATGTGTTAGTGATAAAAATGAAAAAATTTAAATATTTGAATTCCAAAAATTTTTATTAATTAATTAATTTATTTCATCATTTTTGTTTTCAATATTTGTTGCTTTTAGCATTTTGATTATTTTCCCTTTTTTTCAATTATTTCTTAATTAAAAGTTTTGATGAATTTCTTTTGTTTTTTACCTTTGCAATTATTTGCAGTGAAAAATATTGTGTAATTGTTGGAGAGAAAATAAGAAAGAAACAAATCGTTGAATGCGATGGATGAAAAATTAACATTTATTAGTGAATTAATTAATGAAATCAAGAAAACGCCGAATGTTTCATATTGTTTACAACGTGGAAAACTTTTCCAAGCAAATATTTTGGCTGATGATATCATTCAGGTATGATCGAAAAAAAGTTTTAATTTATGAAAATTCTTTGAATGAAAAGTTGATTTGATTATGTATATTAGTTATAATTAATTGTTCATAATTAATTTTTTGTATTTATATTTTCAGAAATTAATTAATTTGCGTAATTTATGCAATAATTCATCCTTAAGTATCACGAAGGATGAATATTATGATACAATATTAATGAATAATAATATACGACAGTGTTTATCTCATTATCATCATCATCATCATCATCATCATCATAGAAATATTCATCGTTAGTTTAATCTTAAGCAATTAAAAATATTAAATTAATCAAATTTTACTTAATATTTTTTAGTTTATTTGAAAAATTTATCAATTGACATCAAATATAAATTTAACAATTTACAAAATTGTAATGTTTATTTTATTATACAACGAATGATTATAGTTATTTAGTAATTCTATGAATTAGGATGATTTAGTCGGATAATTTCTTCAATAATTTCCATAAAATTAACAACAAAATTTATTGATTTGTTGATATGAATTATCATTGATCAATTGTTTTATAAATTTAATATTAACTATATATTGTATCAATTTTTAAACTATTTATATATCATATAAATTAAGAATTAGCTATATGATATATAGTTCAAATTTAGGATTTCCTATGTATTATACAAATTTACAGTAGCTAACAACTATTCATCGTATAAATTTAGGTTAAATTGTGTGATATATAGTTCAAATTTAGGGTTACATATGTACCATAGAAATTTACGGTAGCTAGCTCATTTACCGTATAAATTTAGGCTTAGCTATACGATATGCAGCTCAAATTTACGGTTATGATAGTGAACTATTCACAGTATAAGTTTAGATTTGGTTACATGATATATGCACAAACCGTACATATAATTTAGAAATTGTTTTGTTTTTAGCGCCGCAAATGATTAACATAAAAACAGAAGCGGTGCTGAATAATGATGACGCAAATTTAATCGAAATTGCGCATCATGCATTTAACAATGAAAATTATGCAAAATGTGTTCGAACAATTGAAAGAATTGCAACATTGCAACAAAGCAAATTAAATCCGTAATATTTTATCTTTTCAATTAAATATTTTTTTATGCTTAATTTTTGTTTTCTTCGAAACAATGCATTTCTTAATTATAATTATGTTTATTCTTAATGATGAATAATGATTTTTTACATCCTAGTAAGATAGAGAATAGCAAAATAAACTTAGCCATACTTTTAACTTATAAAATTGAGATTAAAATTCTTTCATTATCACTGATCATCTTCAAATGTTGAAGAAAGAGAGAGAGAGAGAGAAAGAGAGAGGAATAGAAAGTAAAAATTGATTATTCCATTCTTTTGATTTCCTCTTATAATTATTTTGTTGACAGATGAATATTGATAATATTTCGTTATTTGATGAATAATAATTAAAACAATTACTTCAATTAAACTACTAAAAATTTTATTTGTTTTTATTAGCTTGTAAAATTTCAAATTATTTTATTTTTTATGGTATCAAATGCATTTATCTAATATTTTGCATAATTATTTCTTATAGAATTCTCATGGATCTTTGTCATAAATCGTACAAAAAAGTTATTCAAAGTGCGGCATCAAATACCGATCGATTAAAATTATGCGAATGGTGGAGATTATTTGTTGGTGATTTTTTAATTATTCTTTTATTTTATTTTATATTATATTTCAATTTCTTTTAAGCATTTTACCTTTCATCATTGATTTTTTTTTCTTTGTGAGTAAAACTGATTAATCACCAACAAATAATGATTAATCAACAATGATTAATCACCAACAAATAAAACTGAACAAACTGATTAATTGTAATGAAATTTCAATCATTAAATATATTCATAATCAAATTAGTAATTAAATTTGTTATATCTTTCACATTGCAATTATTTGATACTATTTAATAGTAATAATAATAGTAATATTAATTTAAATGATAATCATATGTGAAATAAATTGGTAACAAATGTTAGCTGTCAACTGTGTAATTCAATTATGAAATAATTTTTGGTTTTTTCTTCTCTCTCTCTCTTTCTCTTTCTCTTTCTTTCTTTGTCTTTTTCCATCCCAAAAAATGAATAATAAATTATCCTTTGATGATAATAAAATATAAAATTAACGAATTTTAATTAATTAAAAAAATATTTTTCAAATAGAAATTGCATTTAATAAATTCATTTTTCGTTAAAATATAAAGAAATATTAAAAATTTGTAAAATTTAAAATGCAATTTTAAAACTAAGAAAAAATTGTAATTATAAAATTGGAAATTGAAATTCTAAAAAAAGGAAATGCAAAATAATGATGAAAAATAAGAAATGAAATTCAAAATAGGAAATTGTTATAATTCGAAATTGAAAATTTAAAGGGGAAGAAAAGAAAAGGTGGAAAGAAGAATTGAGTCATTTTAAAAACAAAGTTTTAGAAGAGAAAGAGAAATGAATGGAGTAAATGAATCACACTGAATGAAGTATAATTTAAAATTGAGGAAAGATTGAAGGAAATAAATTAAGAATAAAAAATGAATTAAAATTAAACTAATCAAATTTAAGAATTAATTATTTCTTTTGTCTTTTTTTTAAAAAAAAGATTAATGATGAATGAAAAAATATTGAAATGAAGAAATAAGTAAATTTTAAAGAAAAAAGTTTTATTTTAAATTTCAGAAAATACAACATTGGATGATTCATCAAATGATGCATTACTATGTCAAATTGATTGGCGTAGTGAATGTTTGCAGGAAAGATTGAAATTTACACGATGTGTTAATGAACGAATGCAAATATCGGAATTGTTAATTGTTAGTTTAATCGAAGGATATGAGGTATATAATATTTGAGACAAAAAAAAACGGATGAAATTTTAAATCAAATTTAAATTATATTAAATATATGATTGAAATTAAAATTTAGATTGCTATTCAATGTATGGCAACATTTTCAGTGGTTAAATTAAAACAACGTATCGATGGTTTATGCGCAATGATTAGTGATTATTTGCGCAATTTTTGCCGTATCGTTTTTCTTTTTCTCTTTAATATTAATAATAATCGAAATGATTTTAATTTCTGATTAAATAATCACAAATTAAATTACGGATTTTATGATTTTTAATTTCTAATTAAATAATTATCAAATTAAATTACGGATTTTATGATTTTTAATTTCTAATTAAATAATTATCAAATTAAATTACGGATTTTATGATTTTAATTTCTAATTAAATAATTACAAATTAAATTATAAATTTTTTGGTTTTTCTTTTCTATGAAATATAAATTAAATTTATTTCTTTCTAGTATTAAAATGTATATTGAATAGAAATAAAATATAAATGATTGATAATATTTTGTTAGCAAAATTTGAATTTAAAATAATGATACTAATCATAGAAATTACTAATAGCTTTTTCATTAAAAATTAACATATGCAGAAGTTGATATTTTAATCAGCAAACCTTACTTGCATTTTCTACAACGGTTAAATTTGTGTAAGCTTTTCAAATATGAATAGCAATATTAGTTATCACTTAACTTATTCATTTTTAACTTATTGATATCATATCAGTAAGATGTAAATGACAAATTGAATGATAATAATTGTGTCATTTTATCATTATTACAGTATGTTTGAAAAATAGAAACTTTATTATTATCATTGATTTTATCAAATAATTAACAATGTTATAATTATGCAATATCAGATATGCATTAATAATAGTAAAAGAGTTATGTGAATTTAGAATTGAATAAAGTATCATTGGTAATCGAAGAAGGTATCGAATTATTAAGGCTTATCTATAATGAAGCAAAAGATGAATTTGATACAATCATACAAAACAAACTTAAAAATGACGATGAACAAAAAAGTGTTAGTGTATTTTTAAATTTTGAATTAAAAATATAAAAAATTTATATATATAATTTTATATTTATATATATATATATGCAAATTATGACAAGTTTGAAGTTAAGTATTTTATGATCTTTTAATAAATTTAAAATAACATTTTATTGTTTCAGCTAATGGCAATAATGAACGAAATCAATCTTGTCTTACAACATTGTAGTTGGTGTGATGTAAGCTTTATTAATAAGGAAGAAATGAAATCAAATAATATTACAATTGCATACGATAATTCTAATGGAGCAATCGATCAGAGTAATAATATATCGACAACGAATGAATTATCATCATCCGATGATCTCTATCATGATGATATCATTGAAGCACGCTTCTGATAATTATCTTTTACAATAATTAATTCATTTAATTATTTTATTTTAATGCAAAAATAAATAAATGGAAATATTATTTTTGAAAAATTTAGAATGAAAATGATAAAAATCGAATTTTAGAATTGTTAATAATAAAAAGGAAATTAAATTTACAATTTTTATTAAACAAACAATTTTTTAAATGAATAAAATTTTTGTTATATCCATTACTGATAGAAATTTAAATATTTATGAATCAATTAAGGATAATAATATATTTTATATTATATTTCATTTGCCAATATGCACAAAAGAATAAATAACAAAATTTTAATAAATTAAATAATTAAGCAAATAAATAAAAATAAAATTAATTTCTCTAAGTTATATTCTTTTCATTAATTTAAGTTAATATTTCTTCTAATGATAACTTTTATTCAATATATTATCATTGTTTTAAGAGCGATAACATATTAAATGTTAAATGATATTAAATAATGTAATATATTTAATTCTGATATTACATTTGATAACATTTTTCAATCTTATCTTCTTTATACATATCAAAATTATGTTCGTTTTGTTTATTATCAGCAAAATTTATCAAAAGTTTTAGTAATTTCAAATTAGTACTACAGGAATTGAATTGATAACAATTTCATAATGCTAATAATAATTGATATTATTGATCATTTCTGTATAATTATTAATTATTAATTAATGGAAAATTTTATTATTTGATAAATTTCAAATCATCCATCATTCTTTATAGAAACTTTCTTTTTGTTCGAAATTTTTGGTAAATTAATTAAAAATTTTGTTAGAAATTTCAAATTGAAATCTTTTATTTTAATTTGCAACAAAATTTAATACAAAATATTTCTGAAATTGTGAAAATCTTCGTTTTTTTTATGCAAATTTACTCGTTATTGAGATTATGATATTATTATTGACACCCTTATCAAATATTAATACTATTGTTTTATTTATATGATATAAATATCTATTTTATATCTTTCTTTATTGTTCGAAATGTTTTATAAGTTATGTTTAATTTTGTTGCATATATTTTATTTTCTATAATAATAATAAATTGTTCGTAATGAATGATAGATGAATAAGTGAATTTTCAATTTTATAATTCTTAAATTAAACTTTGTAATAGACAAAAAGCTATTTATTTTGTCTCACTCTAAATGATTCATTCATTTTAGGAGGAAAATAAAATTTCGTTCCTTTTGAAATTTCAAATTGAAATATTCTATTTCAGTTTGCAACAAAATTTAACTCTAAATATTTCTAATATCAATAAATTTCATCACCTAATTAAAATTTTAAATTTGAACAAAAAAGAACAACAACCGATTATTGTCTTAGAAGGAATCAATTTTTTTGTTAGTGATGAAATGAATTGATATCACAACTTTGCAGCATTCATAAATACAGTATCGCATGGAAAATTACAGTATTTTCATATTTGATATTTGTTAAAATTTTATTGCAACATATTTTATGTCTATTAAAATGTTACTTAAAGTGCTATTTCATTCTCTTCTTCCAAATGATATTAAATGATTGAGAAATAAGAAAAACACAAAAAACTTTCTAATAAAGAAGAAAAACAAATATGAATTAAGAGAAATTAGCATTAATAAAACAACGGAAAACAAAACAATTAGTTGAAAATGGAATTTAGTCGAAAAATGTAAAATAAAAAGTTGAAATAAAATCAATAGTGCCTAATGGAATTGTTTTTCTTTTTGTCGGAATTACTGATAATTATATTTATTAAGTTTTACAATTCAAATTATCACTCTAATTTTTATCGCCAAAAAATTCAACTGATTTTTCTTTTTCCTCCAAATGCTCTCTGATTTAATCATATCATATTAATAGACAAACAATTAACAATTTTTAATTACATCCTAACTGAAATATTGGGTAATGTAAAACATCTGAATTTTACTTTTGAAAAAAAAGAATTTGTACAAGAAATGTATGAAATGAAAAAAAACAACTGAGCAAAAAAGAAATGATAAAAATTTTATGATAAATAATCAAAATATATAAAATATCATTTCATTACCTTTTATACCTGATGAATTTTTAAAATGATTCCATTATTCTAATCATTTATTTCTGTATTGATATCCCGTATCATTATTATGTTATTAAACTACTGCTTTCGTTTATGCAACAATATCAAATCAATTTTCTTCATTTAATTGTGGCATACAAAAATAAAAGAGAAAACCGTAAATGTGGGAAAGACGAACAGAGAAATAAAAGTAAAGAAGAAATTTTTAAAAAAGGCTTGTAAAATGATAACATTAAAAAAAAGATTCATAAAATGATAAATTATACCGGTTTTGATGTCAACTGGTTTTGATGATACTATAAATTCATGTCATAAAAAAGAAAAAAATGTTGAACTTACAGTAAGAATATATGGAAAAGAAGTGAAATGAAAAAACACGGAAGCGAAATTGATCAAAAATTTGAAGTAAGTGATCAAGTAAATGATATATCAATAAAGTGATATTTATAGAATGCATAAGAAATTGATAAGTGAAATAATTTTGTACATAGTAGTTCTAAAAATTCTACCAGTTTTTTCAATATAAAAAAGTTTTTTTTAATCGAAATATTTTACATACAAGTAAAACGTTACTAAGAGAATGTTTCATCTAAGGCTACAAATCAATGTGCTACAAAATCATCTTATTGTGAAGTAAAAATTATGTGTAACTAACGAATATGCATTATATAAAATAAATAACAATATCTAATTTGCCAAAATATCATCTAAATATGCTTCGTCAGCTAAACATTAACCCGATCTAATTATTTAAACTATACTTAAGAGGTATGTTTTGAATGTTTTTTTTTTAAATATGATAAAAGTAACCAAAGGAATGACTTTCAGGAATGACTTTGCACATAGAGAGAAATATTGCTTCACAATAATAAGCATAAAACAATAAAATTAAAAAAAGAAACGAAAATAATACGTGTGTAAAGGCAACGATGATATTAAACGATTTTCTTTCAATGATTCTGATAAATTCCAAACCAATCATTGCAATATACGCTTTTCATTCATTAGCATTTGATTAACTGAATACCGCCAGCAGGTCGACTCCAAAATAATACTTCCATATCTGGTTGTTTGGTGTCAAAAATAGCAACAGCACAGCCACCCCAACCAGCTCCTGTAAGTCGTGCACCCAATGCACCATTTTGCAAACAGTTTTCAACCTTAAAAAAAGAAAAGAAAAAACGATGATGTTATAGGCTGCAAATATATAAAATAACTTTACCTACAAAATAATTCTTATTAATTCGATTAAAATGAATAATATTTAGAATATTACAATATCGTTAACAATTGGCAATATGGATTAGTTAGAGGCTACTTGAAATATGAAAAAAAACTGACCACTTCATCTAGTTTATCACAGGAACACTCGAATAGTTCCTTACAACTATAATGGCTATCGTTCATCAATTTCCCCATCTCTTTCACATTACCACTTTTACATGCTTCATGAAATAAACGAACTCGATCAGCTTCCATGTAGACATGTTTTGCTCTTTGTGCCAATTTAAATATTTTCACTACAAATATTCAAATAAAAAAGTGATCAGAGGAAATTATACAAAGTAAACTTCAATGAATTTCAATTTTTGAATGCATTAAATCGATTGGGTCCAATTACCAAAAATTATATGTATCCCTTAATTAATTTTTCCTAAGCCATCATAATGAACAGATTATTTCATTGTCGACAATTATAACTGCTATCTTTAGTCCATTTTCGTTAAGATACCACCAATAAAATAGCCAATCCTCAATTTTTGAATATTTTATTCTAATTTCTCTTTAAGCTTTCACCTTAATGAAGATCATAGGTACATTAAATAAGTCTCATGTATTAATATTCCGAAAGTTAGCCTTCTAAATTGGAAAACTAACTATATTGAGTGTTGGCCGAAAGGATTGTTTCGTTAAAAATTTCATTCGATATATCTAATAAGCTGAGTGCATTATCCTTGGTGTAAACACGATTGGGCAACACTTCCTCGACTACAGCAATCATTTCCTGAGCAGTCTTTCGCAACCGTTGTGCAACTTCACTTAATGTCCGGATTTCTTCCCAGTTTTTTAATTCAGAGATTTTTGCTATAATCTAAAGTAGTCAACCATATCGAACATTCTTCCAACTAAATTTTGAGCAAATTTAAACAATTAAATTGCTGTAGAAAATCAAAATCATAAATCTGTGATCGATTAAGACATACTAGTAAAAGTTTTTAATTCATTTAAAATTTTAATTTGAAAAATCTATTGTAAACCTGTGCTGCTAGACGACACTCCACAACACGTTCATTGTATTGAGAAGAAGCTGCTTTATTAAGCGCTTCTCCGGAATGAATCACAGCAAAAAGAGCATTTTCGGGAAGTGTAACTGGTAAAAATGTGAGCGGATTAAAGTTAATGAGCATCGCAGAACCTTCACTAGCCAAAACTTCAATTGCTTGATCCATACCGCCACCCTCTACACCGACATATCGCTCCACTTCGGCACACAATTCAGCAAATTCTATCTGAAATTCACATTTATGAATAAAAAATTCAAACAGCAATATAACAGAAAACATTTTGGAAAGAAAGTATAGCATTAATTAGATTACGCAATAAATGAATGAAGCAATAGATCGTACTAAGCGATGGATTACATATTGATTTACTACGAATTTCGCTAAACTCTTTCTCGAATTGGACGAACTAAACTATGCATAAATTACAATTCTACCTTGTTGATAATATCAAAAGTTTGCCCGGAATGCAGTGCAAGTGTTATAAGTGCTGCAGCGCATACAACAGAACTGGAACTAGAAAGACCAGCACCTGTTGGTATGGTACCTGCAACTTCAGACTTGAAGATGAATGAAACTTCAACTGTGCAATTCATGAAAATTACATAAAGTATAAAGGTATAATTATAGACGAAAACTGTAACATAATCGAATTCATATTCAATGCCCGAAGATTTCATCGCATTTCTCAATATTGAATTATTATATATGAAATAATTCAATATTGATTAAAATTTAAAATTTTAAAATTTAATTATTACTACTTCATGAATAAGATATTTTAATATTGTTGATAAGATTTTCAAAACAACACATTACAGCCTACCATGAACTAATACATTCATGCCTTTCGGTGGCACATTCAAACGCCTTAATATACCTTTCCAACCACATAAAAAATAATGAAACCATTCAGGTTTCTCACTACCCATCCAATCATCGGAAAATTTGTATGTATGCGCTCTTTAAGAATAACAATTTACTAATATTTTACAAGTATTCAAAATTTTTTAATATTAATTCTCACTTAAGTTAGGATAAATTTTTGGAAAAAAAGATGAATTTTTTCATAACTCAACAATTCAATATTATAACCAATGAAATTTTATTTAAAAGCCTTTTGTAACAATAAAATTTAGCTTTTAAAAGCCTACTACAATAGTGAACCTTTACTTGAATGCCGTATTGATATTTTGAAACACAATTTCATTAGCATCATGAAATGAAGCTAAGATATATGTTGAAGCGTTAATTGCCATTGGTAATACACCATAACCACTGTAATCGATATGTTCGCCTGCAAAACATAATATTTGTTACATCATTATATTCTTCATTAATATTTTAATGCTTATAAGTATATGTGTTTTCAATAATTATTAATGTAAATCATTATGACTTAATTATGCAAATTTAGTATCACAATTAAGTAATCCATTTCTTACAACGATAAATTTATGCATGAATAAATAAGTATCGCTCAAATATTGCTTCCATACATTTCTTTTCTTCGAGTATTTTATTTACTCACCAAAAAATTTTTTAAAACTTTTTCAATTTTAGTAATTAAAAAGTTTTGTTAATTTTTCAAATATTTCATTTGAATATATTTTAAAAGAATTGCATAGAATTTTTTCTTTTTGAGAAATAAATACTTAACGAAAGAGTCATATAAGATTTAGTAAAAGAGTAAATTTCTTTGTTTTTGAAAAAGTACCAATTAAATTAACTCTTCCTGGACAACGAACAATATATTTTGGAGAACAATTGAAGCGCTGTTCGAATTCATCTTTCAACTCATCAAGATCCATTATTGCCATGTTGAGATTGGACTATCACTAGTAATAATGCTCTATGGAGATAAATCAATATGTATAACTATAATACATTTGGATATAAATCAGTAAAGGATATCGGAAATAGAATTTGAATAATTTATTAAAATTTTCCAATCATTTACTTTACTTATTCCATCACTATCAACGATATATAAAAGAAAGTAGTATTGCAAAAATATTAAAATAATATTAAATAATACTTAAAATTGTTTTTTAGGCTAATATTAAAACGGAAATGTAAGCAACAGGAATGGATGAAGAATGGTAAAAAATAATGAATTTGAAATTTTTATAAGAGAAAAAAGAAGTTGGAAAAAATTAAAATTTTTTATTCAAATTTTTTCCATTCATTTAATATGGCAACAACATTTACTATCATTAAATGTAATTTATTTCATTCTTTAATTTTCATTGGAAATTCCATTCATTTAGTATGTATTGAAAAAACAATGAAGCAAAAATTTGAATGGTTAAGAAGAACCGGAATAATAAATAATTCTGAAAATTTATGAATATAAATTAGTTCAACAAAAATGCATGAAAAAAAATTTTTTCAAAAAAAATAAATTAATCAAAAAAACTGAAGATAATGAAAGGATTGATACCATGAGAAGATGAATGAATGAATATGGAAATGATATCGCAGAATCAATGATATCGAATACGATGATATTTTTCGTAGTATTTTAAATTTGAAAACTCTTTAGAAATTCCGAAAGAAAAAACAGGTATTACTTCAAAAAATTACTTACTCATATGGCGCACTCTCATTTAAATTTCAATTTGTTAATTTTCTATTTTATCAAAATAGCTGATTAATTAATCTTGTCTGATGAGAATTTCACCAAACAAATTAATTAAAAAATTAAAACGTCAAGAAGAGAGAGAGAGAGAGAGAGAGAGGGATAGTATTAATACGTATCATTATTGCATTATAATAAATTGTTTTGTTTTTTAATGATTCTAAGGATTTCTCTTCTTCCAATTTCAAATAGTAAATTTGAATTTTAAGCAATACTTTGCTTCATTTCAAATTAATTTTTCGATTCAACCAGTAATATCCTTAAAACATCTGACAGATCGTATAAAGAGATATTTAAAACATTTATAAGAAACGTACTAAAACAATTTTAAATTAATTTCACGTAATGCGCGAATTATAAGTTACGAAATGAAATTGAACCTCTTATTATCACAAGATGAAGAAATTCTTAATTATCAAAAGGCATTATTTAAATTTGATAGAGAAATGAAGTAGCGTTAAAGAATTAGGGGAAATTAAATTTGAAATTTTAGATTTAAAAGAAATTTGAATGAAATGATGCATGCAATTCAATGGATAGGAAAATGAGTAATGATGGTATGCGTATGTGTGAGTATGTGTGTGTGTGTGTATGTGTGTATGTGTACATGTATGCATGTATGCATGTGCATGCGCATGCCGAATAATAATATAAATCAATTTCCATTATGCGTTTTCATTTTTCTTTGTGAACATTTTTTCGTTGTAAAAAATGGAAAAATATAACATTGCAACATGTTTAAACGTAATGTTAAAGTGCGAGAACTTCTAATTTCTATAAAAGAATGAAAAATTAAATGGTATGAATCAAAGGTTTTCAATTTTTCGTAAAGTCAATTTGACAATTCAAACATTGTTACCGTAATACTGAGGAAATTTATTTCACTTTTTTACCATTTAGTCCTTCATAATACATCATATCATATCATATCATATTATATCATACATATTAATAATTTTATTACAAAACATACATCATTCCATACACATCTTATACGACACATTCTTTATAAGCCATAAAAAAGTTATTTGATCTCGATTTCCAAACGATATAAAATATATGGCTTCAACCGCTTCAACATAATGTAACAAACAATAACTTATATATATCTACATCTATATATATGTATTATATATATATATATATATACATGCCCCATATATATATATATTGATCCACACACATAAGTTACAACTATTTGTACATAAATATTTACGAATATGATCACTTTTTTTGATATAAACGTTAAATGCTTTAAATATTGAATTTGAGCTTCTAAATAAATATAAATTTATTTATTTACATACATATATAGCAATATTTGACAATTTAAGTAAGTGAGGACAGAGAATAGAAAACATATTGTACAAGAGTATATTTAAAAGGAAAAACTTCAAACTGTTAAGTAAAAAGTGAAACAAGAAGGAAATTGAGGAAAAGAGGAAGATGAATAAGGAATGGAAAAAAATAAGAAGGAAATAAGTGATTTCATATAAACGATGCAGAAAAAGAGAAAACACAATAGAACTATAGGAAAAATACTACGAACTTATTGAATGAACAAATAGTTAATAAATAAACTATTGACCAGAAATATTAATAATAGCAAAGGTAGTCTAACAAGTAATTAACCTGAAATTATTCCAGTAGTAAAATGTTAGTGTAAATAAGATATACACTAAAAATAGAAGCAAGCATCATACCATATTCAATCATTCCCATAATACAAATGAGATAAACTTTATACACCGAGAAACAGAAGAGATAGTAAATATTATAAGGAATATGCCGGGTGTCCATTTCCATGGAGGGAATATTTGGTGGTCACTTTCGTTTTTCTTATAATACGACGACAGTATAAGTAATTGTTGTTACAGAATGATAATTTACATAAAACTATGCTAAGCCTATGTTTTACAGATATTTCATTGTGTCTTTTCTCGTTTATCTGATTTTTTTTCGACTTAAAAAGTAGAATATTTTTATTTTTACGTATACTTATGCTTGTGTTTACACTTATATTCGTTTTCTTCATTTATACTTATGTTTACGCCATTACTTATATTCAAATTTGTAGTTATATTTTGTACTAAATTACATATTTACACTTATTTCTGCTATATTCAAACTTTTGTTGTTAGAATTATTCGAACATTTTTTTTATGAATGAAATGCTACGATGTGGTGATATATAAAAACATGTAGTTCAGATCAATTTTTAGGTCACAGCGATGAGTTTATTTGGTGGACCGAAACTAGGAACTACTTCAGCTACCACTTTTGGTACTTCAATTTCTACACCAGCTTTTAGCTTTGGAACTGCTACTTCAGGGTTACTATAATTTTTTTTTTTAATGTATTATTAATCCTAGTGATTTCTTTGTAAATGTTTAAGGTGATAGTCGTTAGTTAATACGGTCATCGTAAGTGACCGTATTGTGTTAATCATATTCCGATTTGTTAATTAGAAGCAATGTTTAATAATACATCGACTGTGCCTTAGTTTTATTAAATATCAGATTAGTACTACAAAGAATATACACGTCTATTTCGATTTTCATCATCTGTTATCATGTTCCATCGCAGTAATGAAAAGAAAAAGGAAAAGCATCAGAATGAGGATAAAAAAGTTAAGCGTAAAATGAAAACAACATCTTTGAATAATCAGTGATTGAAATACAGGAAAAATTTTATTCATTATGAAATTATTATTTATTTCAGCACAGCCAATAAACCATTATTTGGCTCCACGACGACCGCACAGCCGCCTTTGTTTGGGACTCCGACAGCAACTTCTACTTTTGCGCAATCTGGAGGATTATTCAGCTCGAAACGTAACTTCTTTTGTTGAGATTTGACTTATAGTTTTTTTCCTTTTTTTACGCTGATATAGTTTAGTTTGGAAAGGTTAAAATAGGAGTGAAGATGATAGATATCTTTCTAAGCATTAAAAATTTGATATCTTCAGTTTCTAGTTTTTATTTTGAATGTTAGTGATAAATAATAAGGCATTTTTTAGCCATCTTTTCATATGTTATTTCATTTTACGAAATTTTAAATCCTTTTTCTTTTATATGTTTCACAAAATTTTTTAGTTTTAATCGTATTCATTCTTCGTGCTAGAAATATAATTATTACTTTGAACCGTTATGACTAATCTCTTTCTAGCTGGAACAACAACTTCAACAAGTCTGTTGTCATCCGGGATGAAGCCTGCTGGCTTGCCAGGCACATCAACCACATCAACTGCACAGGCTTCACAAATTTCAACAGTACAGGATTTGATACAAGTAAAATTGCACTGTGGTTTCAAAACAGAAAATTCTGTTGTAACATTTTCCGCTTTATCATTGATGGCTTCTGCTTGAATGATATATTCAATTAGAAATTTTAAATTTCATGTTACATAATTAGGAATGAGATAAATTTTCTTCTATAATATTGGTTTATATATCTATGAAGTTAAAAAAAATCATTTAAAATGTAAGAATCTGTAGACAATCAAACAAATGTGTTTTTAGAACTCAGAATGCCTCATTAGGTCGTTGACATCGCCAGATCTTTTTGGTGATGAAAGAGATGGTATTGTTGCGAAATTAAATCAGCTTCTGTCTGCATGCGGAATTGGTAATGGATTTTATAAAGGTGACCAACAACCTATTTCCTACACTACAGAAAATCCTTTTTACCTGTTTAAAGCGATTGGTTATAGTAGGTATGTAAATTAAATATTTTTTGCAAGTAAGTTTGATTGGTTATTCTGCATTTCGTTAAGTTTTAAAGTGTTAGTGTAGGATAAAGAACTTTTTGGAAGGAGTAATTTGTTTTTTAAAAATAGAAGTAACAGACATATAAAAGACAAGTATCATTATCTTTAACATGTATTGTAAGTTAAGTAATAGTTATTATGAAATGAAAGAGAAAGCATAATTAAATAAATTTATCTGCTTCTAAAATATTACCTACAGGTGTGCATGATTTTATCTGACAGGTATGCATGATATAAGACTTTCACCCCCATATGCACAGTTTTAATTAAGTACGCAACTTATCTAGCAGATAATGGTGTTCACAGTCGGTGATTACTGAAAAAAAATAAAATGGTTGTATTTCAGAAGAAGTGATTATAGTGATAGCGATGGTATTGTAGCTCTAACTCTAGGAATTAATTATGAGCAGCTTTCAAAAGCTACTCAGCGACAAAAATTCATAGATTCGATGAATCTTATACTTGGGAATAATACAAATGTCCGAGCGCATATCGAACTTATTCGTCCACTTCCAGATGATCAGACTGAAGTAAGCTATTTCAGTGCTAAACTAATCTTTTAATATACACGAGAAGGAGGAATGAATATAATGAGTAAATTGATTATGTGTTATTTCATTGCAATTCAAGTTTTACTAATCCATTTTATTTTGCTCTATTTTTTTAGGTTTTATTATATGTGACGGAGAAAGGCAATGGCAGGTTAAGTAGCAAAGAATTGTGTGCTTTCTTAAAACAACCTGCACAAGATACGCAATTGAAGAACCAGCTTTGTGTTGTGAATGTTTTATCGCGTACTGTGATGGATGATGTAAAAAAGCGTGCTTTCATCAAAAATCCTCCAGCTGGTAAAAGTTATTTAGAATTATAACTTACAAAATTTTTAATTTGGAAGCATTTGAAATTGTGCTTTTGTTTAGGATTTGATTCACAAATTTGGCAACAAGCTGTTCGAGAAAATCCGGATCCTGATAAATTGCTTCCGTACCCAATTCGAGGGTTTGAACAGTTACGTAAAAGACAAGAATTGCAGGTAAAAATATCATCATTTTGAAATGAATCTGTTCTAGTAGAATCAACCTTGAGTATAAATTAGGTATTCGATTCATTATGGATATGAATACTTTTGCTGGTAACCTTTCAGGCAGCAGAGATACGTCTTGAGGAACGTGTTGTTGAAGAACTGAAGCAAAGACTTGCTCAAATAAATAGTAAATTAATAGCAGGACAGAATCAATGTTCATATCAACGGTTTGTATTTTAAAAAATAAACTTTCGGAATTTATGGTAAAGAAAATTTTCGTTGCAAACTAGTTTTACCTTTCGTTATATTTTGCATTCGATTTTCTGTTGAAATTCTGCATTTTTTTAGGCAAAGACACAAAGAATTGTCGAATCGTTTGTTACGTTGTTTAGCAATGCAATCTCTCCTTCAGCAGTATACAATTAGCATAGATAGCGCCGAAGAGAAACTCGAAGCACGTCTTGAAGCATTGAATGCATCTCTTATAGCACCCGACCAAATCAAGGTTTCAAATTTGTGCAATTTAAATAAATTGTGTGGAAAAGAAGTATTCGCAAGATATATGATTTTTCTTTTATTATTCTTATTCGCGTGTTTTAAGAGTCGAATTAATGATTTATTAACCATTTTGCGTGGCGAAGGAGAAAATCTGAAAACAGCAAATGAGACGAAACTGAAATTAACTGAAAGCGATGTGACGCAAATTAAAAGGTTAGTCTAATTGATTTTTATCATTTAATACAACTACTTCATTTTTTTGCTTAGTCACTTATATTTGTAAAATTAATTGCAATGCTTTGAGCGTGTTATCCATCGATTATCCAGAAAATTTTGAAAGTTGAAGTTTGCAAGTAGGAATTACTGATATGAGTTCATTTTCGAATTCGAAGTGAATGCAATAGATTAATTATTAGAAACAGCTGATTTTTTATTTATCTGTTCTTAGTTTTTGTAAACAAATTTGTAACTTCCATTTTTTAGATACTTATATCGAGCTCAGGAGGCACTTGAAATAGTTGTTGATGCTGTACATGAAAGTACTGATACTCTCGACATTATAGAAGCACATCTGAAATAATTTCAAACATCCGTATATTTGTTGTTAACTGTTTGTTGTATTTCAGTAAACTGATCTATTGGTATAATTTTTCGCTTAATGCAATGTGCTGCGCAATAATTAAAGAAACATTTTCTTAATATGTCGTTTGCTCTCGCATATGTTTTCGCCTTTATTACGATATTTTGACATGAATGCTTATCTTGTCACTCTAAGGTTTTTTATTCAGTACCTTCCGAAATTTTTTTCTAATTTAGAAGGAATTTTCGAACGGTACGTCATTAGTTTTCATATTATGGAGCGGAAAATGATCCCCAGATTTAGAGATTTTCGGCATTTATCATTATGGTACAATGGAGTATAAAAACGGATAAAAATATTTGCAGTGAAAAGATTAGAATGGAAATTGACGAAAGAGATGATGAAAAACCAGGAACAAGTGCTTCAGACGGAGAAATGAGTGAAACTGAAAAGCCGAAGGGGCACATCTACAAAGTATTGGGACATGACACTTTCGTAAATTTGAAGAAGATTCAGTAAGTGAAGAAATTAGTTACATAATTTTATATGAAGACTTCGAATAAGATTAGAAATTATTTTCAATTATGACGGAAGTGTTTTTTTCAATAGCAGAGACTTACATCTTGAAACAGGGATGATAATCACATAAATGCAGTAAACGTTTTCAGTGTTGTGCCAACATGGATTAAACAAAGTGAAACATTTGCATCAGAATTGAATGAAGAAAGTTGTGCGGAGCTTGATTTTGTCAAAGGTTTGCATCCTTTGCTTGCACATCGTGTGAGGGAGCACCTCAAGCAGTGGTATCCTGTCCAGCGAGCAGTTCTTCCACATCTGATAGCTGCAACTAGTGTTTGTTCGATTTTCCCTCCAAGGTTTTGCAGTTTAAATTAAATTTGAAGTATGTCAAATGCCGAGAAATTTGTCGGTGATGGTGCCGAAATATGTTTTACTTTTATCCGAAACGTTAGTGATAACTTTTCTGCTGGCTTTCACATCTGCTGTCCAATGTACAAAAAGAAACTTTCCGTTTAGTAATTTTCCGAACTTTATCATTTTTTATCGATGAATAATGCAGTCATCTTATCTTGTGCTTCATTCGCTGCTAATAGCCGCTTTTGCAGTCAAGAATATTTTTTTCAAATTTCTGCTAATGTGCCAGAATAGCTTACCTTGGGATAATATGAAAGACTTTAAACAAATTGATCATTGGTTTACTTACCTCTGCTTTTGTGCGATAATTATTTTTGGTAGTACACATATCAGTTTGCGGATTTTCAACTGTATGTTTTGATTTAGGTGACTTCAACAATTTCCAAATTCTTGCCATTTCGTTATCATTACTAACTAATGTTGTGTTTTTTTTTTAGAGATTTGGTGATCAGTTCTCCAACAGGTAGTGGTAAAACACTGTGTTATGTAATTCCAATTTTAAATGCTTTGCGGGGATGCACGATGATGGATTGTCTTTTTGCATTAATTGTGGCTCCAGTACAGAATCTTGTTGATCAAATGGAAAAGGTATGATGCATCGGATAAATCATAGGGATTTTTGATCGGTCGAGTAAAAAAGGTTTACGTCAAGTTTATATACTATTGCTGATGCTGTCGTTCTAATAATTGCTTTTCAGGAGTTCAAAAAATATAATGTTTTCAATATACGTATCGCTTCACTTTGTGGAAGTCATGATCTTAATACTGAAAGACAGCAACTCGAAAGCGCAAACATAGCGATTGCAACGCCAGGTCGTTTGATGGAGCACATAACAGATCTGGATTTCCTTGTCGACTTTACACATTTAAGGTTTGTAATTTTGCAAACATCTTAATTCGGAATTTTCTAAAAGTCGGAATCAGTTGAAGTTTGTGAGAGCTTGACCGAAGTCTCTAAATATTTGGTGATGGAAGCAAGATTTCAAGTTCATAATAAACCTTGCTAATTGTTGCTGTTTTTTTTTATTCAGCAAATCACTATCAGTGAGTAATATGAAACTTGTGACACAGATGTTATTTATTTATATAGGTTCACATTATTGTGTGTCGTTTGATTTTGCCTGAAATTTTTTCAGATATTTAGTAGTCGATGAAGCAGATCGTATGTCACATACAGCTCGCATTGAATGGCTTGATGATCTCGAAGCTGTTGCAAATTGTAACTATTTATTTTCTTAAAGCTGTAAGGGCCACCTTGAATCCTTACTTTATCAGGATCATAGCTCTTTTTAGATAGAAATTAAATGTCTTGCTATATTACAAGTAGTAACTGGGATAGTTCTTTCCTTTTTTTTGCTCGTACAAGAAGGAAGCTAGGAGTTGTTCAATGATTCATGAGAATTTGTACTGTCTTTATACCTTATGATGTACTGATAGAAGTTCTTGAAAGAATAGTGAAGAAAATTTTAATTAATTAATAAATATGTCTCTAATAAGAATAGTATCAAATCTTTAATGATAACCTCGTTCAGATGAGAAATTTCCATCTTTAAGAGCTGAAATTTTGTCGTGCACTTGTCACTTTTTTCCAAAATTTTGTTAGTTATCGGTGTTTCCAAGCTTCTGTGAAGCAGTCATAGGAAATTAGGATAAATGATTTACACGCCTTGTTTTATGCCAAACATAAATTCCTTTTAAATGGCAGTGTCATAAAAAAAAAAGTTACATTATATCTGTCATTTCTCATTTTATGTTATTTCAGATAATCATAATTGTAATACAGTCGACGACCTTTATAACGCAAGTTTTTTGCAAAAGATACTGCTTTCTGCCACGCTCTCCTTGGATGTTGAAGATCTTCATCAATGGCGCCTTCGACATCCTCGTCTATTCAAGTACGATTTTTCATACTTTCAGTCGAATAATAGTTAACTATTGTTTCAATTCTTTTATTCTATAACTACCAATTATTTTTTTGATCTTTAGTTCATCATATTTCTTGGATTCTTCTAATCTATTGCTTGTTCAGTGTTGAATAATATTCCTTTTGCAGAGCGGTGAAAGAAGATATTGTTGTAACGAATGAGTCAAGTTTAAACAATGTTATCATCCCAACTTCATTAAAGATCGAATACATCGTATGTGACACAAAATTTAAACCACTTGCAACACATGACCGAATCGAAGGACGACAATCTTGGAAAAAGATTCTAATATTCGTTAACAGCAAGTAAGCGCCATATTGAAATATTGAAATTTACGTATGTGAACAGAACTTAGAAGTGTGCTATTCAAATAGAAATTTAGTTTTAAAAGGGGTATTTCTAAAGCGATTTCGAAATAATTTTGGAGACTTGGTATAAGTCCTTTCCAATTTCAGGATGGCTAGTTATCGACTTACAGTATTGTTGAAAACGCTTAGCGCCGGAAAATATCAAGTCGAGGAACTCTCATCAAATCTTTTCGGTAATCGACGGCAGAAAGTGCTGGCAAGGTGCAATATCTGATTTGCAAAATGTTTCGAAATGACTTAATTTTTTCTCAAATATTGACAGAATATGCGATATTTATGGCTTTGTGCAAAGGCAAATTTGTGTTTTGGAAATTTTTATAAGATTTTTTTACTTAATTGGTAATATTGGCTGTTTTTGAAAAGATTGAGCAGCTTAATCATTTATTCTTTATTCGAAAAATTATTTTAGGTTCAGGAAAGGAACCACAAGAGTGCTTATTTCAAGTGATGTCTTGTCTCGCGGGATTGATGTTGAGGGTATTGACGTCGTAATTAATTATGATAAGCCACTTAATGAAAGATTATTTGTTCATCGAGTAGGGCGAACAGCGAGATGTGGCAAAAAGGGAAGAGCCATCTTCCTCATTTCAGCTAAAGAAGTGATTTCTTTGCCTTTTTATACTTTTGTTTCATACTTATGTAGTTTTTGCACCTCGTCTTTTAGGTTTGCGCTTCTTTTAGTTACATCTATTTGCATTTTCAGAAAAAAGATTTCCAGACTACCCTCCAAAATATTTCTTTCACCGGAAAGGTTAAAGAAAGAAATTTCGAAGGCGTGAAAGATGGTGAAACAGAAGAACTGTACGGACAGGCATTAACAAAGCTTAAAGAAGCTTTACAAAAAACGCAAAAGGTTTTTTTTTTGGTTACGAAGCAAAATTTAAATGATGGAGAAATAATAAGTGATAGTTCCTGCCTTTCTACCTTATTCTCAAGAAGAAAGTCATGAATTTAATGTACGGTCAATTCTGATCCAAAAATTAGCTTGTTAATACTACGATCAATTTTCGGTTGGGAATTGATCACCTACAGTAAATGATAGAAAATCATTTTTGTTATTTGATTTATAATTCATGAATGTTACTTTAAAGTATAACAATGTAAATATTTTATGTAGTACACATTTCTCTTCTAGCTAAGGTGTTATATTATATCTATTGTCCATAGTTAGTAATTTGTTAATCATGCGCAATAGGTTTGAATTTTCACAGTGTTTCTTTAGGAAAACATCAGGAAGAATGGAAGTTTCAGAAACAGGCAGAAAAAAGTTCTAAATCATGAAAAGTTATGAAGTTATTGCGGTTCGATAATTTTCTTCAGAACTTCAAATTACAAATTCATGAACGTGGTGAATTATTGTTGTTGTTTTCATTGCTCAATAAATTACTTCTAGTGAGTACACTTAATTTACAACACGCTACCTGCTGATTATGCAGATTCACATTGCTTATGTTCAGTATGCAAAAAAGTTTTGCTCATTTTAATGTTTTGTTTTGCATTTGCATTTTGTTTCATCTAGTGCAAGATCATGAGCAACTTTAATGTTTTTAAATAGTATTTGTGTAAATGTTTATCTGAAGGTAAAAAGAGATGGTATTAAATATCCAAATTGAAAATTTGAATAAAATTGAGATGTATTAGAGGGTTTTTTCAGGTTTGTTTGAATTCTCTCTGGCTGTCATTTACAAATTGATAATCAGACGTGTAATGGTTGGTGTTTTGTAATAAGGATTCTGTTAGTATGTAAAACTAACAGAATCCTTATCACAAAAATCTCTGAAATATTTATAGGTGATCTGGAGTTGGTAATATAAGACGATGACAGGAAGCTATTTTATGACCGATCTTGTTGCCGATAGTCTATCATCTGAAATTGATGTAGATTGGAATGATGCTGTGCTATACACACCGTATCATACACAGGCCCTTCTTCATGAAGTATGCTGGCATTCCATCGAGTTCTAAAGCTTGATTATAATTATTATCAGAATGCGGTCATTGCCGCTCTCTTAGTTTTTTATGTTACTGAGCATAGCATCATCAACTATAACCGACCAAATGCATCAATTACATTTTTATATCTTTTGTAGTATGCTGACTGTTTGGCCGTACGAACACTGCTAAGAATGGCGAAGTTACCAATTCGCTTAGAGGAGCGTCCCAATGCTGAATTCATGTCACCATCCGAAAAAGTACCCTTCCTGAAGTTGCAGTCACTTTTAATACCCGAATATTTACCAGTTGTTGATTTTCTTGCAAAACGCGTAAGTAGATATTTTTGAATTCTGTTCTTGACCCGAATTTTTTTCATATTGGAACAGCGTACTCTAAAATTTTTAACATTTGAAGCCCAGCATTTTGTTTTTGAAATTTAAATAGTAATCAGAATTACTGCGCATAATTAAACGTATAATTAATTTGTCTTGCAGAATGTAAAATTATCAGCCGGCTTGACGAATCTAGAACGAGGAGATATGCATGCATATATGGCTCTTTTTGATGATATTCTCAAAAATATCGAGGTACTATTTAGTTTAGAATGTTCAGGTATTCATGCTCTACTGGAAATTTTCTGATTGCTAGAAGTATTCTTTCTTTTTAACAAGGCTATTAAAATTTGCCATAGATATACTTTGCTTATCCTTTCTGAAATTTAAGTGGATTTATTTGTTTTGCTGAGATTTTGTGGAATAGTAGTTCTCAAATTTTTATAGCATTGCGAAGGTTATTCGGTTATAGATGTATATGGTGTGGATCGACAAAAGGAATTATGCTCAGGTAACGAAATATAGATACGGGTCAGTCTATCTGTTTCCGTTAAATATTATTTTACCATGGACGAAACGGCGTGCAGTGAGTAACTATTTGAGTGCTCTTGATTGGAAAGGTAAGTCACACGTAGGCATAATGGAGCTGGCGGATCGATGTTTCAAAAGTATGTCGTCGAAACTTGACCGCAATGAGTTAGTTTACTTTCTTAACCTTTTTTTTTAAATATGAAGCTAGGAGGGGATCATAATTTTTTTTTACGATTTTGCTATAAGTGATTCTTTTGTCTGTGATATTCATGAATACTCATGACTGTTCCTAACTATGCATTTGAAACTTTCTATTTACTCCCGAAAATATTGTCCGTTTCCATTTTATTTTTTAGCTTTTATGTTTTAAGATACTTCTTCGGCGATTCACCAACTGAACTAGATGCGTTGGCATTCGGTCATTTTTATACCATTTTGACAACAGAACTACCAAACATGGAGTTGAAGAATTATCTTCGTCGATATTCAAATTTAACTGAATTCTGCCAAAGGATCGACAAAAAATATTTTGTTCCAGAATCAAAGAAATGAACGAGAATTCTCGATTACTTTTGTATTTTGCATTTTAATGCTTCAAAAAAGGTTGTAACGGATACTAGCAATTGTGGAATGCAAAATTCCAAATTAATTCAGCATTTATTGCTGAATGTCATCAGCAGTGTTAGCAATCTTCAGCGTCCATTTTAGAATGGTACAACGCAGATTAGTAAATCGAATCATTGAAATCAATTTAGTGCAAAGTACTATTTTTAAATCATTTCTAGCGCTGGCGTGCGGAAATTTGACTCTTTTCATATGCAGATTTTATCTTACAATATTCAATAAGTACTATTATCGAGCTAAAATTTCATTGTTTACGCTGAGATCGATAGATCGATAGGCCAAAACCACCCGCTACCGTTATTGTGGCTAAATACGCTGTTGTTAAGGCAGCAAACGTTCCAGCGAAAAATTTCTTATCAACACATATTCCATCAAAAAGCCTCAATGTCTTCTCATCCGTATCTGAAATTATTCAATTTGCTCCAATACATATTTTTCGCTTGAAATGAATCACTAGCAATATAACAATTAATGAAAGTTCGAAGAGAGGAATTTAAATGATAAGTTATCACAAAAAGTCCAATTGATTTTCTTACTTCAATTATATATTTTTTCGTTTTGTTTTGTTTTGTTTTAAATTCTTAGAATATTGCAAATATGACTGAAAATATTTGCGTGAAGAAAAACAAATGTAAAACGAAGAAATACTTTGATGTGATAAAGTATGAACTTGTTGATCAATTACATGAAGCTTATGATGTACTAAATTATCCGTTGAATAAATTTCAGTATTCTTCTTTTCTTTTTCCCCTGATCGCCTTATTCGCTTGGAGCAATCCTATAACGTTGATTTATGATATTCATACTGGAATAAAATGAAGTATAGAAAGAAGAAATTAATAAACTTGTAATAGATTTGGCGTATTCCATTTCCAATATGATTTTCACTTATAATGAAGTGATGAATGATTGTTATATGATAAATTCAAAATAATATATAAATTATAAGGTCAGAGATATTTAAGGCTGCTTATAATTTAAATTAAGATGGATGAATTATTGAAAATTTGATGTAAATGAAGATGAAAATAAGAGAAAAGGATGGGAAACTGAAGAGAAAAATTTTTTATTTTTATAGAAATAAGATTTGTTGTATTATATGATTAAATTCATAGAGGGTCAAATGAGGTAAATAATCATAAGTGTAATTTAAATAATTTCATATAAAAATTTAGGTGATGGTAATGGAGTTATCATTAAAGACGAGATATTGGAGAAGCTTACTGGCTGTTTAGGACACAAATAATCTGTGTTATTAGTGGTAATTAATTGGTCCAGTTTTCGTACACATATAGTAACTGCGCATGATATCCATACTTCATCAGCATCTGGAAATTTAAATGCTGATCCATCGGCAAACGCCTGAAATAACCATTCTATGTTGCTTTTAAAATTTCATTAATGAAAATTCTAAAAGGATATTATTTTTTCTTTCAATCACTACTTAACCAACGAATAAGTAATTAATTCTTTTTTTGATGGATGTTATTTTCTGTCAAATTTAAAGAGAAAAAACAAAGAAAAAGGTACTTTAATTTTATTAAATTCTTTCAATTAATTTTATTTAAAATTTCCATATTCATCTCCTTTCTCTCTTCTTTTTCATTCTCTATCGCTCTTTATCAATCAGCTTTTTCCATTTCTTTTTCTGCTTTTATTTTTCTTTCTACGATAAGTCAGTTCGAGGATACAATATAATTGACAACAATGTCCTTGAAAATCATATCCATCCTCACCTTAGAGAGATTTTTTCAAGAAAGAAATTATCAGCCATGGCTTCTCGATATAAAATTTTCATATTTGAATCTCTTTAAATCTTAAGCATATATATATATACATATATATATATATATATTCATCATACTCAAATTTCGATCATACTCTGATCGTATTTCTGACTAATTCCAGTCGTACTCTAATCTATATATATATACTATGGGAACAAATTTCAAATGTTTGTTCTAAATTAATTGACAATATGATTGAGATTAACCGAGAATATATTAAGAATATAATTGGAAGTAAACAAAAATATGATTAGAGTACGACTGGAATTAGTTAGAAATACGATCAGAGTATGATCGGAATTTGGCAGTACTCATAAATAATATGAATCTAGTCTATTTTTTTTTGCTTCTTTGTAATAAATCAGCAATTGATATGTTAGTAATAATACCTGAAGGTTATTCTCTGGATACTGTACATTGGATACGATAACAGAATCCAAAGAGCAACTATTTTCGATTAATTTCATTTTACGACCATCTTCTGCTTCCACTGAACATTCTTTTACCCATATACCATAAATTCCTATGGAAAATTAATTAATTTAAAAATCTTAAGCAATAAATTTTCATTAATCATCTTTTTTGCTAAATGGAGTTCTTTTTTCTGTTTTAAGCTACACTTTAATTTATGCAATTAATAATAATCGCTGATGAAAAAATTTACCTGCTTTAGAGTTCAAATGCCAAATGTACATTAATGGATCACCAACAGAGACTAATCGTGCCGGTTCCATATTTGGATCCGGTACACGTCCTTGAACAACTGTAAGATTTACGATTGGTATATCAGCCGTTCCATCAATTGTACCACGTGTACTCATTTCTCTACAAATATAACATCAACAATAAAGAAGTGTATAATTTAAATTTCTAAATTATATTAACTTCTTTGATTTTTATATTTCTAAGTTTAAATTTTTAAATTATTTTTAATGTTTGAAAAAATTTCGTTTCTTTTTTTAGTTGGGAGAGGAATAATTTTTAGTTCTATATTATTAAATTAAAAATTTCTCCATCTCTGTTGCACAAATATCCAAATTGGTAACAGTAATAATTAATGCGAAATTAACATTATTTTATTATTTGTTATAACTAATTAAAGCCATCTGCAAAAATTAAAGTCATCTGCAATTAAATAAATATAAAATTAAAATCATCTGCAAAAAGAATAAAGGATTTGAAGATATTTATTACTTCGTTTCATCACTTATCAGTTTGCATTTTTGCAGCAACTGTAAATAAAATTGGCGATAAAAAGCTTTTGATAATTAAGAAAAAAATAATAAAAGAATTTCATCATAAAATAATGATAAAATTTTAAAGGAAAGAAACAAACATAGAAGTTGCTTTTTGAAAAGAAAAATATAACATAAAAAGAAATTTAAATATTTTTTTCTCTTTCCTTTCCGCATTTTTATGATTAATTGAAATAATAAAAATCATGAGAATATTGAAATTGAACAACATACGCTATGAAATGGAATTTGGTTGCGACCTTGAAGGATTGCTGTTGAAAAATGCAATGTACCGCAAATGAACGATCGTCGGCAGTCACAAAATTTGGATGAAAACTGAAGACGAATACCACAAATATTTCAACTTCTTTTGTTTCAGACTAAAATTTAAATAATTTTTTTCAAACGAAATTTAATTTATTTCAAATAAATCAATAGATGTAGAACAAAAGATTTCAATTAGAAAATTGATAAAGTATGCATGGACTGTAATAATTGTTATACTTATTTAAAACAATAAGTTGAATGATCAAATGAAGGATCGAAATTACATTAAAATTAATATTTAAATAATGGATTATTTAGAAGATAAATTTAAATAATTCGAACTTTTGAATATAAATTAAAATCTGCTAGTTCAATTATATTTATATATGTATATATTATTCTCATTTGAAATACTGAGAAAATAGTAAATTTAGAATAATAGTTAATCAATTTGATTTTCAAAGTGGGAATAAAATATTTCGAAATAAAGAAAGGGAAAAGAGAGAGAGAGAGAGAGAGAGAAAGAAAGAAGAAGAAAGGGAAAAAGCGATGACCTAATTCTAGATGATCTTAATTTAATCTTCGAACAAGAATGCTAACATTGACCTCTAATAAAATGATGAACCTTTTTTTCATTTTAAGAATGAACAAATGAATCGAATGATTCATGAAAGAAATTATTTCAGAAGAAATAAATGATTAAAGCAGATGAATTAACTTGGCAATTCACTACGATTAAAATAATATTCGAATTCAAATTCAAATGAATTATTTTCAATGAAATCAACTTTGCTAATAATTTTGGTAAAAATTAAAGTTTGAAAATAAAAATTAAAACTTGTTTAAAATGTTGCTCGATATTATTTTTGCACTACTATTGTATAAAATAAAGTAGTAATTTATATTAAAATAATGAAATAACAGTAATAGTATAAATAATTATAAAAAATGATTCAGCAAAATATGAATCCTTAATTATTCTTTCAAATTTTCTTCTCATCAAGCTTGTTAGACTAATCTAATTTAATTATTCAAATCTTTCCTTATCTATAGAATTAACTTCATCTAATCATCTTCAGATATCAGTTAATGAGCCATTCGTTTGCCTTTTAATCGAAGCCGATGTAAGGTAACAATGTTTCTGATGAAGCAACGTGATGTAATATGATGTTTGTGATGTATCAACGTGATTTAACAATATTTTTAATGTAGCAATGTAATCAGGAACAAAAGACGTTTCGCTTTTTCTGCAATTACAGTTAACCTTTGATGATTCGATTAACTAAGTGATAATCTACGATGCAATGACTAATAGTAAATAATAGGAACTAATGGTTAGTTGTATATAGTCACTGCATGTGAGCATCATTATTAATAAGTGATAACAGATTACCCCGTACTTATCATCAAGAATTTGATAAATGTTAATTACATTAGTCCAAGTGATACTATGCTTACATTCCTTTGCAGAACCAAGCCACATTGAGCAATACGATTTAACGGAATTGAAAGTGACGGTGTCGTAGTATCTTCGCTAAGTGAATAGATTGACGCACATCCATTCGTCCGTCGCCAATTCTTAATAAAAACAACACCCTCAAATAATTCTTCGGTCGTACCTTCGATCGTTATATTCTCTGGTCCACATATTGCTTGAGGCATCCCTATCAAATTTCTTATCATTTCAAATTTTATTAAATTGTAATTCTTTTTTAAATTTTTTTCAAAAATTTTTATCATATTAAAAAAAGAAAAAGTGAAATATTCAAAACGAAGATCAAAACGAGGAAAAAATTTGAAATTTAAGCATAATTTTTAAGAAAAAATTTTTATTTAATATTTAATGAACAAAAGCACTGTTAAAGATAACCTATTAATTTATTATTGATCGCTTCCTTGTTTTTTCAAACTTTATTTGCTTCTGATTTATTAAGAGCTTTGGATCGGATGCCAAGTTTACTTTATAGGTATTCTTGTTGGCTATTTGTTTCAAAATAAAAACTCTTCAACAAGATTTCT